CACATGAGTTAGCAGGGGGAGGAAAACCGGGACTTGGTATAATGTCGCGTGCTGAGGGCCAGTAGTCTTCTGCGGTGCCAATTGAATTTCTCCTAAGCAGTGATCCCGGCCTCTTGGATAGCCTAGATGCTTTGGGGAGGCGGGGAAGATTTGCGATAGGAGCTGGCCCCGAATCTTCGGCACCATATATTTCGTCCTGTTTGGACAGCCATCTGTCGATTCGATTTCCTGGCGCTGATGCCACAGAGTCGTTACGAGACAACACCAGTGTTCTTTGTGGAACGATGGTTTCGGACGAACGGGTGCGTCGCAGAGGTGGCTCTGCAGGACGCTGAGATACAGATCTCATTAGACCAGGGTCGTCCTCTGCTGTGGGAAACATGACTTCGGTTGGCGAGGGCTTTCCGTATTCCTCATAGATGTATTCGCTGTAATTAAGCGAAAACCTGGAGTCATCGAGGGGATTACTATTTCTAAACGTATTTCGTTGGTGTGGATTCAAGGCGGACAGCGTTGGCGCACGGCGGGGTTGGGCGGATGGTGGAGGCGGCTTGGGCAAGCTCTCTTGGGTGACTTGAGGACAATCGTCGTCATAGAAATCATCAATGAGTTCATCAATCACCTCCCCTGTTACTAAAAAGGTCAATATTCACGCTTTCCTTGGGAGATAACGCAATCAAGGAGCTCAGGGTTGACGTACTATGCTGTAAGGGATGCGGTCCTTGAGGTCCATGAGCTGCGGATGGGACCAAAAGAGAATCTGTCTTATCTTTCTTGCGCTGCGAGAGAGATCTTTGGATATTCAGCAGTCTCTGCTCCAGCTGCTTCCTTTCGTCCATTGATCTCAGCAATTGCCTTGGTTGGTCACTATCTCTGCACCGTGCTGGCTTTGGATGCAATGGCTGTATCAGGTTCATCGAGTTATAATCCGATATCGTCGAGCTTGACATGTGTTGTCTTTCTCTCGCTGAACCTCCCAATACCCTATCTATTGCTTTGATCATTTCCGGCCGAGGCTCCCCATTCTCATCAACGAGATATGTTGCATCCGCAGCCGCTGAAAGTTCTGCATTATCAGGATACTTTCTCGCCGCCGCGCGAATGAACTCTATCTCACTGCGGAGATAGTCGTCGTCCAACTTTAACGGCACCGGTGGCGCTGGAGGCTTCCTTCCATTCGGACCTTCCCCGTAATCGCCATATGAATCAATTATCTGCGTGATCCGATTTGGCGCCGTCGGGGTATACTGGAAAAAGTCGAACGTCCTCCGTTTCTCATTATCAGGCGCATAAGAGCCCAGAGATGCCGGCGGGAACTTTGGGTCGAAGTTCCCATCAAGCCGTTTCGGCGGCTGACCGGTTGATAGTTCCTCAATACTCACCATGGGCCCTCCAAAATCCCCTCCTGGTTTCCCATTGACCTCGATAGCAATGGGGGCCGAGATGTTTAATCCTGTTCACGAAATAATGGTTAGTCCCTTTTTTTCAACCTATGTGGAAGGCTTGCTTCTATCTGATACTTACCAGAGGAATCCCCCGACTTCTCTAGGTCGTGGTATTTTTTATTATTATGGCGAGGCCTGCTACAGCAAAGCCATGGTTTTATGGCTTCGAGAAGTTTCTCTTTGCCAGTCATTGACTTGCTGCCCACGCGGTACATCTTCGGCCCGCCGGTGCGTTAAAATATCTTATAAAGTGAGTATTAAAACGAAAGGTCCTGCCTTTTTTTTTGATGTTTCAAAATTGAGTTAATGAGAGTCAAGAATGAAGAGGGAGAAATGAATCAAAGAAACAAATGAAAGAACGTGACTGAAACCAGGTCACCGAAAGATGCAGAAAATACCTGCAAGAAAGGCTCGAGAAAGGGACTAGAACAGCTTATGATGGGTGGCAGCACCTATATACCACCCTCTACACTACCATGGGTAAAGATGCAGAATTCATCGGTAGGTTCAAGCGGCACAGTAGTCATTTCGGGGTTGCACGCGAAAAATAGTCATAGACGGTGACGAGAGTGATATCTCGCCGATCAAACTTGAAATATCTACATTCAACAGTGCGGTAACAATAAATACCCAGGTGTGGACAGCTTCCTTCGGTTCATTCTCATTCTTAGATATCTATCTATCGTTCCTTCAGGCTCTGTGAATTTTCGATTCCTCGATGGCAGGCTCCCTTGCCTGGTGCTTGAATGATTCCAAAATCATCGGCAGGTACTCAATACTAAAGACCTCCAAGCCACACTCTCATGATAATTGGAATATAGCTAAATCTCGAAACCCACTCCTGCGCCAGTTGCTGGTCCGTGAACACTAGTTGCTTGATACCCCCTTTGAAAATACTGGTCGTTTCATTCAAGTCTCTGCCACAAGCAGTATACTATTTCACGACCTGTTTTCCAAACATGATTTCTCGCGCCTCCGTCGCCATATCATGCTTCATTGCCATTTACTTACCGGGGGCAGTATGAGTTGTCGTTTGATACCGGTGTGTTTGGGGACCTGCGTTTCTTGGCAAAGCCTTACCGGATGCTATTTGTGGAACCATGTTAATGCTTTGCCAAGGCCGAACCCACCTATCAGCATTCGAGTAGGAAATACTACTAAACGTTTGGTAGACCTCAAACTGCAACCATATCTGTTCGTTATTCCGCGACTGTCGCTTCAGTGAGCAGAACACATCGAGTTCGGGGTACGAGTGCAGAATCATTTTCTCATCGCCTATTCTTGACGGGTGAAAACTTTGGAGTCTGCATAGTGACTTGCAGTTTATGCTTTAACCTTCACCGGATCGGATCTCATCAACACCAAGATGGCCTTGTTTTCCAAATATGATCGGCAGGCACCCCTTCTGCTTTTGAGTATAGCCATTTAGAATAACCTACTTTTGTAAGGGTTGAACATATCTGCAGGCACGGGTGATCTTCATCAATCTTCTAGTTAGAGGACTAGCCTTCATTATGAAGGAGGTTGTGCAGATCATATTCTCATCCCTCGAAATCGTTTATTGTTCAACCTCTAGCCTCCAGTGCTTTCCGTAGGAATTAGTGTTGTAAATCTGAATCACAAGCAATGATATTATACGGCTCCAGAACAGCGGTGCGACCATTGCGGCGTAGATAGAGCCCTGGAAGAATACTTTGTCTTTTGACAACTTATAGTGGCGGGAATTGGTTCACGCCTGTTTCTTCGATCGCTCTAGTATGAAAGTTACATCTAAGGGTTTACCCCGCATACTTTGCGCTATGCCCACCCCAAATGCAATTTCCAGATAACACGGGATTGTGTTTCTGATGGATGACGTGTTTTTGTCTTTCTGTTCATACCGATCCAGCCACGATTCTCCTGTTGTTTAGATTCAAGGACCATCTCTCTGGACTTGAAACATCTTGGAAATGTTTTTCCGGTGAAGGGTGACATAACAGACATGTGAAACAATGCCACGCACGTTATCAAGAAGATTAAGGGAAACTTGAGTATAGAATTAGGGATGAATTAACGGGAAGGAAAAATCGTTCCTCCGGTCTTCCATTTATTGAAGGGGAAATCGAAGACATGCTATCTGCCGTCGAATTAAGTGGCAACGGGAGATTTGAGTCTATTGTGGAGATCCAGGAGCTGTGCATAGAAGCGAGTTCAGGCTTCGAACTTTGTTTTATACTCATGAGATCTCACTCGATGTTTCCCACCATACAAGATGATAAAGAGATTCAACCCCATAGATGTTTTGGTACATTGAAGAAACTTACAGAGAATCTTACTTTCTAATGCTATAGTCCCCCATCTCCCATCCGAGCAGAAATGTTTTTTTTTTTTTTTTTTTGTTTAATTCATTAATTAGAAATGTTTTGTTGATACGTGCGCCTATCCGGTACCAGCTGTAATCCGGTAAACCTTTAATATTTCAGGGCTCTAACGGTAGGTTAAGTTTTTATTTTCTTTTCAGAGGGCCAATTACCCGTGCTTGTTAACAACTCAATCTAACGCCATAGCGGATGGGTAGCTAGCAGCAACGAAGGAACCGGACCAAAAAGGGGGAGATGCTTTCAAGTTTAAGAGCTAGATGTAGGAGATTCTGCGTCAATACACTTCTACCCAAAGGCAAGAGATAGAGATAAAAGGGAAAGAGCCACAAGATAGGGAGGGGGAGGAGGATTAAGGGAGTAAGGGAGGAGGGATATGGGGAACTTAATCAAGTGGCGATACGTCGGCGTGCGATCGTGAAGAAGGTACATAAGCTTTAACTGTCCCGAGCGTCTAATCGAGTTAGCCGAGTTGGATGGCCCACCGAAGATTTTTTTCTTTCTCTCGTGCCAGGTCTTTCTTTACGTTGTTCCTTGGCAGTTTGCAAGGGGACATTAAAAAGAACAGTCTTGATACTTGAACAAGAGAAGAGTTTGGTAGTTAAAGAAGATCATGATGGCAACTTAATATTGACTACGCTCCTGAAATTATAGATTAAATGAGATTATATGATTGGGAAATGGGCACTTTTTTTATATACGCCTACAAGAAGTATTTTACTACATTTAATTTATTTACCATTTCTCGCTCTCTTACTCTATCGACGTACATCCCCGCAGCAAAGAAAAAACCATGCTACCGGAACTGGTGGTTATACAGTGATTGCTAGAGTTTATTCTAAAGCCATTGATTGCGGATAAGCTGATCTAGAGAGATAAGGAGAGATAAAAAGATCTATGAGCCAAGGCCACTCCGTCTCGGCGCCTGCTTTAGGGTGGGCGGCATTATTCATTCTAATTGGCTATGAGATCGATTGGTACCTGCTGTATTCCGTTCAACGGTGAGGGCGCCAAGTGCAGGATTAGCAAACTTTTTCGGTACATACATGTATTCTTTTATAGCATAGTAGACACTCTTATAGTATACATGTACATGTAGAACAGATAGAATCATGAACTATCACTCTCCACTGCCCAAAGCCAGCCCTAACCTCAACTATCAACTCCACCAACCCAAATACACGATGTGGCTACAAGACTATTTCGCTGCCGCTCTCACCTTCTCGTTCTGATGCCACTTGTACCCGCCGTTCTCCAATCCCTCTTTCACCAATCCTCTCACCACCTCCCGCGCGCCCCTCGGCCGTCTCCCCAAAAGCTCCTCCAAAGTCCCATGGACGTCTCCCGCTTCCCCATCCTCAAACGCCTTAAGAGTTGTCGCCCAACTCCTTGCAAACGCTTCCGGCCTCTCACCCCGCTCTACAAGCCCCTTTACATACTCCTCCAAACCCACCTTCTCAACGACCAGCTCATTACCTAGCTCACCACGGATGACCTCCGCAACCTGTGTCAACGTCAGAGCCTCGGGCCCTGTTAAGACCACAGTCGAGTTGACATATTTTTCGTCGTCCGACAGCAGCAGCCTTGCCGTCCCTTCAGCGAGCTCTGTACGCGACGCAAAAGCGATAGGTCCGTCATATGGGAGGATAACAGACTTTGATTCGGGCGTCCAGCTGAGGAAGAGCGGGAATGCCTCTGTATATACACCTTCCCTGATGATTGTGTATGATAATCCCGACCTATTCATCACATCAGCCACTGTTCCATGCTTTACTTGCTTTATGATATCAACACTTACTCCTTCAACAATTTCTCCGTCTCCAGGTGTGTATGCTGTAACTCGCTCACACTGTTCTCCCTATTGCCGTTGATAGCAAGAGAGGTATAATATACCCTCCCAACGCCAGCACGCACACATGCATCAATGGCATTCTTGTGCTGAATTAGACGCTTTTCGTTGTCGAAGGAATCCGTAGATACGATTAAGACCTTTGCAGCCCCGGCAAATGCGGTGTCCAGCGTGCTGGGAGTATCAAAATCACCGACACGGAAGGTTGCATTGGGAATTTGCGGTGCGCGGGAGAGTGAGCGGGTTGTCCCCACTATGGAGGGACCTGTGCTGGAGGTAAATTCAGATAAATATCCGAGAGTAGCACGGCCGAGGCCGCCGGTGGCGCCAGTTACGGTTATGGACATTGCGGGCTTCTATAGGAGGGTATGAGGTATGTTGTAGATATGTGACTTCCGGAAAGCGAATTGAAGTATTGACTGAACTGATACTGATGATGATGTAGAAAACGCACCGGAGGGAACCTAAGGGGTTTATATAAAAAAATACTACACCCTTCTTTAATAGTTTATCACTGACGACGACCAACTTCCCAAAGCACGATCCAATTGATGATTTCAAATCATCGGACCGAGTGATCGACCATGACCCGCATACCTTGTTAATTGGTTGCATGGTGGTACAAGAGCTCGGTCACCAGTGTCCAAACCCCAACAAGGAAGTCGACGAGTCGGAGTCTACACCCGTATTATAAATCTTCAGTATTTCTAAGCAAGGCTTGTTTCAACACCGCGCGGCCTAACATTTGACATCTATGAATGACATCGACTACAATTACAGGCAATAAAGCCTTATTATGGCCTGAATTTTACACAGATGGACCATTGGGATTGACGCAATCACCCCTCAGATGTCGAGTTATATATGGTGCCTCTTTCGCATTAAATATCCAGTTGATTCTTCATAGTTCTGGTGCTCTACCAGGGCGAGCGAGCATAATGCTTTAATGGAACCATTATTTTGCTGTGGATCTTATAATTAACGGATCCTCCTGGTTCTTTCTTGAGCGCGAATGATTACCTAGATCTTTAGTTAGATCAATTTCAAGAGGAGGCAATATACTCTACCGTTGTTGATCCTATGTCGAACTATGCCGGCTCGGACTAGGCACTGGGGTATAAAGCGCTGTCGTCAAACAGTATACAGTCCTCATTTCGCACATGCGTGAAGGGCAATTGGGTTAGGGTCCCGTGAAGTCTCGCGATTAGTAACAAGGCGTATCTATACAGTCGTCCACAGGGTGAGGACGAACACTGGGTGTAGACGAACAAGGATTTTTGGACAAATAGAAAGATCACTTGGGCAGCTTGGCTGTTTCTTGCCATATTGAGAACCCTGGTTCGTCTTCACCCAGTGTTCGTCCTCACCCTGTGAACGACTGTACTTACTTCAACCCACCCCCGAGATCAAAGGGTTAGGTTTCGATGGGACGGGCTACCACTTCTATCACAATTATTTATACCTAAAATTAAGCCAAAGTAATCAACCATACCTGAGGTAAACATATAAGAGGAGAACGTCCTATTCATTCTATACGAATTTGATATTACGCTATGTATCTACCATCGTTTCCAAGAATACCTAGAAGGATTACAGAATACTCTTAGATGCAGTAGAATTCTTTTGCCAGACTTTACGAGGTTTGTGCTAGTACTTGACTTCTTACTTCTGAATGCATAAGGTTGCTGTATTATATAGGCGAGTTTTATAGTTCTACTCTCCTCTATGGCGGACCGTCTTGCAGGCATACCAAGATTATCTGAAACCTGGTATGCTTACCACCCGCCGCCATCTGTCATTCGACAATCATATCATATCATATCAGATCCCCCAATTAACGATCCATGCCACGGTATCGCATTATCACTCCCGACCATTACCGGACCGGGCCTCTCAGAACTTCACTTCACACCTCCCACGCGCACATATTCATACTTCACACTTCGCACACGCGCGAACACGAACGCACACAAATCCTTCTAGAGAGCACCCTTTCATTCCCTTCCGTTCCACCCTCTAACCCGCCAAGTGAGCACACGAAATAATCTACACGACCAGAAGAAAGGACAACAACGCTTGACTCCGAAACACAGACTGAAAAGACGAAAGAACAAAAAGCATTGAATAACCTCCCAGTAGTAAGTAAGTAGTAAGTAGTAAAGCAATAAGTAGAAAGTAATGAAGCAGAAGTGGTAGTAGCCAATGAATATAAAAAAAGAAAGAGATAATGAAAAGAACAGAAGAACACACAATGCAGCTAGTTGCTTGGGAGAAAAAAAATAAAGAAGGAAAAAAATGCAAATACAATGCATAAAATGCAATGTAAAAATGAATGGTGTTCTTGTTCCTGCACGGAGCGAGCAAACAGCCTAAGATACAGGTAAAACGCCGGTACTAGCGATGGCTCATCAATACCTACATGCATAAACGTAATGACATCCTTTTAGAAATAAAAAGAAAGAGAGAAAGAAAAAGAATGGGGTATCATGACATCTCCATATCCGTCTCGACACCATGGTCCGCAAAGGGCGCACTCACCCTGCTCCCAATCTGAACAGGACTATCGCCCTCATCATCGTACTCCTCAAGGGTTCGCTTCTTCTCGCCCCGATAGGGGCGAACACCTTTACTGCCCGGCTGACCGCCTCCTGATCCCCTGTTACCCAGAAAGGCCTGTCTCCTCGCCATCCATATCGGCTCATAGCTCTGCAGCAGCCACTTCATCCCGTCGTCAAAGCACACACAGAAGCGCCTCGACTGCACATGCTGAATCGCCTGCACCGCCGAGCCGCCCAGGTGCTGCATGATATAGGCCGCGGCCACCGCGGCACTCCTCTCATTCCCGCTCTCGCAGAACAGCAGCGTCTTCCCGCCCGGCGGTAGCGCCCGGTGCGCCTGGAAGTACGCCCGCTGGTACGTGTACAGCACGCGGCCGTCAATCGGCACATTGATCTCGTTTGGGCGCTCCGCGCCCAGGCCCGAGAGGTAGTGCTCGTCGATGAGGTCCGTCGCGCGCTGGAACTGCGCAATGAGCTGCTGGTTCCCCGAGACGTCGATGCTCTCGAAGCGGACGCCGGGGAGCTGGGTTGCGAGGAGGTTTGCCTTTGCGGTCATGGCGCTGCGGACGGCGAGCAGCAGCGTGATGTTCTCGCGCTTGATGAAGTCGATGGACTTTGCGGCGCTGAGGGGGCCGAGCCAGAGGTGGGTGAGGATCTGCTGGGCTTCCCGGCGGGACTCGTATTTCCAGTCCTGGAGGGAGGTGGGGAGGATGCTGCTGCTCGGGGAGACTACCATGTGTTCGAGCGTGGGTTGGGGGTCGGAGCCATCGAATTGGCGGGCTTCGGGGTTGAGCGTGGGTGGGGGTATCAGAATGCGGGGAGGGGCGGGGAGCCCGGCGGTGTAGACGTTGTTGGGCTGGTGGGATGAGGGCGTTTGGAGGGACATGGCATTGGCCATTGGCTGTGATGGTGATGGAGTGAGCGAATGACAGGACAGGGCAGAACGGCGTGTATTAGCAGAGGGTATGATTGCAGGTAGGAATGAAATAGGAAGGAGAGAACTGATAGAGAGATGTGCAGAGGATAGAGAGAGTGAGAGAGTGAGAGAGAAGAGAGGAGGAGGAGGAGAGGGATGCGAAGAAGGAGAGGGATGCGAAGAAGGAGAGGGAGAAAGTGAGAAAGCGTGTGTGTGGCCGTGTGGAAGCTACGAGGGCTGACGGGAGTCCGGGACAGGACAGCCAACACCAGCAGCAGCAGCAGCAGCAGCACCGTTCTTAGCGGGGCACTTTCTGATTGGGATCACGAGCCCTAAAAAAGTATTGTGCATTTCCTGAACTGTGCGGATTGCATTTATTTTTATAGCTATTGCAATATTGTCCGTCCGCAAGTGCACACCACCACCACCACCACCACCACACCTAACCCCACCACAAGTGCAGTAATAACAACTGCTCTAGGAGATGGAGCTCTCCCAGAGACCGGCATTCTCTCTGCCAGTGCACTTTGTCATCTTTGTCTCCTGTGTGTATCTTCTCTGCGCTTTCTGCTAGGTTTATCTGCATCTGATGGATTGAGTCTGCACTCGCCATGCTCGATGGAACCTACATGATGCACGTGACGGACCCGTCAAACTAATTTAAAGTGAGGCTCAAACCACAAGATCCCTGCTCTCGCTCCTCCACATCCACGATCCCTTCCCCCCCGCACAACTCACTGATCGTGTGGTGAGTCAAGCAAGATTGCGCGCAGTGGTGGTGGTGGTGTTTGTTGTCTGCGCTCTCGTTGGAATGAATTAACGGGGAATTACCCTGACTCACAAGTACGGGGCGACCGAACCGGGAGACCCTCTCAGCGCAGCTAAACACCAAGATTAAGCTTCAAACTCACGATAATAATAAGACCAAGACAATCATCTCGTATATTTATTATATTCCGAGACATTTACATTTAATTATCTGATGATCGGCATTTATTAGCTGTTCCTCTGGTGCGTTGTGGTCCCGTCTCGAGTGAGAATCAGTGAACAGTCGTCCACTTACCCGGCCCTGCCAAGCCACTAGTATGCCATTTAAAACCCACCCAGATTTTTTACTTTCACTTCACTTCTCCGGACACAACAATCAATAATCACACCAATTGGTAACCACGCTACCACGGAATACTGACAATTAACAGTAAGTTATTCACCCCTCTCTCTCCAGCTCTGCCACGGAAGTAGGGTCCAGATGATGAACATATGAGTTCTGCAATGCCAATTTGCAACCCTGCTGAGCCTTTTCCTCTTAGAAGGGCCTCGTCTCGGCGGGTGTCCCATCTGAGTTGGGAAGGGACATTGGCGGGGTTGCGACATGCGGATTAAAAAACACTACACTTGATCTGATGTTGTACCTACTTTTGGAGGCTTTGAGCGAGTTGCATTGTTTGAATGGGGCGCTGACTTTAATGTTTGCTCAGTTCATCTACGGACATCTTGATCCAGGGCTCCTTCCGTCAGGTTGATGCAGCGGATACACAACATTTAGAGGTATCCTGCATGGGGTATATATGGTAGGGCTGTAACAACACCTGTCTGTTCATATAGATTATTTATGCAATGGAAATCACATTAACTGCTCACCCCATTCGTTTTTCTGTCTATGCTGTACCCGTATCTGTGAAACATCAGTGCCCACAAACAATCCCAGCATCTCTGTACCTGTGAAACCTTAGGGCCCTATATCACCCGAACAATAATCCGCCATCACTATTGTGCTAACACGCTCAAGACACTTTGGACGCGTACTCACGTGCCCTCCACCCTGCCGGGTAACTGCTAATTTCCCCCCACGCATTGTGATCATTGACCCCCAATCATTGACACCATTGACCTGGACCTACGTAACCGCACACCAAGGTCACAGCCTTTCCCCTTCTGCGCAGAACACAGAACCACCAATTGAAGTAACAACTCACAAATCCCTTAACCAATCCAATCCACATACCTCAACTCCACATACAGAGCAATGACCACCGACCCTCCCCACGTCGACATCCTCCTCCTCGGCTCTGGCTGGACCAGCACCTTTATGACCCCCCTCCTCACCCAGCTCTCCCTCACGCACGCCCTCACCTCACGCAGCGGCAGCCCCTCCACCATCCCCTTCACCTTCGACCCCACCTCCACCGACCCCACGCCCTTCACGCACCTCCCCCCCGCCACCACCGTCCTCATCATCTTCCCCCTCCGCGGCGCCGAGGCCACAAAGGCCCTCGTCTCCCTCTACACCCAGACGCACCCCAACACCCCCGCAAACTTCATCCAGCTCGGCTCCACGGGCATCTGGACGGCCCCTGGGCGCACAACCCGCCACAGCCCCTACGACACCACCAATGCGCGTGCGGTCGCCGAAGACGCCCTGCTGGCGCTCGGCGGCGCGGTGCTGAACCTTGCGGGGCTGTGGGGCGGCGAGCGCGACCCCCGGAACTGGGTGGGCCGGGTTGCGGCGACGAAGGAGGCGCTGAGGGGGAAGGAGGGTCTGCATGTGGTCCATGGGGCGGATATGGCGTGGGCGGTGGTGAGCTTGATGAGGAGGTTTACGCCCGGTGAGCGGTGGATCGTGAGTGATATGAGGGTGTATGATTGGTGGGATCTGGCGAGTGCGTGGGGTGCTGGGGGCGCGGGCAGGGAGAAGAAGGGGGAGCAGATGGAGTGGGTTTTGGAGATGATGGAGGAGGGGGGCGTGGGGGCGTTGCCGAGGGGTGGGGAGGGGTGGAGGAGGTTGGAGTGTGCGGACTTTTGGAGGATGGCAGGGAGGGGGCCGTTAATAAGGTTGGACTTTTCTGGGTAGAGCTTCCCTGGGTATAGAGATATGGGCACCTTCCGTAGGCTTGGGGTAATGGTTTCTGTCGTTTGCTTCAAGATAACTTTGCTTCAATAAGTAGCTACTTATATGTAGTTGAAAAACAAATAGCATCGTCTAGTAAGGCGGAAAAAGCTATGTGGGAATTAATATCGCCTTAATTAAGAATAGCTTAGATACAAGAATTTCCCATTTCTAGACTTTCCTTCCTGATTATTTTGGTGCTCAGTTGCCCTAAAAGGGCAATAACGAATCGCCTGTGGAAGACCGTCTTTTTTTTGGTAACGAATCGTTTTGTAATTTCGAGAGATATAAGGCCAACCACTCTAACAAAGTATGTTGATTTTTAGAAAGTTCTAGGCCTCGAATTCATAAAGTTTTCTTGTATCAATCGGTAATTATATATAAGGTTTGGCGTATAGTACAGACACACCGACCTGAATGATACCATCAACGTAATCCGGATCTAATAGGACAGGCAAGTTCTGTACAAGTTCTAATAACCACCTGTTTACCCTCGCTGTCATTTAGAACTTGTACCTATAGAGATTTCCCGCGCCGCCAAGATTCGAGTGATACAATATGATGCAAAAAACCACATATTCAGTTCGTGAAATGCCCGACAATTGCCGGCATAGAGACGCACACGAACCAACCCGACGTCCGACTGCTCAAGCTGGACACCTTGTTATCTAAACCATCTCGAGTTTAGCATAACCAAAGTTTGAACCAAAGATTGCGCTCAGCTTGAGCCAGTTCATCCTCATTCCTTCCTGAGGCGTACAAGTTTGAATTGAAGCGAACAAGACGTACTCGGCATCCCAAATGGACTGGAAACGGCTAAAATCGTACCTCAACTATCACCAGAGTACAGAAAGTAGAAGGATCCACAGGGTTAACCGGATTTGCGAATTGGTTTTGAGGTACAAATGGGTATGGCTGTATATGTGTATACGTAGCACACTTCATAAGAGGGAAAACTGCGATGAGAGTAGGGAAGCTATACATTATTACATTTAGTGTTACGTTCGAACCTCATAGGAATGAAGCAAAGAGGTAGCCCACCGCCATATTGGATTGCATTGATCTCCTCGTGTTTTTAGGAGCAGTCTTGACGGTACATAAACTTGGATTTCTCGTGCTTGATTGCCGGATTCTCTCAACCAGAAAATTGCCAAACGGGTGGCCAATTGATTTGTTGAGACAGTCTAATGAGCTCATCGAGGTGGGTAGAGATGATTGACTGGGTCAGGCTGTATGCATGTACTGCACCATCACCATCGATAAGATCTCGGTGCACCAACCTTCAAACCCTTATATATGCACAGGGTGATACAAAGGAATAGACTTGACTTGATGGTGATATGCACTAAATCCTCCAGGACTCTGTATCTTGGAAGGCTAAACATGGGGCAAGTTGTGGGGTTTCGGAGTTAGGATCAAGGATGATGTTTCGAAATAAAGCCAGGTAGTGGTCTCAGTACCTGCCCAACTGCCGAGCCCTTGGGCTCTCGAAAGAGGCGATATCAGGGGTCTAATTGATGGGAGCTACAGACAGCGAAAGCTTTCTATAAGGGTACGCTCGGGACCGGAATTTGGTACCGTTATAGAGAGATTACCCTTATATAAACGGTGCCAGTGCTGAAAGCCGGGCAAAAAGGACCGAGAAGTGCTACTCTTATAGAGAGATTACCCTTATAGAAGGTACCCTTATAGCAAGCTTTCGCTGTAACTACAAATGATATCACATGAAGGCTACATGTAGTTATACTAACGCATGGTGTCTGGTCTCTCAAACTCTCGGTGGAAAATATTGTTCAGTCTAGCCGTCAAGCAGATCCTTTATCGCAGAGAAATCAAGAGCTTACCCATCTACTCATAACAATATCTTTAGCTTTAGATTAACCTAAGGATCGGCCGAGAATTTTATCATTGGTTATGTTGATTATGCCATTAGAAGTGCTGGGGAAACAGCTACAGCCCTGTGCTTGATGATCGTGATGATTTGTTGAACTATATCCGTCTCTCCTACTTGATATGCAATGGGTCTGGATGTAACATCGGAATTTGAAGAACCATGATTACCCCACTCAAAAGAATTTAACTCCAGTTTAAGGGCTATTCGTGCTGTAGTTCCGGTAGCTGTTTCATGCAACCATAGATCACGTACTATTCGTTACCGCTGAAGATATGAGCAGAGAGTAAGAAAAAGGCACTGTGCCATGGAAAACTCGAAGCCTAGGCCGAGGTTTAATAAAAAATCGCGGCGAATAACAGAAATTTAATCGCTCATGGCCCAAGGTCGCAAAACCTAACCCTAAAACAGGCTATAAGATCAACATTACTCTAATGCAACCGATAAAATGGCAGTTTTGTTCCTTTCACAGGTAATGAGTCTTATTTCTTCAGTTTGCCCCTGGAACTCATTGAGTCAATGTGAGACAGCCATCCGCTTTGGATTGGATGTGTTTGTCACCCCATGTCAGCCGTATGCTGACCCGAAGTGATAAGAATTTCGTATTGCATACATGTATATACCAATTGGGGCTTACTTCCCCAATATAGAGAGGGCTAGGCCTCCAAGTTTTGTAGTGTATCGGGGATTATAGCCCCATCAAATTTATAGTATACTCCATTAGTACTGAAGTGAGCTAAAAGATGCGGCAGATTTTGGAAGAGATCCAATAATTGAGAAAATCTATAAGGGGTCTACTTTTCCCTAGCCCTTATTCCCACTAAAACTGTCCAATATTTCTTTTAATGTAGATAGTCTACAGGCCCTGCTTATACTTACAGTAGACGAGAAATATTATCTTCAAAACTCCAGCAGCCTACGATACTAGGAGGCTATGCCACTAACGTTTCATTTGCTAGGCACAGTGCCGAATAACAGATGACGACTTAGAGTCTATATTGTGTATTGGGGAAGACTTTACTGGGCGGTTGTGTTCCAGCTAAAAAGTCTGTAAGATAAAGTAGTTGGTATGTTATAGTCATATTGGCGGACGGAAAGCTCCTTCATGTTCGATGCAGGAAGACTATGGTACGTGCTCATAAAGCTAAGCCTATTTATAACTAGTAGCTAGACCCAGAATCAAGTCTAAGCTGCTGCTCCGTGAGTGATACTTAATGACGTTCTTAAAATATAGCATATGACAGCCTTGCCAAGGGTAATATTAGAGTCAGGGGTGACTTATAGGGCTGCTGGGGCCCTGACAAGGTTGAATTAAGCCACAGAATTGGTGCGCTTGACTCGATGAAGAATTTGACTGTTCATAAAATGGTTTTTATCCCAATTCATACTCAGAAGGCCTGTAGAGGCATATGTCAGGGCAGAAAAGACGATAAACTAACGAAAAATGTGTCCAAGCGCTGCAGGATGCAAGTTTGTTATGGCTCCAGTATATGTACCTACCTGCTCTATGGCTCCTACTTGCTTGGGGGGGTGTTTCAACTCGAACTCAAGGTAAATAGCGGCTAAGCTTGTAGTATCGTCTTGATCAGCGCAGGAAGCACAGATAAGTCATCAAAATAATTTGAATATTAGGGTTCCGAAATTGCCGTATTAAATCATCAATACTTCCAGGGGAGTCCTTGAACGAATGCTGTGTTTGTGACCGAGCTCAAGGATTTGCGAGTGATTTAGTGCTGACCTACATATCGCTTTTTGCCGGCGATTTTCGGTAGGATCAAACATTCTGTTTCCAAAGGGAGGGCACAAAGCCGTGAAGGAACTTGTAATTGACCGATTGCTCAGTTCAACTGATCGCTATAGGATCTGGAGTTCTTTGTTGAAGCAGTGTTTGAACAATGTGCTTAGTAACGTAGTGCTTAGTGTTGCAATTATGATCAACATCTCGGTTACCGATAACATGCGGGCGGACTGAGACATCGCGCGTCACAAAGCATGATGTAAGGCATTGATGATAACGGCCAACTGGTCCGTGCGAGAAGGTGGGGTTTGGTGGGCGAGATGAGTGTTGGATAACACTCCAACATCGAAGTCTGTATTTTTAAGAACAGGTAGCCGTTGTTTTGTTCGGTTATGCAGCTGAGAGAGAGTCATTACGATCAGTTGAAATACAGTATGTACCGGTATTGTATCTAGACAGTGAATCAGAGATGTTCAGGTCTCTTTGTGTGTAGGAGTGCTGCCCCTCGTATGTGACATGCTGGGGGCCGAAAGTCCTTAGCCGTGACTCGACTACTGGCCTTCCCGGTTCGGCAAGGAAGCGAGCGGTTACCCAGCTGCACAACGACACCCCGAAGAGCAGTCACTCTGATCAACCTGGGAAGAAAAAAAATTCGCCCACAAGAGCATTTGTCAGGAAACTGTCGCCCCACTCAGTAATCTATATTTCCAACCAATCAGGAGGCTCATCATCCGCATTCAAAAATCAGCCAACCCCTCACCCACACAACCCCTCACTTTCCCCTCCTCCCTTCTTGCCCTCATCCCTCTCCCTTCTCTTCTCTTCTCCATTTGCTGTTGTTCCACCCTCGATCGGACGACACAGTACATTGTAAGTCTTTATCTCCCAATTGAACATCTCGTTCTTCCGCTAACAGGAACCTAGTGACGAGAATTTTCGTTTTCCGTCCAATAAATATTTTTTAAAAGGGTTCATATAAAAATCCATCAAGATGGTCAAGTAAGTTTTTCCTCCATTTCGATGCAGCAAATGCTATGGAAAGTACTTTGTTGGGAATATCAAGGCTTACTGGGTCTTTTTCACGAATTTCAGCTTCACTGTCGAACAGATCCGTGGGTTGATGGACAAGGTTACGAACGTCCGTAACATGTCCGTCATTGCTCACGTCGATCACGGAAAGTCAACTCTGACCGACTCCCTCGTTCAACGAGCTGGTATTATTTCTGCCGCAAAGGCCGGTGAGCAGCGTTTCACAGATACTCGTCAGGACGAGCAGGATCGTTGCATTACCATCAAGTCCACAGCTATTTCCCTCTATGCTGAGCTTGGTGAGGATGATGTCAAGGACATTACTCAGAAGACCGATGGAAACAACTTTTTGATCAACTTGATTGATTCACCTGGTCACGTCGATTTCTCTTCCGAAGTTACCGCGGCACTCCGTGTTACCGATGGTGCTCTTGTCGTCGTCGATTGTGTTGAAGGTGTTTGCGTCCAAACGGAGACTGTCTTGCGTCAGGCTCTTTCCGAACGTATCAAGCCCGTCTGTATCATCAACAAGGTCGACCGTGCTCTTTTGGAGTTGCAGGTTTCAAAGGAGGACTTGTACCAGTCCTTCTCCCGTACCGTGGAGTCCGTCAACGTCATCATCGCCACATACTTCGACAAGACCCTTGGTGATGTTCAGGTCTACCCCTACAAGGGTACTGTTGCTTTCGGTTCCGGTCTTCACGGATGGGCTTTCACTGTCCGTCAATTCGCTGGACGTTACGCCAAGAAGTTCGGTGTTGACAAGGTCAAGATGATGGAGCGTCTCTGGGTATGCTATCATTGAAATATTTTAAGTTCTGGGCTTGTGCTAATATAATCATTAGGGTGACAACTTCTTCAACCCCAAGACCAAGAAGTGGACCAAGGTCGAGAACTACGAGGGCAAGCCTTTGGAGCGTGCTTTCAACCAGTTCATCCTGGACCCTATCTTCAAGATCTTCGCTGCTGTCATGAACTTCAAGAAGGATGAGATTCCGGTCTTGCTCTCGAAGCTTGAGATTACTCTTAAGGCTGAGGAGAAGGACCTTGAAGGAAAGGCGCTCCTCAAGATTGTCATGAGGAAGTTCTTGCCCGCTGCCGATGCTCTTATGGAGATGATCGTCATGCACCTTCCTTCCCCCGTTACTGCCCAGAAGTACCGTGCCGAGACGTTGTACGAGGGACCCTCTGATGACGATTGTTGCATTGGTATCCGTGACTGTGACCCCAAGGCTCCTCTGATGTTGTACGTCTCCAAGATGGTGCCGACCTCTGATAAGGGTCGTTTCTACGCTTTCGGACGTGTCTTCTCCGGTACCGTCAAGTCTGGTCTTAAGGTCCGCATTCAGGGACCTAACTACACCCCTGGAAAGAAGGAGGACTTGTTCATCAAGGCTATCCAGCGTACCATTCTTATGATGGGTCGTTACATCGAGCCCATTGAGGATGTCCCTGCCGGTAACATCTGCGGTCTAGTTGGTGTTGATCAGTTCTTGCTCAAGTCTGGTACCCTCACTACCTCTGAGACTGCCCACAACTTGAAGGTCATGAAGTTCTCAGTCTCCCCTGTCGTCCAGGTAGCTGTCGAGGTCAAGAACGCCAACGACTTGCCCAAGTTGGTCGAAGGTCTTAAGCGTCTTTCCAAGTCCGACCCTTGTGTCTTGACTTACATCTCCGAATCTGGTGAGCACATCGTTGCTGGTGCCGGTGAGTTGCACTTGGAGATTTGCTTGAAGGATCTTGAGGAGGACCACGCCGGTATCCCATTGAAGATCTCACCCCCCGTCGTCTCTTACCGTGAGACTGTTGCTGGTGACTCAAGCATCACTGCCTTGTCCAAGTCTCCCAACAAGCACAACCGTCTCTATGTCACCGCCACCCCCCTCAGTGACGAGGTTTCTAAGGACATCGAGTCCGGAAAGATCGGTCCCCGTGACGATTTCAAGGCTCGTGCCCGTATCCTCGCTGATGAGCACGGCTGGGATGTCACCGACGCCCGTAAGATTTGGTGTTTCGGTCCTGACACCTCTGGGTATGTCATTTTTCTAACCAACTCCCGTCTTTAATTAGTTGCTAACATTTGCATACAGTGCCAACTTGTTGGTTGACCAGACCAAGGCTGTCCAGTACTTGAACGAAATCAAGGATTCCGTTGTTTCCGGTTTCCAGTGGGCCACCCGTGAGGGACCCATTGCTGAGGAGCCCATGCGCAGCATCCGTTTCAACATCATGGATGTTACCCTCCACGCTGATGCTATTCACCGTGGTGGTGGACAGATCATCCCTACTGCCCGTCGTGTGCTCTACGCCGCAACCCTTCTTGCCAACCCTGGTCTTTTGGAGCCTATCTACCTTGTCGAGATCCAGGTTCCTGAGCAGGCTATGGGTGGTATCTACGGTGTCTTGACCAGGAGAAGAGGACACGTCTTCTCTGAGGAGCAGCGTCCCGGAACTCCTTTGTTCAACGTTAAGGCTTACCTTCCCGTCAACGAGTCTTTCGGTTTCACTGCCGATCTCCGTTCCCACACTGGTGGACAGGCCTTCCCCCAGTCCGTCTTTGACCACTGGACCGTTCTTCCTGGTGGTTCTGTTCTTGACGGGACTTCCAAACCCGGTCAGATTGTCCAGGAGATGAGGAAGCGTAAGGGTATCAAGGTTGAGGTTCCAGGTGTTGAGAACTACTACGACAAACTTTAAATGATTCCCTAGGAAAAAAATAAAAACGTGTAATTTGTCCCTCATCTGATTGAGCTCTTATTTTTAAAAAAATGTCAAAATGGGGAAGGGTTTCATGAGGGTTGCGATGATGATATGATTGGCGGGGCTTTTATTTTTCTCTTTGGTGTTGTCATTTTCCTTTCTTGGTTTTCCTTCTCTTTGGATGTGCATTTTTTTTTCGTACTTTCGGCTTAAATCTTTTTTGATACAATAAGAGACGGATTCGTTCCTATTCTCCAGCACGCTAGAATTTCTCAATAAAGAGCTTAAGTGTCGAAATAGCTTTGCATGATATCTCCTTCTGCCTTGCGATTATGTTTGAATGTGCAATGATCTGTACCAACGTTCCTTATTCCAATAAGAGTTATATATGTATTGGAGGAGATTTCTACGACTGAGTACTATATGAAGGTACTAGAATATGTTTTTCATGCATAGCAGCAACCAGATTGACTCTTAAAACCAACATGTTACAAAAAATATTTATTTTCGCCTTATCTGAGCTTCTCCTGAACTTCACCTAACCCTTATATTGTTACCTATTCAGGTAGTAAAGTATACAGTAGACTCGCGTTTGGGGGTATGCCGAAGTTGGGGGAATGCTTTTTACACCCACGGAGTGGGTAAAGTCTTATTCTCCCGGCGGGTATTCCCCCGGTCCATACCGGAGATATGTTTGATGCCAGTCGGTACGAGGTTCTATGCAAACTTTGTGATCATTTTCAACGGTTTGGTTAGCGCTTGATAAACAGTATGCTGCCATATCTGCCTACCTTTTACAGCGGGGCTATCTCGTGCAACTCTCAAAAAGTCGCTCTCAAAATATGTGCGGCCAAGAATTTGGACACAGAAAGGGAGCTATCCATACGCAACCATCTTGCTGAGCAGGCCTCAGCACACCCGGGCTCAAACCATATCATGGATCTCTTAGGGAAGTTTCGGCACACAGGTCCAAACTGAACCCATCTATATTTAGTATTTGAACCAATGACATCCAGCGTCGATTGGATGCTTCAGCCACAAGTAGGCGGCGACTCAGGTCGCTTAAACGGTGTTCTACATCCATAAGAAAGAGGATTCTACGGCACACCCTGCTCGGACTATCTGCCCTACATGATAGCGGCATCACCCATGGTAATTTGCAGAGTGGAAATATCCTACTATAGTCTGGATAATGTGCCGGCGCACGAACTGGCGCAGGACATGAAAAAATGGATCGGCATCTCAGAGCCCATTAAATGCTTGGACGAAGGAAGATAAGCGGGCGCCGCAACACTTTGCAATGGCGCGGTCCCTCGCAAAATATGGCGAACTTGGACCGAGCCTTATTGCTAAGATCTCAGATTTCGGTGCCTGTAAGTCTCTGTCCAATTTATGTACCGGTCAATTGAGAATGAAACTAAGGGCCCGTTCGGACAACCTTAGATTATTTCTTCGGGTTATTGGACAGACTGGATTATCAGGTAGCGGAAGTGATAATCATAATACTCATAATAAGTGGATAATCTACATGTCCGGATAACGTTAGCTCTCAGGATATCTGTGTTGTGTGGGAATAATTACCTCCGAAGGTGATTGTTTTCTTGGCGGATTATTGGGATAATCAGGAGTTCCGAATGTTGGATTATTCAATTGCACGAACAGCATAGATTATTGTGATAATCCAAAAGTCGATAATCCGTCAGATTATCGCCAATAATCTAGATTATTGGGTTGTCCGAACGGGCCCTAAATTAGCTATCTCAAGCATTTATGCCCTTGGATCAAGTCACACCTGTTGCCCTCCGTGCACTGGAACTTGTGCATATCTGGTCTTTTGGCTGCCTTCTCGGCAAGCTAGTGACAGGAATTATGGTGTTTGAGGATAATTGTAGTGAAAAATACCAGAGAACGATGCCCAAACTAACGACGTTCACATAATGGAGTTTACCGAAATGTATCTCTAATGATGGGCATGAGACAAGACGAGATCATTTTACACTAAGTCTCGTCTTGTCTTGTTCAATATGCATGTACCCAAGCCCGCATATATGCACGAGTGTAGGTGCAAACCAACGGCCAGCCAAGATAGTTAACATTTAACTACGCCTATGTGAAGGGTTTCAATGTCTGTATACATCCAAAGGTGTATGTAGTTAAAGTGACTGCATGAAGTCAGGATACAGTTAGTTTTGTACTAATTCACGCGGGCGTCTTCCGGGCGTTCTCGGGCCGGTCTTAGCTAGGTGTAGCAATTCCTTCCCTATTCATCAGCCGCTACCCAGCACACGTAGTTTTGACAATGACTTTATATGTAAATTCGAGTCTAGCCCTAAAATGGCGACTCCTATCCAGCGTAACCGAAAGATGCGGCAATAGACCCTCAAGCAAGAGTGCTGCATCCAATGTACTTCATGAAAAATCACTCGGACAAGTTCCGGGGAGGAATTTTACATTTGTGGGGTTCTGGGGGGGGGGGGGGGTGCTTCTTCTTAGACGTGTAGAGCTACATGTAGTGATACCATTCAGTTGGATTTTACTTAAGATGCGTCCTGGATACCTAGAAAAGCATTATCAAGAGGTTAGTGGGAGATGTTGACCGTGGTCAAGAATTATAATGCGAAGAGGATAATAATTACTCACGCTTACTTTATAGAACTCATCATACGTGGCAGTGAGTCTAACTCGGATTTCTCTGGAGTAAGTTACTATTATCTTATGGTTGGCGGGGTGAACATTATTTCCAAGATAGCGCCTCTGTCCATTGAAAATTCTGTATAGTATGCTGTCTCTTGTAAGCTTAAGTTGTGGAAAAGTGCATGCATGCTGGCATATGGAGTCGGGGGAAAAGAGGGAGGTTGCAGAAAGCAACACATGTTGACCAGCTAACAGCAGGCGGGGTGAGACAAAAAATGGACATCTCTAGGTGGTCTCGAGTGTCTTTCCTAGCTAGACCGAGGCAACGTTAGTCTCGTGCCTGTCTCCTACGGACAGAACAAGCAGGAGATGGGGCAGAGCCTAGACGGCGTTATAGATTGGCCTTTGAACGCCGAAGCACAAGTGTGCGAGTGAAATAGAAATACCAGCCATTGCCATCTATGGTGCGAGGAATTTGGTGCCAACTAAACTTCGCAGGAAACCCCATGTAGCCATAGCATCAGTGTGGTATTAGCTAATGGATACATGTATGATAACAGGTGTTGCCGAAAAACATAAAGCTAATGGGAAAGGTGGGCACTATACTAATAAGTCTGTTTTCCCGACAATGAAATTTCCATTGTTTATTTTCTTTAAAGAAATTCTTTATTTCTTTTAGTCATTTCGTTATCCTATTTAGGAAATTCTTTATTAATTTCATTTTCTTTATGAAATTATTTTCTCCTCTGGTTTTCCGTTTATTTCACTAAAAAGCAGCACAACCTCACTTGCTGGAACCCCTCCTAGTAGTCTGAAACAAAAAAATCATCTGCCATAAAAGATACAAGTGCCATGTCACGTCAACTATCTGCACCCACCTTGACATATACAACCCTGGTCTACCCTACACTCTCACCACCCACACATCACCACTGACACCCCGCGCCACCCAACCACAATTAACAACTCACCGAACCTATACTCTAAGGATGCGCCCTCTCTCAAATATCCCACAACATGCCAGCAGGGTGGAATACACCAAGAGTAAGAGGCCTGTCACATAGCGGCCGTGAGCATAGCTGAAATTGAACTTCCAGGTCAATACTGTCCTGAATTCTGTCGAGGAACTTGTCCTCTCCTTCTACATATCTATCCTGGTAGTTGTAATCTTTCTGGGGAAGCTCCAGAATTAAGCTCGTTCACCTGTTCTATCTCTCATTAAGATGGGCCATCTTCCGGAAATCTTATGCGGATACCAATGCACACTCAAGGGCCTGGCTATGGCCCAACTCTGAACACAATACGTTTAGATCGAATTATCAATCAATCAATCATGAATTAAACAAAAAAAAAAATCAATCAATCATGTTTAGATCATAGGTAATCACTCGTGGATATCGCATGTTGATTGGCCATATCAAATCCCGGCAAAATTATTTTAACATGTTCCTGTTCCTATTTGGGGTAAGTTGGGCATTCCCCACGAATCATCCTTATCGTGCTGTTAATATTTTCTACGCAACCTAGGAAGCCTGCCGATTTGCGAGTTGGTGCTTGGCAGAACTACTATTGTCCTACCTGGGATATTTCTTTTTCGGAAATACACCAAGAGGCTTAAGTTGTCAAGCACATTTAGGTTAATCAGCCCTGAGCCGTTCTGTTGGTGAACCCGAAAGTGCAGTCAGTGGCAAGGATTCTAGTTTCCTGTTAATCTGTAGGTTAAAGCTTGGGCTCAAATCATGTGCAGGAAGGCGTGGATGCTTAACTGACCAGTTAACTGGCAGATCTGATGCGGGAATTACCGTGCGCAGATTCTTTACAGGAAGATGCCATACCACTGGCTCACAACGCGTTAACGGCCTAAAGCACGGCGCGTATGGAAAACCGTGTCAACACAGATGTTGTGACGAAGATCGTCGTACAAAGCGCGATATCAACTTTATTTACACGACGCCAGACGACGGATCAAGGAAGTTTTTTTCTTTATTGTCTGTTTCGGCCACGCACACCACAAGGAGGTCTCGTGACTGCGTGGGCAGAAAGCGTTACGCTTCGTGGCAGTTGAAGAAAAGTGGAGGTTTTTCCTTTTCCTTTTTTTTTTCTCACAGCGAGCCGCATGTCCCTCCCCCACTATCAGATCTGGGATTTTCCTCATCAAGCGGGGAGTAGAGCGGTATTCTACCACCCCTCCATAGAAGGAAAAGAGCGGGGGTACATACATGTCAGATTTGAGGGGCCTGGAGGGGATGCACATCTGCTACATGCTAGTGGGATTTTGACTGCCTGCACCACTGCACGCCCTACACAGTGTCTTTTTTTCCTGAACGGCGGGGATCTTCACAAGTATTTTTTTGTTTTCCCCCGCCCCGAATATCGGACCCCAGGCGTCGGGATCTCGCTTCTTGTCGGTTGGCTGCTCGCGCCGGACACGAACTTCTTAGCACATCTTCCTATCCGCTTGCTTCCGTGCTTGCGGCCGCACCCAATTGAGGAGGTGTGAAAGGACGTTTTTAGTTGATTTCGCTCCATTGGGGAGGGAAACATTTTCTCGCGTTGCTTTCGAGATGGCGAAAGCTTACATGCGTGTGGAGTGGTGGGCAAAACACCAAAGAATTTCTCAATAAAACACGTGAATAGAGCAGAGCGAATGGAAACAAGAGTGGGGAAACAAGATGAAAATATATTAATTCGCGTCAGAGATAAAACGGACATCTCGTAGACGCCATACTCTGATCGCGATCGGCAGTACTTTCGTGTTTCTGTCACTAGGACGACGTATAAGTTACACTCCCACATCCGCGTCAACACCACCCTGACGACTTCTACTTCTGTAATACAACTACTGCAACTCACCTCCTACCTACCGTACGCCTTCCCCCAAAGAACTCTAGGCTTGCTGCTCCCACACATATTATACTCCACCACCCCCCCAGACAGTTACATCCTACACCACCATCATTACCCCTCGTCTTCTTCCCGTGCCCCCCCTCCCCCTCTTCATCCCCGCTGATTGACCCCATCATGTCCCAGAGCAGCACCGAGTCCTCCTCCATCCCCCCATCCTCTCAAATCCCTCCGTCATCCTTCTCCTCCATGGACTATTACGAAACACCACAACGGCATATTCACCATCCTCTCACTCCGAATTCTCAAATGTCTACTACTCACATGGTCACCCACCCACCTCCGTTACTGAGTCACTCGAGTACGCTTTCACAGGCCTCGACGGCCGCGTTTTCCATTCGCGACTCCCCAGACATAGATGAACGGCCTTCATCGCCTTACTCTTCCCGTGATTCTCCCCCACTGTCAATGATAATGTCAACGACAGCCACGCCTGTTGTTCACCCGGCTGGCGTGAATCCCCAGTTTAACCCGTTCCCAGCGAGCCCATCTATTGCCGCGTCCTCCGCAGGGTCGAAACGGACGGCATCAGGCACCGTCAAGAACACGTTCCCCAACAGCGCGTCATCTGTTCCTAATTCGCCTGCTACGCCGGTAACACCAAGGTTCGCGAGGATGCACACGGGAATTGATGCTAGTCCGAAGAACGTTTCACAGGTGTGTGTGTCTAATAGGCCAATCCTGAAGATCCCCAGTCTTTTTTATATGGGTTGTCTGTTTTTATTTTTTGTTTTGCGGTTTTTGTGGGGAGGGCCTTTTTCCTTACACAATGTGTTTTTTGTGATCGCTTTAGATTTCTACCCAGCTTCGAACACGCTTGACGTACGCCTTACTTAAACTCGAGAACAACTGGACTACAGAGTCTCTAGACCAAGTTGAGGCGCGAATATCGCAAGGGCAGCACCCCAACTCGCCTTCCCCACGCGTGCATATAAAACGTGAACCCAGTGCGGGGGATGAGCATGCAGGCGCGTTCGACTCGATTCGGCGGCACACAAGAACCAGTAGTGAACCGAACACCGCGCACCCACTTTCTGGAGGCGGTGGCACAGGCAGTAGAACATATGAATCTTTTTGGAGGGACCATCAAGCCAATCCAATACGCGCCAAAATACTTCAAGCAAAGGCTGCATCTCAAGCGTTAGGAACCTCTACCAATACCAATACCCCTCATTCAGTGGCTCCAATGTCTCATACAATTCATAGGGGAGGACTTCAACCTCCGGCACAGATTATCCCAGACCGTGATCGCCGTTCATACTACAACCCTCCCCGGCATCCTCCAACGTTAACACCGAGTGGGAGTAATCTAAGTACGTATAGTAATTATTCCACAGCCTCGTCCGTGTCAATGGTGGCAAATACACCCCCACCAGCAGGAGCTGCAGCACAGCGAACCATGGAGCAGGACGCGGTAGAAAGCTTGATGTTCTTGTCATCACCAGGCAACTCCCGCCCTTCATCTCAGCAAGCAATTTCTATACACAATTCTCAGAATTCACAGAATTCTCAACACTCACAGCATTCACAGCATTCGCAGCCTCCTATAGCAACTTTTCACCCTTCGCCGTCACCCCACAACCCATCGCGTTCAAGGCACAATTATGCACGCAACGCGACCACGTGGCCACGCGACAGACCGCGTCATAAGCAGGCTAGACTAGGACTAGATGGGATTGGCGTGGCCATAGGGCCTGGGGTCGTGGAGGAAGATGATGCAACGGATGAGGAAACTGGTCCGGATTCCGTGAACGCAAGAGCTGGAGGTGGGGGCCGCGAGAGACAATCCAGATTTAATGATGTCAGTTCTGCGGATCGTAGTGGGCGCCAGAGAGGAGAAAATGATGCTGGGTTATCTAAACCGGCTCATGGAAGAGATAGAATGGGGAGTATTGGAGGGGGCGGTGCGACTGCGCCATCACCGGGGGCCCGAGGAGTGGCGGGAATGGGGGGTTATTGACTCGATTACTGCTGGTCCACTATTCCCTTTCTTTATCCTTCTTTTTACCATTCACTGTTTATTTTGGACCTTTCATGAATACGACGCTAGGGAAACGCTTAGGGTCGGGGGTGGGCGCGAGTTCTATGGGCTTTTTAATCTAACCCTTCAACCTTTTTTTTCTTTTTTTCTTTTCTTTTGGGGGATTGCGGGTGGGACTTGTGCTGGAAATTGGGAGTTTTAACGGCAGGATACGATTTCGTTGTCCGGTATTTACTTCTAACAGTTATCTATGTTTTTTCCATGGTTGTAGGCGTGTTTTAGGGGCTCTCGTCTTTTTTTCCTTCCATATTTTCTTGCTTCTTTCCCCTTATTTAGTTGTATCTCCTATATCATTTTCTCGTTCCGTCATACCATTCCTTTCAAATACCCGCTTGCATACTTGGACTGGGACTTTTTTCTATTTTCTTTCTTTTTTTCATTCTCTTTTTTTGCAGTTTCTTTGGATGATTGATCCTACATAGCAGGAAGGAGAATGACCTGATGAAATGGAATTTTCGCGCCGAACAACTGATAGTTAATGACAATTGTTTGTACATACTCACTTTGTGGATTAGATATTTCTTAATATACAGGGATTGGGATACTAAGCTTATTGTTATATAACGGGTCTCATATGTGGATGTGGCTTTCCGTGGTTGTGCCGGATGGTCGCATGTGGTGGAAGGAAGGGGGCGGTTGCCAAGGTCGAGTGAGGGACCATGATGCAGAATGGGCCAAGTGAAAGTTACTTAAAGGGTGAAAAATCATAACAGAAAGTTGAGGAGTTTTGGTTTCAGACTGTATGGAGAGCCTTCTCTTGGTTGTTTGATTTGTAGAGTCGGTTGCGAGTGACCGAGTGATCGACTGTGATTGTATGCATGGTGCCTAAATCTGGACGGGTTGTTTTAGTGGTACGGATAGATACATTGAGTATAAGATATTTGGAATAGTACCTTTAATAATCTTCACCTTTTCCATTGACTGTTTCGAGACTGACTCCTGCATGTAGGTCGCGTCTGTTTGCAAACAAACAGATACACAAAGTGTTTAAAAGACGGACAGAGCTCATTGGGCTGTTTCAAGTATAGATCTGGGCCGAACGATACTGAGAAAAATGTGCTGGAATAAAAGGGCCTACACTTTCTCGATATGCCAATGGGACCGTAAACAGGTATTTACGTAGTAAATAGTCAAGGTCATAACAAAGTCTGACGGGCTGTAAACGGTTGCTATGGAGACAGCAGCTTAAGTTGTTTCGACAGAGCCATAACTGCATAAGGTATCTTATTTCCTTTTTCTCTCGAGGGGTGGGGGTGGGGACAGGCATAATTTACATGGATGATGATTTTGGGCCTGTCCTTAGTGACATATCGATATTGGCGGCAGAAGAACGTCGAGGCTCTCTATATTTCTTTTGCCGTCCTGGATCGGCCATGAGATGACCGTGCCTTAGATAGTGTGATGATTTCGCCCAACTGATTCCGAACTATCTACTTGTTTACGCAAGTGTTTTGGTCACCTTGGCACCATTCCTGGGATAATCCAGAATCAATATCGTACAAGGGACCGATCACAGCTATGAGCACTCATAGGAACTGGAGGGTTAAGCATGTCAACCGTTTGTTTGTTCCTTCCCCGTAAAGTATGTCAACCACGTGGCGTAATACAATATGGTGCATGCTATTGGTAAGGATAGACACCCTGACCTTCTGTGCTTTTGTGTTGTCAGGACAGTGATAAGAGCGAGAGAGGGTGGGTACATGGGGATTATTATCACGACAATTGGAAACTACGTCATCGGGGAGGAGGACTCGATCTGCTTCCTCACGGCTGCTTACCTAGGCTTCCATCGGTCCTTTTTTTGTTTGTTGTTGGTCCTGGAAAAAAATGGGTAATTTTACCATCAAGGGAATTTTAAACAATGGCTAACTAACAACTCTCTCTTGATTGGTTGATATCCCCTTTGATATTTTGCGGGAGGTGTTGACACTCGGGACGCGATTGAAACTCCGGGGGGGGGGGGGGTTCTGTCTTGGCACCTTTCACTTTCTCGGGGAAAAAAAAAGAACGTCTTTACGTCCTAAGCATCCAGCCAGTACCTGCCAGCCACTACTCAAACTGCCAACCCCCCAAACGTCTACCCACACGCCCCTCTCTACTCCGGGGATCCAAAAGCAAGCCTGAAAGTTCGATACTACAAACACGCGCCCATCCATCTGGTACCATCTCGTCCACCGTTTCCCATCAATCATCTCGATCTCACCCACCCCCCTCCCTCCCATCCTTCCCCTGGTCCGAGTTTAACTCTCTGCCTCTCGATTGCTTGCCGTCTACCTGTGGGAGTGCCGCGCAATGATGTTGTTCGACGACGGGGATGCAGCTCTGCTCAAGAAGTGGATTGTGAAGCGGTTGGAGGATATGTATGTTCTCAGATCCCCTCCATTGCGTTATCGATATTCCTAGCTGCTGTCGGGGGTGATGATGCGATGGTTCAACTGGATGAAACAGCGCGAATCGAGAGCTGACTGTGAATGGCCATAGCTCTGATGCGGACTCGGACGTACTTGCGGACTACGTATTGGCACTCTTACGGCATGATCAAGTTGACGACGAGGTTAAGAAACTATGTATCGAACAGCTTGATGATTTCCTACGCGAACGTAATTGATCCCTCCTTCCCCCCCCCTCCCATCCTTTGTCGTGTGTTTTGTTCGGAGGATTGATTGGGGGGCAAACATTTTAGACACGGAACAATTCGTCAATGATGTCTTCCTCACTCTGAAAACAAAGAGTTTTATCTCCGTAAATTCTACCCTCGCCGGCTCGGCTGGCGTCTCAATTCTCCCACCATCACCACCTGCACCACTGGAAAGAGAATCTTCCCAAAGCTCAGATTACAGGAGAGAGCGGGATGACCGCGAATCACGTGGACAGAAGCGAGGTTATTTTGATCGCGATCGGGACGGCGGAAGGGGGCAAGACGGTCACTACGGTCAGAGCAGCGGTAATAGCAGTCGGGGATTCAAGGCACCGCGTCGCGCTGGGGCCTCGGGACCGGGTAGATGGACGAGAGGCGACCCTGCTGGGGCTCCTGCGAGAGGAGGATATCAGGGCCCACATTCACCGGCGCAACAGCATCAACAGCCTGTAACGCCACAGCCAGATAATCACTTTGTTCCTCCTCCACCCGGGCCGCCGGCGCCGATGCCATTCGCCATGCCGGGGATGCCACCGCCGCCAGGATTCCCATGGGCAGTGCCAAATCCAAACGATCCGATGGCAGCATTTTTGGCTGCACAGGCAGCGGCGGCATGGGGCTTCCCGCCTGTAATGGGCGCGATGCCGGGGGCGAAGCCAGGCGAGGAGAAAAAGATTGTGAAAAAGATTGGAGAGCGCTGTAAGGACTATGACGAGAAGGGCTTCTGTATGAAAGGTGATATGTGCCCGTATGAGCACGGTACAGACCATATTGTGGTTCCGGGGGAGGATGCTGCAGAAGGTAATTTTTCCGTTTAATTTCTAGACTAACTCTGTGTGTTATGGCTGACCGGACAATCTAGAGTACGACCCAAACAACTCACAGTTATTCACCAATTCTAAAGCTCCCTCCGACCGACCTCTCCGTCAAGACCGCCCTCACCGTGGACGAGGTGGTACTCGTGGCGGCCGTGGCGGCCGCTCTGAAATATCCGGGATGGGACCTTCGTATGATCGCTCAAACATGACACTAGTAGTCGAGCACATTCCCGACGACAAGTTGGCAGAAGGCTCTGTCCGCGACTTCTTTTCAAGCTTCGGAACCGTGACCAACGTTGACGTCCAGCCCCATAAGCACCTCGCAACGGTATCGTTTGAGCGTTGGTCAATGGCAAAGAAGGCTTACGACTCACCTGCGCCTATCTTTGATAATCGCTTCGTAAAAGTGTTTTGGTACAAGCCTGAGCCCGGGGCGGCCGCCAATCCCAACGGCACTGCTGTGCACCATGCCTCCGCAGAGCCTATGGATACTCGGAGCCACCTTAATGACGATGAGGAGATCGATATGGAGGAATTCAAGCAGCGACAGGAAGAGGCGCAAAAAGCATATGAAGCCAAGATGGCAAAGAAGAAGGCGAACGAAGAAGCGGCCAGAGAGCTCGAAAGGCGGAAAGAGGAGCTGCTGAAACTGCAGATGGAAGAGAAGAGGAAGCTTATGGAAAAGCTGAATAAGAAGATTGCTGGTCAGGCCTCAGCGGCACCTTCCGCATCTCCACCGCCAAAGATGGAAGAAGGGGCAAAGAGTGCAAGCCCTGCGCCGACAAGTAATGGGGGATCTACGGCTCCAAAGGATGCCGCTTCGACGGCTGCGTTGAAGGCGCAATTAGAGGCGTTAGAAGCAGAAGCGAGGGCATTGGGAATTGAGGGAAATACCGGAGAGGAGTTTGACCTTGAGGGATTTAGAGGACGGGGTAGAGGCAGAGGGCGCTTTGCACCAAGAGGTGGCAGGGGCGGTTACATACCCAGAGGCAGAGGCGTGCCGTACAGTCCTTATGGAACGTACAGAGGCCGTGGAGGATTTCAACCCGGGGGTTTCCAAGCTGCGAGAGGGAGAGGCGGTACATTGAAGTTGGACAACCGGCCTAAGAGGGTTGCCATCAGTGCGCCAGACCTCAAGGGCGAGAAAGACGAAGACTTTAGGCATTATCTGATGGTATGCGCTGGCCAAGCCCTTTCCTATACATAGGTTTGAGAGACTGACATTTAAGTAGAATACGGGACTTGAGGTTGAGGGAATTGAGCCGCATCCTGAGAAGGATGACACCCAGATCATCACCTTTAAGGACAGAAGATCTGCCGAACAGGTTTGTATTATCGCTACCCCCACTATCCCATTCACCCTGCTAATAGTTTCTCTAGTTCGTCTTTACCGGGAGTGAAATACCAAACGTGGGCACGGTATCGCTTTCATGGTACACACCGCCTGGCGGCAGTAGCAATCTCACCCCAACCTTCAAGCCCGCCGATGAAGGAATGGACGTGAAGATGGAAGCTTCCGAAGAACTTCACCACCCCCACCACCCTGCCACAGGGGCTGGGGATCACAGAATGGATGACGACTCTTACGATCTTGCAGAAGATGATGAAGGCAGGTGGCTGCCAGAGTAGAGTATGGCTCGCGTGGTGGATGGGGCTTGGGGGTTGGGGGGTTGGACACCGGGGGAAAATAAATTTATATCATAATCGGGATTGATTTGGGGGTCAAAGAAAGAAAGAAAGAAAGAAAGGGATATCTTTATTTAGTCACATTAGCACCTTTACCTAACTAGTCATATTATAAGAAGAGGGAAAATATGAGCAGAACAGGTGTAGAATGTACTTTACACTTGAGTATTCTTTTTTTGTTGTTGTGGCGGTGGCGGTGGAGATGCTGCAGGTTGCTGTAGTTGTAGCAGCAGCAAGCAGTGGGGGGGGGGGGGGGGAGTCGGGCTAAAGATGTCAACTATTATTCTAACTGTACTGTAGCTTTTGTTTTCTTTTATTGCGGTTTTTTCTTTGTTGAGTTTAGGGGTTCTTTTTTTCATCATTATTTTTCTTTTTCACTTTTTTCTTTTATTTGTATGCCCCTTTCCGGGAGTTTTATCCTTGACGTAACCAAGTGTCATAGGTGAGAGCCTGTTGGGGGAGGGGCTGGTTAATTTGACGTGGAGTTTTTGAGCATGCGTGATTGCATATCGAAGCGTTATAACTGGAAAGTAGATTTGGCTGGTTGGTATGTGTATTTGTATGGGAGATGGGTATATGTTTAAATTGATGTTGGTGGGATAGGGTGGATTGGGTCATGGGTATGGCATTGTAGACTTGGATATGTTGCACTGTTTTAATTTCTCCTGGGGGATGTTATACCTATAATATCTATATATATGGGGGTAGATATGATCTTATGTCGGGTTGAGGGGCTGTAATATTACTACATGTACTTGATGAGCTGGCGAAGTAGAGTACATTCGGCCAGAAAGCGGGGTGAGATATGGTGATGATTGTCATAGCTAGACCAGAATTGCTGGCATGGTCATGTTCCATTCTACGATAGAGCACTGTTAGTTACGTGCTGATAGCTGTGGGTTTCCCTACATATCCTGTGCCCGTGGTTATCCCCACAGCCAGTACTGAAGCTGGCAATGATCGAACGCACCCGAGTGCCATTCTGTGACCGGCATATGCGACCCCTGCACGCCAGGCCCGTCATAACTCATACACGTTATCAGAGACATGCTCAACACCAAGTCAGCCTCAACCTCAACACCACCCACACCCCACTCACCCCACTCACCCCCTCCCCTCTCCACAGTCTGGCCATGAATCTGGCGAGCTCGAGACTGCTGCTTCCTCGTTCGCTTCGACACAGCTCTCCGCTATCCTATTACTCTTGTTCTTCGTCTCGCCGGCTGCTGTCAACGACTCCGGTTGCTGCTCCAGATGGATACACGGCCTCTAACGATGAGGTTGCCCGACTGGCTACAAACCCATTGAAGCCATTGACACTCCGAGATCTCGTCCGGTATGTATCCCTCCCCTAAGGAGTGTAGAGCACCCTATATTAACACTCTACTGTCAGCTTCGGCCGCCCACCTCTCTCCCCGCAGGCCCTGCTAGCCTCTGCCCGCTTCACCCGCGAATTCCTGCCCATCCGCCTCTGCCGGCGTATCGTGGCCCTACGCAATCTTCCCTTCATCATCGTCTCCAACCCGCACGTGGCCAGCATCTACGACAACTACCAGCAATCACTGCGAATCGTGCAGTCCTTCCCCGTCTCACACCCCAACACCCTCGCCGAGGAGGTGGCCTTCACAGAGATGCTCATCGACATTGTCAAGACACATGCAAATACCATCCCCACCCTCGCCCGCGGCTTCCTCGAGTGCCGCCGCTACATCTCCCCCGCAGAGGCAACAAAGTTCCTCGACCACCACCTCCGCGCCCGCATCGGCACCCGCCTCATGGCCGAACAGCACATCGCCCTCCACCTCGCCTCGACCACCAGCAGCGTAACAAACAACTCCCCCATTGACTACGACGGCGGCAGCGACACCTACATCGGCACGATCGACACGGCCCTGCAGCCCGCCCACATCATCGAGAGCTGCGCCTCCTTCGTCGGCGACATCTGCGAGCTGCGCTACGGCGTGCGCCCGCAGCTCCGCATCGACGGCGACCCCGAGGTCCGCTTCCCCTACATCCCCGTGCATCTCGAGTACATCATCACGGAGCTGCTCAAGAACGCGTTCCGCGCCACGGTCGAGGCTGGGTCAACGGTGCCCATCATTGTCACGATCGCCGCGGCGCCCGAGTCGGCTGGCATCACGATCCGTATCCGCGACCAAGGCGGCGGGATCGCCCCAGAGGATATCGGCCAGATTTGGAGCTACTCGTTCTCGACGTTTGATCAGGAGCGGAGCGTCGCTGGTGGGGGCAATGGCGGCGGGACGAGGGATCCGGCGGGGGATGATGCGCTGGGGAGGTTTAATGAGGTTGTGGGCGCGGCGGAGGGGAGTAGTATTGCGGGGTTGGGGTATGGGCTGCCGCTGAGTAGGGCGTATGCGGAGTATTTTGGGGGCAGCTTGAAGGTGCAGAGTGCGTTTGGGTGGGGCACGGATGTGTACCTCAAGCTCAAGGGCGTGGGGATTGGTGATTTTGGGGGACCAGGGATGGAAGGGTTGAGTGGGCATCATGATGATATTTGATGGGGTTGCATGGTGTTGGGTTTTCGGTGTTTGGAGCGCTGGTTTGGAGGCCTTTTGGAGGGTCGGAGGGCCTGAGCTAAACTGGACTGGACTGGAATGAGGGAATTGGGGGTGTTAATGGATTGGTTTGCTTGGACTGGGTCGGACTGGATTAGGTAGTTAATAAATATCTTTTTTTTGTAGCTGGTTTTTGGCGTATATGTCCTGCCCTGGCTTGTTCTATTCGCCGTAGCAGTATAACTACCCTCATACCCTTATCTGTGATTGAGTTCACGACACTTATTGTCCTTTGATGATGATGGTGGTGGTGGTGATAATGGGGTTGGTACGCCCTAGATCTAGAAGCTGTGTCAATGATAGTTTCTCTACTCTATGGTGGGTTGGATGCATGGGGTAGCTACATACAATGATTGGTTTGCTAGCTCGTGTGTCAATGGCACTATCAGAGATTCAATGTAGGTTTAGCTACTACTACTACCTCACTGAGGCTAAAGAGGGACCTTTTCATGATTTGTAGTTTCTCTAGTGTAGTTTCAACACGTAGTTTGGGGTGGGTGATAGAATAGGTAGGCTTAATTTGGGGGTTTCTCGTCAAGAGGTTTGGCTTTAGAGTTATTGCTTGGGCAATGGAGATTTATGGGATGGTTTATGAACACTGGCTGGTTTTCTCTACTATATTCCTTTCGTGCCTATTGAATTCGTCTACTACAACATTTGAAAAGGGAGGAATAAGATGTATCTAGCTAATTTTTTAAGACAGATACTCTTACACGCTGGGACTTACTGTTAACGAGCTTGGATATAATGTAGCTAATTAGTAGAATTCAATGGCGCAGCTCTGTCTGTTTTTGGGTTGGTACCTGATGTTCTGGCTCCCCCCTTAGGAATATTTGAGGGCTCTGCCTCTAGTTGAGTCCCATGAGTTCCGGCGCAGGCGATCTTCAGAGCTGTCCCTGTGAGTGCTGCTTCTTTATGCCGTGTTCCAGATCTTACAAGTACATACTCAATGATCGATCAGACCTTGTTAGTACTCTGTCTTGGCCACCACGGGGAATCGGGAACTTGAACGAGGGCTGACCAATCTATCATAGGATGAAACATACATGTAGATATATGTACTTAGCCTAACTTAAGGTGTATAGTTTAGTACCTAGTACAAGATGTGTTTCTCTCAAACAGAGCTGCGTTTAGGGTTAGGTTTGTCTATGCAGTACTAACTTGCCCAAAACAGGTTTCCTACCCCGTACGAGACACCCCGAATTGTAGCCATCCAGCAGTGCCCGAGTGATACCACATGACCATTACCAACCCCCCGACCCCACTACATGTAAGCAGCAACAAGAACACCCCAACTAGAACCACCCGAATTCCGAATCGGAATCCCCACGCATAACGCGCCCTGCCTTTCAAAGCGTGGTGTCCCTCCGTGGTTGTTGTTGTTCTACAACACAGCGCTTAAAAGTCTTCCAGAAATCGCTGACCGACCAAACAGAGCTGAAACCTTGGTAAAATGCTGTGCGGTTACACTCGGAGTGCACATCTAATCTTTATTTTGCAAGTTTCCCTGCAGCACGGTTTGTAACAAGCTAGATTAGATGTTTTTCCAGCCCATGGCCCATGCCAACAATAATTGCGTAGGCCCTTGCAGCAAGTCATGGGGCGCGGTGGTGGGACGGAGGGAGGAGGAGGGGGTGTAGAGGCGGAGGGGGGGAAGAAGCAGGACGAGCGAGCATGCATCTGTTCCAACTTTCAAGGCGAGCGCAGGAGGAGAGGGGCCTGGTTGGAAAGGTAGCTACGTCACCAGCCTCACTCAACGCACGGAGCTTCTCTGGTTACATGTAGTTACCCCGCCAAAGCCTCACTCACAACGAGCTAGCAACACCAACACCAACGGATATAAAACCCCACGGGTCCCCATAGCTGCTTATCTACCCCTCTCTCCCTTCATCGGCCAGCAATCATCATCAATCACCAGCAACATCATCATCATTACTCCCATCACAAGTTAACCCCTTTGAACAAACAACCAATACTCAAAATGAAGACCTACATCGTAAGTTGACAGCTACCCAGCAGCTACCCCGCAGTACCCTTTGTTGTTGTGGTGTTCATAGTCAATTATGGTACAACCAACTGACCGATGTTGAATTACACAGGTCACCTTCAAGCCCGAAACCACCGATTCTGAGATCCAAAGGGCAAAGGACGATATTGTTGCCAAAGGCGGTTCCATCGAGCATGAATACACTCTTATCAGGGGTTTCAGGTGTGTAACCTCCTCATCCCCCAATCGATTATATCTAGTAGCTTATCTAACCTATCTAACTTGTCTTAGCGCGAAAATGCCCGACGGACCAGCCATTTCAGCCTTGGAGGCTTCGCCGCATGTCGAGAACATGGAGATGGACCAGGAGGTCACAACTCAGTAGATGAGACGGGCTGCCATTTTTTCTTCGTTCAATGAGGGTTACCGGGGTTTTGTTTTTCTTTTAGTACCAGGGATAGGAATTTTTATGCGGCTTCTTTTTTTTTAGGGATGGATGAATGGATGGGTATGCCTCGAATGAATACAATACGATACACCGTTGAATTAGCTTGTTCTGTGCAATCGTGTGACGGATGATGTGAAATGCTCAGTAAGCGTAGATTGGGTGATACCGATACCATCATAAATACTGTCCACGAGATTGGGCCGGTGTTGTAGATCTCGGGTTGTTATTCTTTTGCCTTTGTTGTGGAGGGGGTACAGGCGTAGCTTAGTTGCAGAAAGTGTTGTGATGATTGTGCTACTAATCCCTTCCAGGTTTATCGACCATCCGTTTCACCGGTGTAAACAATTGGGCTCAGCCTTGTAGACTTGGTGCGTGCGTACTGAACTGAACATAGCCGGGCCCGTTAGTTAGTACCAATGATTACATATAGTTGTGCAAGGAATGGATATATCTATCCGGTACATGTAGTGCGTCATTCCATCTGTCCTGTGCCTTGTGGTCCGATAGCTATCCGTACCATGGAATATTAATCAGATCATTGAAGCCTCAATTTTGATTAACCATCAATCTAGATGAGTAGCTATTTTGAAACTGTAGCCGTCACATGTCTGGAGTGTTCCGTATAATTGTTAATCAAAACCCTAGCTATAGTCCCGTGCTGGAATCGGAATGTTTATTTGGCATCTATTTTAGGCCTACTACGTAGTCCAATTGGGCTATGTAGACAGTATTATATCCCGGAATCGGAAAGAAGCCGAAGAAAGTAACTTGCCGGATAATAATGATGCTGATCTGAGCTATGTAGCACGAGTTATAAGTTCGAGTTCTAGCTAGCTACAGCACGCCGGACTAGGCATTGCGTGCTAAATAGTGGCTATACTCCAGGTGATCTGTTCATGGGGTGTTTGAGCTCTGTCACCTAAGTAGCCAGATCAGCCACTATGTAGCTACTGCGTATGTATTTTTAGATCCCTTAGGTATGCCGTCGCCTATTGTCTTCATTCTCCTGCAGCAGACTTAGGATTTAGGATTAATAGGCCCTATAATCTAATTATCTAAGTCACACTTTCCCATTAGATTGAAAAATCATGTGGATTATTTCTGTGCCGTCTCAGAATGGAAAGCCTTGAAGGTTTCAACCTCGTGGCTCATATCTACAACAATATAGTCAGCTCTCAAAGGCCCACAGGCACATATGGAGTTCGGACGAGATCCTCCGCCCTACTGCTCAGTCACAGTTGTCCTGAATCGAAAGTACTGTACTACTCTGGTGTACATGTAGCCAGATCTAGTAAGTCTGTCTCTAGGAAGCTGACTGACCAGCTGCTACTGATGCTACCTTCGTGACCACGGATACAGTACTAACTCTTACTCGCCGTGTGCGTGTTCACATCGATGAAGACCGTGATCAAGATGACAATCTGGATAGAGGCACAGCCTTATGATGCATCTTCCGTCTCCTACCCAGGTGATAAATAAGGCCGACTACCAATCACTCATCCCTTAGCTCCCAGGTATCTCGAGATCGCCCAGGACCAGCTATTGATATCCTGACCCATCGACTGTAATCATTAGAGTGCTATCAAACGTCAGGCTCCAGCGTCCTGGAGAAAATATTTGTGTTGATATTGACCCACCAGGGGCCAGCTGGTGCCACGGGGTCTCGAGGAACAATTCGATGGCCACGCGGAACAGGCTCCTTTCACGGCCATTTGAGTAGCGTAAGTAGCCATGCCGAATCTCATTATGGGTTTTCGTTCTGCCGGTGATGCTGTTATTGACTGATGCAGTCACAGCGTGCATGTGGTCCGTCGGCCGGGTCATCTTAGCCTCCCCACCTCGATCATGATCATGAGCCCAATTAGGTTATTCAATGATATCGTTATCATGTCTTGAGTAGTAGCTGAAAGATGGAGTGCAAAGGATCTAGTCATTTGAGGGTCTACGAGCTTAAGTGGTAGGCCTTAAAATAAAAAGACATGGTATATGGTTCCACAGATAGCTACATACTCCTCAGATTCTGGAATACTCTAGCTCGGAGCACCAGCCGTGACCACGGAGCTGTCGTTCATGTTAGCTCACGCTCGTGAACCTATCATGGGCTATCTCGTGTTGAGCATGCATAGGATTGTAGTGACGTCTCACAACCGTCAGCAAAACATCGTACAAAAAGCTTAAATCTGTGGGGAGTTGCCTTGACATGCGCAGTATACGTATCCGGAGTGCTCATGTCATTTGTGTAATTCGAGAGTGCACAAATCTACCTAGTGAACGGCAATCCCCAGTTTTCCGAAGCTGAAGATCAATGCTTTGTGTTTAATTATATTACGTGCTTCGAGTTTAAGGCAAAAGCCTGTCCCCGGATAGTGGTGGTATGCTGAGAGACCTTGGTCATGCATTGCACTGCTTCCTGTAGCTGGAGACCGGACGAACCTATCTCTGAGCCCTAGGTACACTCCACACCAATCCTCGCTTTTTCTTTCCTCTCTTCCACCTGGTATAGAAAAAAGAAGAGAAATTTGTGGGAATGCCACGGAAGCAAAACGGTTCTATAATATCTGCTTCAGACCAAAACAGATTGGTAGTCCCATACCTAACTACCTATGCATCTAAATATACACGTATGCTATCGATACTATTCTTTCATCTGCTTGATACAGCGACTAATACAGGTATTTTTACACTATATCAACTTTCTTGCATTCCCGATCATTGGCCCTTAAGTTCGAGCCAGATATAGTTAGCGGGCCATCGGAATCCCATGGACTAAACTAGATGCTTTCTTTGGGGAAGGCGAAGATATATCCACTAAGAAGAGATATATTATTTATAGTAATGCTATATAGCTTTTACAGGTTTCGAATCACGAGAGTGGTTTAACGTTCAGAAGTTATATAAAGGTTTCTGATGAGTTAATTTTGTTACCTTCTGTGACCTTTTGATAGGAAATTAGGAAAGTCTTATTATCATTTATTACTATTATATTAATTACATGTTAATCTAGTAACTATGAGAGAATGGGATGAGGGGTCACTAGCATGGCTAAAGAGGGGCAGCGAAAAAGACAGGGAGGAAAGAAACTACAACTTGATTAGGTCCCCTAGTTCCTTCAGTCAGCACCTATAGCTAATGCTCTAATCGGAAGGGATCAGGAGAAGAGAAATCTACTACGTATATGAAGAATCAACAGAATAGATTCCTATAAACCCCTCGGACAAGAACATATGGGCTCTCTACTCTCTCCATGAGGAAAGAGGACAAATAGCTAGAGGAGAGGGAATCTGGAGTACCAGTGGTCTCGCTCAGCCCTTCGGACGGCGCCCAAAGACCGATAGGGACTAGTACTCTCCCCTCGCGGAGAGTGCACAAGGGCATGCGGTTAGCGGTTAGCGGGGACGGGGAAGTTGGGGCCAATAATCTCTCTCAGTTCCTCGGACGACACCCAGAGACTAATAGAGACTAGTGCTCTCTCTGTAAAGAGAGAGCAAACAGGTAAAGGGACGTGGAACGGGGATGGGGGCAGGGGAAGGCGCAGGAAGGCGAGGAGGAGAAAGGGCGGCGGTGGGGCCGGTCCCTCTCAGTCCTCGGACAACGCCCAAGGACCAATAGAGATCCCACCCTCCTCGCCGAGGAAGCAGACGCACGGCGGGGGGGAGGGAGTAAAGAATTCTCTCAACCCTGGAACTAAACCCAGCAGCTAAGAAGACCCTTCACTCCCTCCCGACTCTGAGGACGACGACCCAGGAACCGAGAGGGAGAGGGAAGCGGGCGCCGGGGACACAGGGGGCGGAGGGGCACTACGGGAAGGCCCCCATTGGTGTCTGGGTATTACCCCAGTGCCGGGAGGGAGCAAAGTATCATCCCTGCCTTGGGGACAAAGCCCCACAGTAAAGGAGGACCTTTGCTCCTTCCCGAGACTGGGACAAAATTCAGAAACTAAGGGGCGGCAGTCCACCCTCCCCTCACTTGACCACCCACCGGGCATCACCGCCCAAGAGCCCAGAGAAACCTTCGCTCCCTCCTGGCACCGGGACAAAACCCAGACACCAAAGAGGGGGGGGGGGGGGCGGCGGTGGGCGACACCCCCTCTTGGCCCTGGGGAAAAACAAGAGGCCAAGAGGGATGTGAGAGGAGAGGGGGAAGGGGAGTGGGAGGAGGAGGAGAGGAGGGGGAAACAAACCCACCAGAAGGCCCTTGGCCACACAGGGGCCAAGAGGGAGCTGAGCCTGCTCCCTGACGAAAGAATAAAGAATAGAGAAGAGAGAGAGTTGAGAGCCAGAAGGTGGGCTTATATAGCGGTCTGGAAATGATACCAAGCCCCGTTTTTCGCCGACGGGCGCGGGAGCCATACACAATGTTTGAACTTCTTGGCATTTTTCATGCTTGCTGATGTTTTTGGCCCACAGGGGTGTTTGGTCGCGGTAGGGAGTTAAACCAACCAATCGATCGATCAGTTGTGTCGGGGGGGACAGAGTGTCGCTACGAGTGATGGCCTGTGATCCGTGAAGCAACGAATGGTGAGGATGTTTGTCCTGTACTACGCCTGTCGGGATAAGTCTATAGATAGTGAGAGCCATTGCAAATACGGCAGCTGTCTACAGACTTATACCGACAGGTGTAGGTCATATCAGGGATTGATCTCTTGGTCTCTTGATCTTGAGGGTCAGTGATAAGAATTGGCGTGGCAATTTCAATGAGCATACAGTCACATCCTATAAGTATTGAGCGAATCTAAGTCCCTAACAGCGAGGAGCATACCTATATTGAGCTATTCTAAATCTATCAAAGCCTGTCAATCCACAACCCAACCAACCCAACCCAACCAAAAACCCAAAGCAAAACCCCCCAAACCCCCAAACACCCCCAAAGCTAAGTCTTCTTCTTCAACAGCCCCCTAAAAAAATCAAAACTATTCCCATCGCTCTGCAGCGTCCACACCTTCCCCGTGAGCCTATCCTCCTCATCCACCTCATCCACCCTCAACAGGCCAAAATCCATCGTGATACCCCTGACCCTCGCCCTCGCGCCCCCCTCCATCTCCAGCCTCACAACCTGGTCCGTATGCAGCCAACAGCCATAATACCGCTCCTCAAACACCCCAAACCCATGCTCACAGAACCTTACATACATCTCCTCAAACACCACCAGGATCCGCGCCAGCAGCTTCTCCTGCTCGTACCCCGCCAGCGGCGGCAGCCCCTTCGCAGCCCGTTGGGTGTTAAGGGTGGCCAGGATGAGGTTGAGCGATGTTGTGGGCGCGGCGTTGGTGGTGTTTAGGCCGACGCCTACGACGAGGAGGAACTGCCCGTCGGCGTAGCTGCAGTTCACGAGGATGCCGCCGATCTTTACGAATTCGGTTGGGGTGGCGGGGGTGGCGGCGTAGATGTCGTTTGGCCACTTGAGGCGCACTGGCATCTCCGCGTAGCCCTTGTCGTTGTCGTTGCCGTTGTCGTAGGACTTGACGGCCTCGACGACGGCGAGGGCGACAAGGTACTGGATAAAGACCACTGGCGCAGTGGCGCCGAGGTGTGCGGCGTGGCGGATGACGGTGGACCAGACGAGGGCGCCGAGCGGGGTGATCCATACGTTTGAGCCGCGGCCGCGGCCCGAGACCTGGGTTGTTGCGGCGGCGGTGAGGCCCGTGGGGAGGCGCTGGAGGAGGGCGAAGTTCTTGTCGAGAATTGTGTTTGTGCTTGTGATGACGTTTGCGTAGAGGAGGAATGAGCCGAACTGGGAGGGGCGTGAGGAGGAGAGGGCGCGCTGGTGGGTGAGTGCTGTGTAGAAGGTTTTGTGCGAGAAGTGGGGTGTCTCAGTGGGCGGTGGGGGCCGGTGTGGATGGGTTTTGATGTGCTTTTCGAGGGCGTTGTGGTCGATGATGCCGGTGTCTGCGGTGGGGGTTTTGGCGTTGGAGTTGGCTGGTAAGGCGTTGGAGAGTGAGGTCAATGATAATTTGTCCTCTTTGTATTCTGAGACCGTAAAAGTGTCGTTTTCGCCAATGATCTTGCGAGCGCCATCTTCTGTAGTAGTAGTAATGTCCTTAAGACGCTCAACCAGATAGCTCACATTGGCGGGATATATAGAGCTCAGATGTATATCTGATAGCGCTGGCACCTCCTTACTATCCTCCGAGATGTTAAGCCCCAGCTTTACGAGACAAGCTTTCAAAAAAGCGACTCTTTTCGCATCGTCTTCCAGGAGGGCATCCACAAGCCCGGTATATCCTTCCGGGCCAACATTCCTATCCAGATTGACACCGGCAAACCTATCCCCACCCGTCAGCATCACCACCACTCACTCACTCCCAAGGTCAATGATCGCACTACATACTCCGGATGCGGCCCCGTCAGCACCGCGCCCCCCTTCCCCACACTGCAATACACGACCGCAGCGTCGCCCCCATCAACATTCAGCTTCTCCCCATACCTCGCCAGCACCTGCACGCCCTCGACCTTATCCGCATCCACAAAGAGGCCACCACCATTATAGTAGCACCTAAAGCCCTCCAGGGCCCCCTCCAGCACGCCCTTCTCCACACTCACCTCCGGCGCCCTCGCGCCTCTCTCACTCCCATACTCGAACCCGCCGAACGCCGCGCCTCGACACACGCCCTTAAAGAACCTGAGCTCCCTTGGGCCCACAACCTCCAGCTCCTTATCGCCGACCTCGAACTCCACGCGGCCGCACCCGTAGTACCCGCCCGCGCAGAAGCCCAGATAGGCGCCGCCGCCCCACACGTACTGGCTGATGAGCCTGTTGCCGTCGCCGTTGAGCGCGCGGCAGTAGCCGAGGTCGGCGCCGCCGGGGAGGACAAGGAGTGCGCAGGTGGGCGACCACGGCTCGGTGAGGAGCGTCTGCGCGGTGATGGGGTTGACGGCGAAGTGCGGGGAGAGAAGGCGGCGGAGGGTATAGATTGTGTGGCGGACGGATTCGACGGTGGTGCCGGTGCCTGGGAGGAGTGTTAGTGGGGTGCGGAGAGGGAAAGGGGAGGGAGGGGGAGGGGAGCGGGTGTGTACCGGTGTAGACGAGGACGTTCATGCGCGTCATGGTTGGTGGGGTGATGTGGGGTGGAGAGAGGTAGGGATGCAACGGTACAGAGGAGAGACTCTGCTTCTTCTTCCTCTTCTGCCTCTACTTCTGGAGATATAGAACCTACTCCCACGGCGACCAGACAACAGGGCCGAGTATTAACAGTGAACTTGATTGCAATGCCGAGTAACAAGCCTCCCGTTCCGGACGAGACACCAGCGCAGGTACAGGACGACGATGAGCCGGATGCCTGGTACGTGAGATGCGGTTATGTTTATGCAGTTGGGGTTGAAATGCCGTTACTAATTATATGTATAATGTGCACATCCAGGGACCAGAGAATCAACGACACTGGCTGCTCAGGTATCTAATAACCCTCTCTCCAGATACGTAGATAGGTTGGGTCTAATTCGATATGGTACCGCAGCGGAGAATGCGAGGTTGAACGACTGCTACTTTGAGAAGAAGGACTGGCGGCTGTGTAAATCCGAGGTTTGTCCCTCGCAAAAAAGCAAAAAAAGGCGTGATCGTGGGCAATTGCTGATCTAAATAGATGGAGGCGTTCAAGGCTTGCTGGAAGGCCAAAGGGAATACCAGCAGGACCGAATCCCGCGACAAGTAAAGTAGGGCTTTGATGAGGATGGATGGAACGTCTGTTGATAGCTGCAAAGTAGATGCTGTGAGAGCTTAGATGCTGTGTTTCCCGAGAGCCCCAATTTCAGCTTAAATATCAGAGTTTACTCCAGTTCTGGAATTGCAGTCTGTTTCCCACCAATTGCATGTTGTCAACTAGCCATTGCTTTACTCAGGGCCCGATTCCGTCATACATCGCATCTCAAAGCCACAGGGGTGTGTGTGTGTCTGTAGCTACATGTATATGTGATTTGGCAGAGTCACATATATGTACCCACAAAATGTTTGCTGCCCAAGACGCCCGCTGAAACATGCAGCTCACAGCACCTCACTCGAGCACGCGCCACAGCACTCACACAGATACCTGTGGCTAGTGGCCCCTCGCTCAGGGGCACGCACGCCACCGATCAACAACTGCCTCAGTTCCGTCGGCTAAACTTTTCTCGTATCGTTAAGCCCACGTCGCTCTCCCCCGAGAAACACCAAGCTCTCACCTCAACCGACACTGTACATCCCTCGCCATCCCTCACCATCCCCCTCACCACAAACCCTCAATTCCATCAAAAAAAACTCTCCCCCCCTCTCCCTCAAAAAAAAACTATGTCCGTCCCCAAGAAGCAACCCCTCCACAACGTGCTCGTCGTCGGAGGCTGCGGCTTCCTCGGCCACCACGTCGTCAAGCTCCTCCTCGAGCAGCACCCCGAATGCAACGTCTCCGTGCTCGACCTGCGCACAGATGTCAACAACTTCCCCAAGGTCGCCTACTACAGCGCCGACATCACCTCGCGCACCCAGGTCGACGAGGTCCTCTCAAAGAGCAAGCCCGAGGTGGTCATTGACACCGTGTCCCCTATCTTTGGCCTGGGCAAGGACATCTACTTCAAGGTCAATGTGGACGGCACCAGGACGCTCCTCGAGGCGTCCACGGACAAGGGCGTGAGGGCATTTGTCTACACGAGCTCGGCCAGTGTGGTCTTTGATGGCGTGAGCGATATGAGGAATGTTAACGAGTCGGCGCCGATACCAAAGGTACCCATGGATGCGTATAATGAGACTAAGGTATTTTTCTTTCTTCCTTCACGCTATTGGATGAACTGCGAATAAAAATAATAAAAAAACTAACCGTATATGTGTCCCCAAACAGGCCATTGGCGAGAAAATGGTGATTGACGCCAACCGAAAGAGGGGAATGCTCACAATCTCGCTCAGATTATCCGGTCTCTTCGGGTAAGCTTTCTTCTGGCCCCCACTCGATTCTTTTTGCGTTTTTCTTTTCTCTCTTTCTCTAACAAGTACTCTCCCACAGACCCGGCGACCGACAAGCCCTCCCCGGAATGTTCATTGCCCTCGAGCGCGGCCAGACAAAGTTCCAGCTCGGCGACAACAGCAACATGGCCGACTTTACCTACATTGTCAACGCCGCCTACGCGCACGTGCTCGCGGCCGAGAAGCTCCTCGCCATGCCCGTGGACCAGGAAAAGACCACCAACACCGTCGACGGTGAGGCCTTCTTCATCACCAACGGCGAGCCCGTCCCTTCTGGGATTTCGTCCGCGCAGTGTGGGCTGCAAAGGGACACGTGGCGCCATATACCATCGTGATCCCCAAGTCGATCTCTTCATTTGCCGGTGCGGCCAGCGAGCTTGTCGGCTGGTTGACGGGCAAGGAGCCTAATTTGACGAGGCAGAAGGTGAAGCTTAGCACCTGCCAGAGGTACTTTGACATCAGGAAGGCGACGACGCTGTTGGGGTACAAGCCTCTGGTGTCGCTGTCCCAGGGTGTCTTGGACGGTGTGGCGTGGTTTGTGGAGGAGGAGAAGAAGCAGGCCGAGAAGAAGGGACAGTAGCCTTGATGTTTTTTTCTATCCATTTTTTCATTATCATTATTTTATTTAGTACCATTTCCCCCACCCTGTTATAGTTACGTATACTAGTAATGGCGCGATGTTTTTTGTTTTTATGTTTTTGTTGCATGTTGCGATGGACGCCCCCAGCTTCTTGTTAGTATCTGGTGTTGTAGAACTTGGCCGTGGTAGCCGTGTACGTTCAAAATTGCGGCGGCGGCGGCAGTGGTGGCGATGGTGGTGGCAGGCAGTAATAAAGGCTTGAGAAGGACATGTTCACGGGAGATCACTCGCTCGGGTTGCGCCGCACGTGGTGATGCACCCTTTGTTTGCTACATTTATGCACTTGCAGCCTGTTACTGTCTGCTCTGACTCTCCCTTGGCCACCGAGTAAGACGAGTCTCCTTACCCCAGATAATACGGTAAGAGAGTTCCCACGCACAGCCAATCACTCGCGCCCGCCCCCCTCCCCTTCCCCCCCCCCCACGTGATCCCTGCCAATAGCATGTTTCACGTCCGCGCTGAAACAACATGCATTCCAGGGAGGAGCGCAATCCATCCCTTGTATTATGTATATTATAGCAGGTAGATAGCTTGGTTCGGTCTAGATGCAGTAGTATGTTTACATCCCCGTTCCCACGTCAGGGGCGCCGTCACCGTCATCGTCATCCTGCTGCGTCTTTCTCTCTTGCTCCTGTCAGCTTTCCGTGCGCCGAGTTTGTTAGTTAGCTCCATAGCTAGCCTGCCTACTTCTCCCTCCCGTGCCGACGAACACACACACACACAAAGAACAAACCTTCCGCCCAAACTAAACCTTCCATCCAAACCAATCCAAACCAAATCCTGCCTGAAACTGCAAACAAAACACAAAACACAAAACACAAAACACAAAACAACCATGGACAGGCGCAGCAGAGCCCGCGCCAGTGCCGGCATCTCCACCACCACCAGCGCACCATCATCATCATCACCACCAGCAGGCTCAGCACGAAAGCGCCCAGCACCACCATCAACAGAGCTCTCGAGCGCCAAAAAGCGCAAACCCCCCACCACCACCTCTTCATCCACCTCCTCCTCCACAGCAGCCGCAACACCATCCTCAAAGCGCCACCCAACCGCTCCAACCCCATCATCAAAGCGCCAATCCACCGCCACCAAACCGCCACCCACCACCACTGCAGCAGCGCCAGAAAGCAGTCATGTGCGCCTGCACATCGTGTACAACTTCGGGCATGTGACGACCCACGATGTGCCTTTGCGCACACGGCTGACGGAGCTGTTTGCGCTGCACCATGCGGCGGGGGGGCGTGCGCCAGGGCGCGGGGTGGTGCTGCGGCAGACGGGGGGTGAGGTTGTGGTTGGTGGTGGCAGGTACTGGGTTGTGGGTGACAGGGGGGAGGGGAGAAAGACGGTGGGGTGGGAGTGGGGGAGGTTTGGCGAGGGGGTAAGGGTTGGTGATGCCGGGTGGGGGTTGGTGGGGGGAGTGGGATGGGTGGCGTGTGTTAAGGTTGTGGGGAGGGGGAAGGGGGGGGAGGAAAGTGAAGGGGAGAGTGAGGGGGAGGACGGGGATGGGGATGGGGGGGAGGAGGAGGAGGAAAAGGAGGATGGGGAGGACGAACAAACCGACGAGACTGGCGGAAATGGTGACGAGGAAGATGGGGAGGATAATGACGAAGATGATGAAGAAGAGGCCGAGTCGGACGACAGCGACGAGTTTGACGACGAAGAATAGCCGGCTGGTATCAAACCAGCTTGAAAAAAAGTCCTTTGTTGACGAAAGGGGTAACTATCTGCCTGCAGCTGTTAATAATTAGTCAAAAGCAGTGAACAGTCCTCAGTGGGTTGGTTCATCGAGAAAAACACCCCTTCCGAAATAATAAATATTAGTATTAGTATCTGAATAGCACGGGATTTCTGGTGATATATCCCATGTAGTGCTGTGTTTGATCTTTGGATCATGGAAGATCACTCGCGGTATTCAACCAATCAGTTGTTGGTTTTGACTAAAGGCTGTCTCATATGTAGATAAGAAATAGCAAGGATATTCCTTTAGCTTTAACTCTTCGATCGAAAGTTATAACAAGAAGAAATGTGTTCTATAAACACATTTTTTCTGTGCTATCTGTATACCCTTTAGTTTTGGCAATGACAATGCGTACATGCCGATATTATTTATTATAACTGTGTGTAGATATATATAATCAACACATTCTAGACAAGAAACTATTCACTAAGATATGATGTTAATAAGGGTTAGCCTAAGGATACAACATACAAGTGGAAGTGAGTAATATAATAATTTACCAACCACCAGACAAGAGTATCTATAGATACTCAAGTCCCTTTAACGTAGATGTTATCAGGCGCCCCAGCGTCATACCTCGACTTCCAAATACACTTGAAAGTCTCCGCTCCCACACTCTGCGCCACGACTCCCCCACAATGGTCCGGCTGTTTCCACTCACTAAAAACCGCACCCATTATCATTAGCCCATTATCAACCATCACCACCACACATCCAAGACCAAGAGATCACTCACTGATCCAGCACCAGAGTCGAATCCCTCGTATCCATCTCCAGCGTGACATACTCTGCCGGCTCACATCCCTTGACATGCTGCACCCACACCACCCTGGCCACACCCTTTCCCCCCGCCGGGCAGTTCAGATCCTTAAAGTCCAGCCCAAAGCTCCCCAGCTTCGCGCCATACTTCTTCCTCTCCCTCTCATACCTTACCATCAGATCAAAATTATTATAATCCGTGCACTGCGGGTGCTTATTGACGACCCCGGGCGCGCCCACAACCTTCCTCGCAAACACCAGCCACGACCCCGTCTGCAGCTCAAACCCCGAATCATCCGTACTCACGGGCATCTCGGGCACCGTCGTACTCACCGGCGGGCCCGCAGTCACCGTCGGCCTCTCCACAAACGTCGTGACCCTCGCCGCGTCGTTCTCCCGGTTCTTGCGCAGCGTGAAATACACCGCCGGCGCGATCGTCGCTACAAGAACACACACCACCGCAATCGGCACCACAATCAGGAACATCTTCCGCATCCGCCATTTTGCCGCCGCACGGCTCTCAACCACCTTCATGCGCGGCACTAGCGCCGGCCGCCGCCCCGCCTTCTCGCCCACCGTCAGCGGGTGCTTGGCGTAGTCGCGCACATCGAACTTCTCGTCCTCGATGACCGGCGTTGCAGCCTCTGCGGCTGCCGCGGCTTCGGCCGCTTCGGCCGCCTCCTGCTCGCGCTTGACGGATGCGATGGTGGCGGCGACGGCGGCGGCGAGCTGTTTTTCGCGGCGGGCGGCCGCGGCGGCTTCGTGTTCTTGGCGGCGGAGGGCGGCGGCATGGGCGGCTTCTTGCTCGCGCTGGACGAGGGTTGGTTCGGAGGCCTTGTAGGCTCTATAGGCGACCTCTTTGGCTACTTGTTCTTTTTCTGCTTGTTCTTTTTCTTTTTCTTCGGGGGTTTTGGGTTTGGGGGGTGGTGGAGGCGAGCGGTAGGCGGTGGGTAAGAGGGTTTCGACGGGCTCTTCTGAGCCGACGAGGGTTGTGGACCCGTGGGAGGAGAGCTGGGAGGGGTGAGAGGAGTAGGAGGACTGGGAGGTGACTTGGAGGAGGCGGGGCTGGGTGGTGAGGGAGGCGGCGTCTGAGTCGGCGATTGTGGGGGCGGTCGGGGCGGTTAAGGAGGAGGCGGCCCGTTCTTTGCCTTTCTGGGGAGGATTTAGTAGGTGCGTCTTAGTGGGGAGTTTTTTGGGGAGAATTTGGTACTTACTCGTGACCTGTGAGCTCCTGATGAGCTTGGGGGATTCGCCATTGTGGGGGAGGGGAGATTAGATGAAGGATTGAGCGTCGAGTCGGATTTGGTGTCCGAAGTGGTTGTTGGGATGAGATGGAATCGATGGTGGTTAGCAATTGACGTTGGAGGTGACAATATGAGGGCTGTGCATCAGTTTTTTAGCCAGCCACATGAGCTACATCAAATTTCTTGCCGTGTAATAACGTAGAGGTGAGAAGAATGTGTACTGGCATATCCAGTCTAATAGGTCATTTATTGCTACTTTTTTTTCCCCAGCACTGGGATATCGTGATATTTCTGGACTCAGGACAGGTTGTGGCACATGTAATGATGTCTAGATCTAACTCTTCTTGATCTAGAGATATATTGAAGCAGGTCCGTCTCTAGATAGACTGAAAGAAACCACAGTCCACTCCCCTTCCAAAGGCTCTGATGCCCTTGTATTTGCACGAGAAACCACAGCCTGCGAGGTCATCGATGGCCTTCACATCGTTCTCTTGAACTTCCGCGCCAAGCCCCCATTATACAGTGAAAATTTTCTCTTACGCGGGTGGCAGACCGAAGGAGTGTCTCCTTTTCTTTGCTCTTGAGTTCGGCGCGCAAATATGGCACTTATTAGGATGGATGGATGTAGGCTGGGTTAGCCCAATCATAGACTATCACTCGCCACTTGAAGCCGGCTTGGCCGGTCCACACACCGACCCCCCGTCTAGGTACGTACGCTGAATGGAATACAGCAGGTGTAAATCGCATGATAGCTGATTGGAACCAAAAAATTCTGCCCACCCTAAAGCAGACACCGAGACGGAGTGACCTTGGCTCATAGATTTCTTCCCTTATCTCTCTAGACCTTATCTGCAATCAATGGATCTTTACCATCCGCCCTAGCAACCACTGTACGAGCAACAGGCCCAGTAGCATAGTGGAGTAATGCGCTTCCATCGGGTAGCCGTAGGAACAATTGCCGGAAGAGATGGGGTTCGAATCCCCCCGGGTGCTGTTGAATTTTTTTTTTTTTGTTTAATTCATTAATTGCATGCAACCTTACAGTTATGGCAATAACGGGTGCTGTTGAATCGCTGGTAGCAATATTCTTTTTTCTTATTTTTTTTACCTTCGCTACGGGAAGGTAGGAGAGGACGAGAAATGTTAATTACAATGGATTAAATGTAGTAAATTACTCCGTGCTAGTATATAATTATAAAAGAACATGAATGGAAAAGGTTCCGTTAAACCCTAACCCTGGTCATTGAGTGAATGGAGTCTAACGACGAGCTCATGCGGGGGCAATTGAAGGGGCGAGACTGAAATTTATGTAGTGAGTGAGGGTCATTACAAGGGGGAAGCTGAGATGTAAGACGGTGTAAGCTGCGACTATAGGGGCAGAGAGGTCGATATATATCACTTAACCCACGTCGAGGAGGGAGGACAAAATTAAATAAGCTCCAGAAGATTACATAGTAGCAGGAAACTTCCAAAGGGGTCCCGGGTGATACGTAGCTATACGACCGGCAGTAAAAGAAACAAAGGAGTACTTCCGTGCAGTACGGGGCGAGTTGACCTAGCAAGCAACAAAAAAGTTCTGTAAAGCATTTTTAATTTTCTTCAAGCATCCTCGCCATCGACACAATACCCCTACCACCATCACCCCATTCTAGCGCCCCTATTCGGAGCAGAGCTAGTCTCTTCACGGGTAGCAAAAATACCCCAAGAATACCGTCAAAGGTGTCGGATCATCAAGTTTTTATTCCTAGATGGCACAAAGGTTATTTCTTGGCGCACGAGTGATCGACTATGATGCGATAAAACTGCGCTTCCCGTGGTGCTGTGCGGAAATGTAGCCTGGCATATTAGTTTGGGCGTGGGGGTGGGAGTAAAGACGTGGATTTCTCGGGCGGATAGTCTATCTAGGATAGAATATTCAGATGCAGTTTTAGCAGGCTAGAGAGAACACATATAGTGCTCATTAAAAAGAAAAACCAAAGCTCCGCCTAACCCCCTCGGGGGATTATAGGTTAACAATTCTTCCTAGATGCTTTTACCAAGAGTTGAGATGCTGCAGCTACATGTATCTAAACCATGTCTCCGGGGTTTGGCTAAGCTTCAGTCCTAAACTAGCTTGGCGATTTCAACTGAGGGATAACCCTCAGTTGAAATCCTTGGTATTCTGTATTTTTGCGTAAGATAAGATTTGCTTGCTCTATCTGAAGCGCAAGCCCTACCCTACACACGGAAACCATAGTCCCTCTCGGAAGATGAGCCACACATAACTCCCACAACGCCCAGGTACCCAAACCCCCTTCACCCCACCACCTCTCTTCCTCCTTCTCCATCGACTAACTGTACCCCCTCCATCATAATTGGGGGGGGAATCGCATCTTTCATACAACCCCGACCCCCTCTTCCCTAGCATTGGGCCCCACAATATCCTAACTTCCAATAATGGAGCCATACGGCTGGGCTTCAGCCACTTTTCTTCTCACCCTGTGGAGATTTTGGTGATGGCTTGTGTGATATCGAAGGTCTAAGAGCGGAAATTATGTCTGTTGTAGCACCAATTCGTTAATACCTGCTCATCCGAGTTCTTAGCAACACACGGTATTCCAAACCCCTCGGTAGCTTGAAACAGATCTGGTCAAGCGTTACCTCAGGTCTGCGTGTGGGATTTGGTGTGGTAGCGTCAAGATCAACGGCTGTCATATCGTAGCTCTATTTACAAGTGCTAAATTTAGACCACCAAATACAGAGCAGCGCAATAAATCGACTAGGTATTCTAATTCTACACTCTCGCACACCTCGAGTGATATCCCATGATGCCCCCCCCCCCCTCCTTCCTATAGAGAAATCAAAAATTAAAAACAGCTCTCCGGGTATTATTTCTCTCTGTGTTTACACACACAAAAAAAGAACAAAAGGTACTGCAACGGCGGCCCGTTACTACCCCCACTCCTTTAAGGTTCGAACCCAGGACCTTGCGATCCTGGGTTGGAACACACAGTGTCTCACTCGACGCCGGGGTCTAAACCGTTAGACCGCTCGCCCTTGTTGGTATTGCATGGGAAGTGATATTTGACCTTGGCAGTGTGCCAAGATGAAGCGGAACCCCTAGCCCTTGGATTTCAAGACTTGATTCACAGGACAGGCCGGGGGAGTGGCTTCTGTGCCACTGGCAAAAAATAAAAAATAAAACAACAGATAGCTTATGTTAAATACACGATGGTGAATGCCGCAAAAGTACATGTAGTATCTTATCACTCAGCTAGATTTACTTTATTCCGGGAGCCACGACACAGAAATTTGGAATCTACCCATCCGGTAATCATAGGCCATCACTCGCACCGGCTTGGCACTAATTCAAGAACCTTATTCATCATGGAGACTCCCGTGGACATACATGTACTCATGATATTATCCGTCCTGTTACTGGAATCTGATTATCCAACTATCACCAAGGGTTGATTGAAGTCTCGAAGATAAATTCGAACCTTCATATGTTCTTTGAGGGAAAGTGGCTTATTTACAGATATCTCCACCATAATGAGCGGGCCTAACTAATACTCTTCACGTGGCTCATATCCCGAAACTTTTTTCCATCTCAGTCCAAACTTCAAGGGGTAACATGATATGAAAAGACAATAATGCTTCTAGTTGAGCTCGGACATTCAGACTACATAATCGGGGCATACACTCACCCAACATAACCACTCGAATGCCGCCGTATAGACACCCGCAAAAAAAGAATAACGAATTGATATAAAGTGAAACAATACAAATAATAAAAACGGAAAGAACCCCCCCACCTCTATTATCATCTATTTACCTTTCTGGCAGTTAAAACCAAATAAAAAAGCATTTAAGCCTACACAGAACAAGTCAGTATACTTCCCTACCACTATACACGAAATCAACAAACTTACCCAAGCACCAATCAACGCCATACCCATCCCACCCGCAGCAACCGCGCCGCAGGCTTGTATCCGTCGCTTTCCCGACAAGATCACATAAGACTCATCACTCAAAAAATCTTCTGCCAAAAGTTCCACCAACCCAGCGAATAGCAGCAAGCCAGAGGAGATCGCATTCATGACGCCAACCATCAGTAGCCCAGTCTGTGAAGCCGGATCATAGAGCTTGCGGGTTGCAAGACCGATGGCTTGACCAATGGGTGTGGTGGTACCGTACGCAAGACACATGAGCCATGGCTTTGGCGAGTTCTTTGGGAACGCGGAAAGAGAGGCAATGCGACTGCCGAGAGCGAGACCTTCGAACGTCTGGTGGAATGTGATCGCAATAAGGAGCACTATGAAGTTAGATCCTGTGGCAACCGAGAGCGCCATTCCTATCCCACAACCAAGTTAGTATTATGAACTTCGCTCCACTAATCATTTCCGTCGTTTCGTTTATGTCACACAACCTACCAATAAAAACACTATGAAATAAAATTCCAGCCTCTAGCAACATAACCTGCAGCAAATTCTTCTGCTGTTGTTGAGCTTCCGTCAATCTACTTCCTATTCTTTGCGGCCTGATGCTAGAGGCACTCATACTCCTGGGCCGTCTGACTGCAGCACCCCGCGCCGGCCCCCCAGTCAGTGCCCTTGTCTCCTGGTTTGCGCCATCATCATCATCACTATCGCTATCCTCTACATCTGCCTCTGATCCTCCCGCTGTTGTGGGCGTCGGCAGAAGACTATCCAAGTCCAAACTATCCCTCTCAATCTTCTGTAGTTGTTTACCAATGCTCGCGCTGCGCCTATGTCTAGTTGGCCTTGTTGGCATCATCCTGATTACGCTGCCATCCGCATCTTCTTCAAGAATCGTCGGGATAACTGCAGAATTTGAGCGCGAATGACTTGGTGTGGTGCCACCACCGGTGAGTGGGGCCGCGGAATGGCATCCACCCATGGATCCGCCGTTCATGGTGCTGAAGACCATCTCAATGGTAACGACGACAAAGACAGAGATCATGGCGATGAGACCGGCCATGGCGGGGTAGGACTTGTTCCAGAATTCGGGGAGACATGGGTCGGTGAGGGATGTGAATGCTGTGGGGAGAAGGTGGACGAATGCGGTTGCTATCAAAACGCCGGTACCGAAGCTATCGAAGTGTTAGGAGTTGCCGCGCGTGAGCTGGAAGAGAGTGAGTAGTTACTGTCGTGACAAGAACCTGGAGTAATCGTAAGTGGTCTGGCACGATTGAAGCTACAATGAAGGGAAGCGACTCACAGGAAATGTTGGGGGACCCGGACCGCCGGGAACTTCTTGACAATGAGTGGAAACGAGCATGCTAGATGCTGTCAGCACCCCCGAAATGCCAAAACACCCCCAATAGAGCCCCGGATAGAGCTGGCCACCACAACCACAACCACAACCACGGAATCCATTTTCACCAGCTCTATCGGAACTCTAGTATGACGTAGAGGAAAGGAACACCAACATAATATACTCTGAAACAGTATGATGAACAGCGCCAACACATGTAACGGAAGATTGTAGGCTCCGTCAGACTTTCCACCGCAGACCTAACCCACGAAAACAATTGCAATCAATATCGCAACCTTATACGGGAACAAGGGAATTAAATCTTGTTGAACATACGAGTGACGCTCTGGTTGTAAGCTCTGGCGCAAGATAAGGTGGGTTCTGGTTGAAACCTGCCAATACGCTCCAGTTAGGCGGGACTCAGTCTGTTTCCGGATTCCGGAATGAAACGTTACCTTCGAATCCCGACGGATTCGTGTCGCGAGTCGGGCAGTTCATCGCAGAGGATGTCTGGAAGTGTATGGGTTGATCTTGAGCGCTCTCGGCAACGTGCGTGTGTGTGGCGGGCGTGTTTAGTTATGTATGTAGCAGTAGAAAAATACCCGTCCGAAGCGGTGTAGCAGATAGGAGAAGATAGGAAGAAGAAGCGCGAGAAGAACACAAATCAATAACGACGTAACGGTTCAATAAATGATATATGTATGTACGTATGCTGAGCTTCGACCTGCGAGTTACGGATACAGCTACTCATGTACGGACGAATGAACGAGAACGAGAGGTAAGAAAGTAAGAAGCAGACGAATTCGAGGACGACGAAGAAACAGCAGCAGCAGTAGACCCCCACAGAACAATGATAACCTATCAACAACAACACTCGTAGATGTGGATATGCACGTATTGTATTGTATTGTCTGTCTTGTATGTAGCTGCAGCACTGACCAGAGAAGAGAATCAAACATTCAAGGAGAAACGATGTCAGCTCCTCTAACTCGTGCCGAGGACCGATCACTTTCCATTCCTGGTCTCACCTCTACACCAAAAAGGGGAATATGTAGTGCCGCCAGATGAGCCAACCCTTGCCCTGTGGATGGCTTCCCTCACGATTCCTAATGGAGAATATGCGCCGCCGTTAGGCGTTAAAAGCTTCAGAGCCAAGAGTCCCAAGCCAGCTTCCTGACAGGGGGGTACGTCTCCCGGGCCCAAGAAGTTGAATTGCGTGAGGGATTGGGAGATTCGAGGCTAGAGTGCAAGCAGATAATTGTAAATGATGCTTGGGGGGTGCTCAGTACTTTAAGAACCCGGGCCAAAGACGTCCGACAACGTCCCCCTCTACTTACTCTAAATACCTAGCCTTTCTGCTTAATTGTTCTCTTTCGATCTTTCCCTCTTTTTCTTCTAGTCTTTCTTTAAGGTTAACTTGTTTCCCCACACTCTCTTGAATCATATTACTACGTTGTCGACCATGTCTTCTTCTTCTGACCAAAGTACTCGGCTCTTGCCGATTTCCTCTTCTGCTGCTTCTTCGAGCTCTTCCCAGGCAACCAAAAACACATCCGACGCCCAGCAACCGCAGGACTCGGTGCGAGCGAAATATGCATGGCTCACAATCTACTTTGCCCTCAACCTAGCGTTGACTCTTTACAATAAGGCTGTCATGGGAAAGGTGCAGTACTGATTTTCCTGCTCCCCTGTTTAAATATTATTAGATCCACCCGGCGGCCGGAAATGATCAACTGTCAGGAACTTTTTTAAATAGTGGTAGTAACAATAGTAACTAACTAAATTTTTAGTTTCCGTTTCCATACTTGTTAACAGGAATCCATGCTCTCTGTGGTACCATCGGGTGTACGATATTTTATATGCGAGGGTCATTCCAGTTGACGCAGCTCACTGACAAAGAGAACTTGGTGATGCTCTTGTTCTCGATACTATATACGATTAATATCGCTATCAGTAATGTTTCATTGTATGTCTCATCTTCTCTTTTTCCTTTTCCGTCTTGTTCTACCCTGGAGGTATTTCTGTGAAATGATACGACAGAAATAAATCATATATCGGGCAATAATATCTTGAGCATGACACTATTCTTTCTACTTCAAGCTCAAGAGTATTCATTACCCAACAAAAAACATAACAAGAACCCGCACTAACCATTCCCTAGAAACCTCGTAACAATTCCCTTCCACCAGATTGTCCGGGCCACCACCCCCTTCTTCACCGTCATCATCTACGCCGTCTTCTTCTCCAAGACCTACTCCCGCCTCACCTACATCTCCCTAATCCCCGTCGTTCTCGGTGTCGCTCTCGCCACCTTTGGTGACTATTACTTTACCCCTCTCGGCTTCGTCCTCACCCTCCTCGGTGCCTTCCTCGCCGCGCTCAAGACCGTTGTCACAAACCGCATCCAGACATCTGGTCTGCGTCTCTCCCCACTCGAACTTCTTTTCCGTATGAGCCCCTTAGCACTCGTCCAGACTCTCATCTACGCATACTGCACTGGGGAGATTGAGCGCTTGGAGGTGTATGCGGGCGAGCATATGGGCAGCAGGGATGTTCTTATTCTGGCCGTCAACGGCGCGATTGCGTTTGCGCTCAATGTGATCAGTTTTACGGCGAACAAGAAGACTGGTGCTCTGACAATGACGGTTGCGGCGAATGTCAAGCAGATACTGACCATTGTGTTGAGTATCATGTTTTGGGGGCTTGCCGTTAGCTGGTTAAATGTGTCGGGGATCTGCTTGACGCTGGCGGGAGGTGCATGGTATGCGAAGGTGGAGTTGGAGGCGAAGCAGACAAGGAGTGCAGCGCCGGCGCTGGAGCCTTTGAGGGAGGTTAAGGCTGGGTAGATGGAATATTTCTTTTGGGTACTTTTTTCATGGGACGGTCATAGGGTGCTAGGGCTTGTATAATCATTAGGGCTAAATTGTAGTTATTAAAATCATTTTAACTCGGTTATATTCTGGTGCCATCAGTATGGGGGATCTGATAGTGATTTGTACCGTTTATATATCTACGACCCAAAACTACAGCTACTCAATTTCACTGGAGAAACAAACAACAAGGAAAGAACGCCCAGAGATTGAACGTATTTCCGGTAGGGTATCGGTCCAAAACACTTTTTGATAGCTGTATTTTATAAGTTCCGAGCAGCCCAACCAGCCTAATTGGCCCGACCCGTGCAGCATTCTTTATACGTAGCTCCCCTTTCCTATCCCATGGCAATTTCGTCCTAATATATTATCCGCGTATCGTTCCAGTTCATTTTTTGTAGGTTTTAGTTTATTCTTTCGAGTGCCTATAAACAAAAGCAATGTTAGTCTAGCCATAATACAGAAACAATTGGAACTAGGAATGGGCTCAGAACGTACCTCCAACATGACAACTGAGTTTCCCCTTATCACGACTGTACCGATGCGAACCTTCTCACCGCCATCCTTCTCCTCGACGGCATCGTCAAGAACGATGTTTAGGAAGACCTAGGTTACCCCTCGTTAGCATTCCGTCCAACCCAGCTGTACCCACAGAACCCTGTGGCACAGCTAACTAAAAGATAGCAGAAAAGAAGCTACAGAGGGAGAACTACATCGTATCCTCTAAGCACGCCAATGACCTTGCGGCTGCCATTGAGCTGCACGAAAAGGCGCTTATCGAGGTACTGCAAACCAGTTAGCGACTGCCATTAGCACCAGAGGGTTCTCTCCTACCTTCTTGAGTTCTGGCTGAGCTTGTGGCATCTTTGAGTTTGGTGTATAGAGAACGACGAACGTGAGTGGGGGGGGGGTGTTGGAGGGGAATGGAAGCCTGAGATTAACGTGTTGGAGGCTTGAGACGTTGTCAGTCGAGTCTTGGCGTTGGAAGCGCGTGTATGCGGCTAACTGAACCAGGGTCTCCCGACGTCACTAGCTCGAAGGAACTGGCCGCCGTCGCGACTTCCTGGGCGGTGTTTGGTAGCCAGATCGGAGGAGCTGACCTCAAGTCTTTACATTCCCACTACTTTAATTTAACAACACTCCAATCATGAGGTCCTCATTCGCGTCACGTCGCCCGAAAGCCAGGAAAATTGAGGCTGATGAGAATGAGGAGGACGAAGACAATTCTTTGGAGAAGCCTACAGAAGGTACCTACCTCTCCCGCCTAATCTTGGGCCTTGAACAGATGGTTCATAGCTAATTTCTCACTCCACAGCTCCCCGTCCAAAAATTACAAAAAAGAAAAAAGCAACCCTACGCCTCTCTTTCGGCGGTCCTGACGCCGAAGCTGCCTCCTCCGATACCGCCGACTCAGAAACCCCAGCATTCGTACCCAAAAAGTCTGCCCTGAGCCGGAAAGCTATTGAGCGCAATGCAGCGCGCAAATCTGGGCTCGCAGCTGGCGTTGTAGGGATAGATCAGCTCAACGCCACAACGACAGAAAGGCCAAGCTACTCGAAAGAATATCTCGAAGAGCTAAAGAGCAGCACCCCCACAGCACCAATACCTGGGCCGGAAGAAGAATCGGAAAGTGGGGACTATGATATGACCATGGATGACGATGTGATGGCAGTCGTGGAGAAGGGAAATCAGAACCAGGCCGTTGTCACTAGATACACCGAAGTCGTCCCCGCAGGGACAACAGGTATCCTGGACGAAGGGCTTGTCCGAGTTCTCAAAGCCCGGCGGGCCGAGAAATCGACACGAGCAAAGGCGGGTGACTTCATCTCGCTCGACGGAGACTCGGACGATAATTCCAACGAGATTCTCCTCAAGAGTAAGAAGAAAAAGTCGCGGCTAGTACCGCTTGACGAGGACGAAGAGATGGAGAAGTACGTCGAAGACGAACGTATTGTTCTCGGTGGCAAATCTGCTCAGCGTAGGCAGGAGAGTATCCGCCGTAAGGGTATTCGTGATGCAATCGACGAGGCAGAAGGCGTAGTATCCGATGCCGACTCTGTTGTTTCCAAAGACAGTTTAGAGGAAGAGTGGGAACGTGATCAGATCAGAAAGGGAGCATTTTCGTCAAATGGCCCCGGATCTGTAGCGTCTGACCTCGAGTTGCTAACACGACAACCACCTCATGTAACCCCGTTACCTAGCTTAAAGGATGCGATGAAGAGGCTACAGGATTCACTTGCGGCTATGGAATTTAGGAGGGGACAGACACTGAAGATGGCAGAGAGTCTACAGGCCGAAAAGAATGAAATTGCCGAGAGAGAGAATATGGTCCAAGAACGACTGAGGATTGCCGGGGAGCAATATGAGAAGATGAGGGGCGATCTCGGTATGGGCGGAGGGGCTGAGGGAGTAGTTAGTAGAGGACTGGAGAGCTTCGGAAATACGCCGATAAGGGTTGAAGGAGGAAACGAATGATAGAAGACTATAATGGATAATGAAGCATGTAGAGTATTTAAAGAGGCTAACTACTCAACCCTATCATTCGAAGATCCGTGAGGTGATTTGGAACATAAAATATCACTCGTAGATGAATTGCACAAGAAAAACGGGAAAATCCGAGGCAATAATACCATCTACCCTATCAATCCCGCAAACTAGAATCATATGCGTTACCACCCTCATCACTCTTGATTCCCCTTTTACCGTCGCGAGAATCACAACATCCTTTAATACATGTTGTGTGCTCTACAAATATATCAGAGGAGTGGCGCTGGTGGTGAATGTATTACTACATGTAGTGAGTTAGAGAGGACCGTGTTGGTTAACAAAAAGAAACCTGCCAACTCATCAGGGCAGTATTTTTCTACAGCAAATTTTATATTTCATTTCGTAAGTACTGAGTACGTACTCAAGCAAGTGTTAACGCTTCTCTTCATGATCATAGCCCGAGATTAAAAAGAAAAACGGCAGCATAAATCCTAAGCTCATAAAAATAAAATACACCGAAGCAAAAGCAAAGCGCTCACACAATGTCCATCACAATCATTAAACACGCTTACTAAACCACACAGGGTTCAGATTTTCAGAACTTCAAAAGTCTTCTCAGTTCGGCCTTGAATCCGATTGGGAACGTGCTAACGAAATCACTCAGAGCCTCAGGCCGATTAAGACCCTGTTCTTCACATTGTCCGCTCACTATTATGAAGGTTAGCACATAAAGCCTAAATCTAGGAGATCTGCTTAATACCAATGCCAATTATAAAACCCGACTCTTTGGATCTTTCGATAACCACACACATGCGTCCATATGCACCATGGGAAAATCCTGAGTCTAGCCTAGCAAAGACTGAAGATGATTTGGTTCTATTTTTATGGAGACCCCCACAGATTGTAATATCGCCAAACGTAACGGATCTATGACCAGGAATAAGTATCCTCAACCCCAATGGGTCATTCTTTGCTGCTTCCATGGGGTTATAACCGATTGTGGCAATGTTTGCCCCGCTATAGACAGGTGTTGTATCTTCTTCGATTAACATATCAATTCCAACAAAGTCCTTCGCAACTTTCTGTTTGTCTTCAGGCTCAAAGATTGCTATTCTTGCAGAAATATCCCATGCTCTCAAAATTACTTTGATAGCCTCTGGGTCATCATTGGGATTGGACCAGTTAAGGTAGCCGTTCGAGACAAAAATATCGATCCCGTTATTACGTGACTCAAAATCCTCAATTTGATCCTGAAAAGACTGGACCACTGTGCTGGGAGCCCAGGGATGAAAATTTAGCGCTGTAATGAATAATCTTTCCGTAACCCAAAATCCACTGAGAGAAATATTGGCCCCCAGGTTCCAAAACCTCCCCGTACTAACGACCAATTTCTTGAAAATTGAGGATTTGGTTGTGTGGAAGAACGGATGATAATCAGCGGATCCAGGATGGAAAGAAACATCCCCGAATGGAGTTGTCATATGATGCCTTTTTGGTGCCGGTCCATCATAGCCTTTCTGTAATTGCTCTAAGTTATTATTCTCTTGATCTTTGTTACACCTGGAGAACATGTTTGTATATTCATGGTCAATTCTATAGCTGATACTAGGGAAAGGTTTGGCAGTCATAAAAACATCACGGAGAGATAGATTATCCTGCACAGTCTTTTGAGGAGGCTTGACGGGAATTGCCTCGGTCTGGGGTATAAACTCCTGCTCTGTTGAAGTCTGATGAATAAGTGCCCCCTCGGAAAACTTTCTTTTGAGTTCTCTCAAGAATTTTATATCATCATGGGTGATACAAGTGTAATCATCTTGCTTGGGGATAGATTTTGGCATTATCCCCACAGTATCGGGTTGAGCATATGTATGATAGCTTTCAGCAAGAGCATCAATTTCAGAATTTGGCTTCATACTCGTACTGCTTGAAAATGATGGATCCTGGCCGAGGGTTGTGGGACTAGATGGTTCCGACGAGCCAAGGAAACCAGAATCAGTAGTCGTTCTAGTATTTCCGGATTTTTCCATCTTTTCCTTGGATCTCCAACGCTTCTGGTTCTTAGCTTCCGACTCCGTAGCAAATCTATGAAGATTGATCAATTTCTTAAACTCTTTTTGGTGCATAGAAGGATGTGCGTTTTGCCATTTGTGGAATTGAGTTGTTCCTTTTGCCTCCTCGAGTATTTTCTCGAGTTCTTCACCACTGATCACAGGAAATTCGCCATCATTTGATATGAGCGAGCTATCACTGATAGAAAAGTTCGAAGAACCAGAATCCTCAAGAAAAAACGGGTCATTCCAAGCACTATCATGAGAAATATCTGGTGATGGTTGAAGCAGCTTTTTAAATTCCTCCGAAGAGCAGCCTTGTGGTTCGTGGAATATATGAGGAGCAGCCGATGTCTCAGTGATATCATCGTCTTCTGAGTCATCGCTCATAAAATTACCATTTAGAACCCACCTAGCATGGGTCCTATAGGCAACAGACACATCACTATCCTTATTTATATCATCTGTATCTAGGGATCCTAAACCGTTCGGGAAATGGCCATGAAAGACTCGATCTTTCAGTACTTGAGGGATAATACGTTCAGTATCAAGAACGCAGGGTTTTAGTGGAATATCAACAATGTTGATCGCTTCAGGTTCAACCTTTCTATGGTGAGCTGTGGGGGCACTGGTCGGCTGTGTAGAAGGCTGACCGCCGCTTTTCTGGTTATGTTTCCCCTTTCTGTTTTGATCCTCCTGTGGTGTAGAGAGAGAGATTTTATCTAGTAAAGCATTGATTAGGAGAACCGAAGACTTGGCTGAGGAATTCTTCAGAGTAAAGTTCACATACTAGACAAACCTTGAGCATAGTTGAATTTCACCGTAGGTGGCTCATTGATATAGGAAGAACCCAAATGATCGACTTATAGAGACTGAGTTAGTGGTCATAATATAGAGAAAAAACATATCTGACTTACCTTTTAAACTGGTATCTGTCGCCCACTCTGGATACTGGATAAACTTCACCCTAGGCTTTTCATAACTGCTTACTCGAGAGGCAGCCGTTGTTGTTCCTTTGGAAATAGATCTAGAGTTGATTTTTGTTTCCTTGGGAGGATCTGTGATGGACGAGAGAACGAAGTATTAGAAAGTAATGTAGATCCCAAGTGAAATTCAAAACAAACCTTTGGCTGCTTGCTGTTTTTCCGCCCAGATGTGCCATTGAAGAACCCATCGATGAAGAAGACTCAAAGGTTGAAACTTGGCACGAAGCATCGATGCCTCTTCTTTAGCACCCCTCCATTCATATCTACGAGCAGCAAGCTCTACTGGATCCATATACCAAGCCTCAGCGCGGTTAGGGGGGGGAGGTAGCCAGGACTTCATAGGATCAATCGAAACATTGGTCCATGGAAGGTCATATATTGCTGGCTCTGAGAAGGATTGTTTTTCAATTGGTGCACTATCACTATAGCTATCATAGTTGAAGATGGTATCTAAATCCTTAGATTGAACGGGATCGTATGCTATAAACAATTTAGTACTTTAAGAATGGGCGGAGATTTTTATTTGCACATACTTTCTGGGGGGCTCATGGTCCAAGATTTATCAGTAAATGGGTTTGGGAGGGTTTTGCTGGCCATCTTCCACTGCTCATCAACGTAAAGACATCCGGCACTTATTTGATGGCCTTCAGGGACAGGGATAGTCAAAAAGGCTGCTATGTAGTCGAATTAGTAGCCGCTCCAATTCAAAGTAGGTATGACATACGAGAGGGAGCCCCCTGATATAAGTTATGATTCATCAGCCCTTTCTGCATAGCCTCCATCCGCTTCCTGTTCATTATTTTTTGGGCCTCTGAATAGTGCTGATGAGGCAACATTCCAAAGGTTTTCGAACTTTCACCGGGATACGCCCAAGGGTTTATGGAAGCCATTACTGGCCTTGTAATACAACAAGCTGCAATGATAAGTTTTTCAGGATAAGGTTGCGTTAACTATGAGGTTTGTGGTAATGAAGAAGAGACGGAGTTTTGAAGAGGGCCTTAGTGAAGAACAGAAAGAAGGACAGGTATGTAACTACGCCCCGGATGGGTACCTTACGTTTTTTCTGTGGTGCTTTTAACTGCGCTAGATTCCTCACTGGAATACGTGTACCTTCTCAGCCCTCAACTTAATTGTAATTATAAATCTATACAGATACTCTATTTAGTGCCCCCTATCTCTCGGCCTTTGTAGATTTCCGAATCGACATCATACATGTACTTTTCACTTTTGGTACCATAGGCATTTCCACCCTTCAATCCAACACTTCTTCGCCCAATTTAGTTAAGAAGATATATAAAGCAAACCAATCGATCGTACTTAGCCATTCGTTAGTCCTCCTCTCCATTTATTGGGATGGCTTATTCGGACCGGTAAATAGGTGGAAATTGAGCCTCGCATTTTTATTATCCCAGGTTCTTCATCAAACCCTATTCCCGTTACTTCTTAAAATAAATTTGTATTAATTTATTGAAGGCGTTGATGAACGGCCGGACCATATTAGCCACAGTTTTTATAGTTGAAAGCCAAAGCCACCAAGCAATCCTAAGGCTATCGACCTTATAGGGGTATACATATCCTGGGCCTTCGGGGTTTCTGATTCGGTGAGAGCAGCGGCGAGGCATAAACGGCTACGGATAGCACACTGTGCTGGGATATTTATTGCATGCAGGGAGCTATTTACGAGAAGCTCTAATTCCCCATTGCCAGAAACTAGTCTCTAAGCACCATCAGGTAGACGTCGACTATCATAAGGCAGGATCATTGAGAATAGCCTCTCTATAGATTAGATTACTCAAGGGACGGATAGTATTGAGGAGGCAGCGTGCCCTCGTGAAGAGTAATTCATTTTATATCGACAGCAAATCATGCTATTCGGGTATCAACCAGTTCCAGTACTTTAATCGCGCGTTACCTTGCACGCCACTGAAGGGACAGATTAGAAGGAACGTAAGCGGGATATCCTATTCCTTTTTTTTCCTCGGGCGAGATTCAAATTTATATTTCGATCGGTTCTACCTCTCATGACAAGATTCAAAAATCTCGCATTCTTAACCACGGTTCTAGCTAGCGGTGTGTGCTCTGGTCGCCAATTTATTTACTCTAGCATTCTTTGGACAACTCCCAGGTTGCTACGAAAATAAACCGGTTCCATCAATCATTGACATCCGAAAGAGGCTTAGTCACTTGATCTATGCACGACAAATGTTATTGAACCACAAATATCTCACAATTCATAATAGTCCTATACATATCCAACAACCTATGAGTCCTTCAAAATAACAATAAAACTAAGAAGAGAAACCAATCCACTAAAACTACAAACTTATATAAAAAAAAAAAAATTTCAAGCCCTGCTAGGATTCTCCGTCTCAGGAGCGCTCTCACTATCACTCAACGCTTCATACGGGTTCTCACTGTCACCACCTTTAGGGATCCCTGTGGCCAGAGCAAAATCCCTCCTTGCCTTCCGCAAAAGCAGATGAATCTCCCCGACACGGCCTGGGTCCTCGGGACTACCGATCTCGGGCAATGTTTCAATGTCCTTCGGCACCTCCGACCAATCCAGTCCTGGCTCTAGTATCTCTTCATTTCGTGTGGTTTTCGGGACCTTCTTGATGGGCTTATCACGTCCACCACTCGTAGTGGTAGTAGTCGACCCAGCAGTCTGCCTAGATCCACGTCCCTCTTCGGCGATACTATCACCACCCGAATACTTTGACGGCCCCAATCCTCCTCCACCACTAGACGCTCCGATCCTGCCGCCCTCGGCATTCAAACTTTCAAGCTCTCCCGCTGACACGTTAAACGCGCCCCTACTCCCACTCCCCGAGAAGTCACCGCTCTCCTTCGTCTTTTCCTTCACCTGCCTATCCGCATGACCCAGACCTTCCTCGAGGTCCTCCTTCCCGCCATGCAGCGTCCTGATATTCCCGCCGCCTTCTCTTGGGTCAGCAGCAAATGTGCTTCCTGAACCCGAGGAGCCAGAGATCCCCGTGGGGCCGCCAGCGGAGAAGGAGCCACCCGCGCGGAGAGAATCGGCGGCGAGTGAGTCCTTAGCAACGGGACCGCTGTGCTCGTATTTCGGAGAGCGGCGGCCGGAGGGGTCGGTGGAGACTTTTTGGCCGTGCGTTGGGTTGCTCTGTGCGGTGTTAGAATGATGCGGCGGGTCGGGGGGAAGATTGTGTGTGTGAAGGGAACGGGACGGTAGTGATGGTGGTGCGGGGAGTACGTAGAATAGGCGGTATAAGTGGCGGTAAGGGTTATGGGCATGGTATTAAGCTATTGATAGTGGGTAAGATTTGATAGGATTTGTACCTTGTGTGTAGACGACATATTGTAAATTTCACTAATTCCGAGGAGAATAAATATATCTGATTTTCGTCCTAAGCTTCTCCTTACTCTGCCCCTACGAAGTGACCTCGGGATGAACGGATGGGATGGGATCGTATGAGATGATTCGATCCTAGATACGAAAATGAGATAAGAAATAGGCCCGGTAAACTAAGAATATTTTTTTTAGTAGTCAAAGCTAAAGTGGAACGATGATAGAGGAACACTTTACTTGAGGTAAAAAGAAGAAACAGAAATCGAATCATTCTGCCCACGGGGTTGCCGATTATATCTTTCTCACTCGCAGCACAGCTAGCTACCAACAGCTATTACCACGAAGCTATGTAGCTATGAGGTAATGTGATGTCAGAATGAGGAATTGAGTGTTTTGCACGTTGTCTGTCGATCTAGCACAAACAGCTTTGTACAGCTTTGTACAGCTTTGTACAGTTTGACGATCACGAAAAGCTGGAGCTGGAACAGCTCTTTGATCAAACCCGATATCTAATTGCGAGTACCGGCGAAATCCACAGTTTTGCAACCCGCAGTGGGCCCGGCCGCTCTACCGAGGATCCGCTTCATCGGCAGGTAACTTGCAAGCCAAAGTACTTGTACATTACTCTAGGGATCGTCCGGCCGGTGCTGTAGTACATGGTTGCGGCCGGATGAAACGTCAGATCTGATAACCTTACCTTACTGCAACCCGCATGGGTGATTATCATGCCACCTGGGTTTACAGCAACAATCCAACCCGCCCGTGCGCAAGCAGTGAACAGGATTCTCTATTTCGAAAAATCCAAAGCCGGGGAATTCAACCCGAAACCGGAAGTCAGAAGCATCCCCGCAATGGCCTGAGGGAACTTGTTTCGAGCGCCGTTCTCCTCCGCATTCATTCATATTCATTTGTTGTTAAGGCTGAAGTCCCAGCACTGGCAAATTAAACAAGCAGCCAGACGGATATAGATATATCCAAAGAACGCTCCTATAGATATGTAGCCATCATACCACGCCCGTGCCGTCAATTGCGGAGTAAAGCTGGGCTGATTTCTCCCCCATAAATGCAACGATATTCCTTGCCTGCCCGCCCGCGATAAGTTGTTCTTCTGTTTCAATTAATTGTAGTCAGAGATGATGCCGGTATTATAGGTACATGCTACGGGTAGACCCGGTCCTACCCTTCTTCTTATGAGCTTAATGCTCCCCGAGTCGCGGTCACGTGCGACGCGTTCTAGAAAAAACATCGTGTTCGTCGTCGGCAATAGCCGTCGCGTCGTTTCGGGAGTTATTAGACTACGGAACTCTACATACATGTAACATCACTCGATCGATTCCTTACTTCACCCGATACGGTCTCTGGAGGCGTGATGATTGATTGAGACCGCAACAAGAAAAATCCTTCCTTGTAGCTACGAGTACATCGAAAGGGATCAAAGTCAAACTTAAGGGCCAGGGGATAGATAGATCTCTACGGGCGGTACCATCGAGACTCCAACAGAGCTCTGTATGGGGAAAACCACGCCCAACGAAACCACCGCAAGGAGGATCTCGGATCAATTTCTGCTAGCAGATCGCACTCTAACTTCCCCCAGATTCTCCTTATTCTGTTAGGGTAGCCTGTAAAGGTACTCTATCCAGGTTGGCAGGTAGGAGTCAAATTTCAGTCACTTGGTCAAGAGGACACGTTCCCTCAAAAAAAAAAAAAAGATCAGCCCGGAAAAACTGGTGATGTTTTCGATATTTTCTCGGAAGAAAAAAAAAAAAAAAAAAAAAAAAAAGACGGTGAGATCAGATCATGCCGGAATTTTTTTATTCTTGTGGCGTTACCATCTATCTACCCGCTGGACTGGGCTGGGGTTGGTGAGTGGGTGGTTCAGCCTCAAATCGATGAGTTGATACATGGGCCACCCCCGGCTTCACCCGATTGCACCGCCGGCGGTCGAATATCTGAGCAGCGAGCTCTCAGGAGCTCTTAAGTTTGTTTTGTTTTGTTAATGGTGTGTTATTGTATGGCATATGATGGGGGCGGGTAATGTAGGTACTGCAATTATGGGGGAAGTATGAGAAATCAGGCAGAAACGTTAAAACATACAAAAGTCGACGATGCGAATGTCGTATGGCAGTGACTGGTCAAGTTTTTATCGCACAAACAGCATCTTTTCTCCAAACGCACACACACCCACGCTGACGGAAAGAAAAAAACTTTTATTTTTTTTACTTGGGGTACTCTGGTGCTGCTGTGCTCAGGTACCCCATGCCTGATGATCTACCGACTGCGCTGCCACGGTGTGATAGATAGATGGCCAGGCATTCATTCGTGTCAATCCCAAGCGAGAGCGTTTCTGTTTCTATCACCCCCAACCTGCTTAATTCTATCTGTCTGATATGTATGAGAGCAGATACTCTTCTATCTACTGTATGTACACACAGATGTCAAGCGAGGCTGGACTGGACTGGATTGCTATGCATCTCAGTATCATAGATACGAAATACTGCCCTTAGGTCCATCGCACCTCTTTGTACAGCACATGTAGATTACCATATACATAGAAAGATAGCAGCCCCGCCCTACGCTTTGTTTCTATATCTGTCGCCGGACGAACAGCAAGCCCATATTTTGTTTTCCTCAACCAGCCAGCCAATGGATGGGATACGAGGGAGCGATAAAAAGAGGGGTTTTGGCTGTTCGATAACTACGTACTCTACCCTAAACTTGCAAAAAGAGAGACAAAGTAGGTATCGAATCATCAATGTCATAGTACATAATCGCAAGTGGTTGGGGGGGGGGGGGGGGTGAACGAGGAATGGGGAATAGGGAATGGGAACCTGCTATTCGAACGACCGACTTTGGGCCGTGTGTGACCTGACCAACATACCATATCCACGTATGTATTGGCCTGAGCCATGAGCAAAATAGGTCGACGTGGTGCTGGATGGACAGGATTGATGGATAGGATGGGATACTCTACTTAGATAGAGTAGGTAGTTTATGTTGTAGGTACATACATGTGTGTGGAGTTATGTAGATATACCTGCTTTGTTGCTTGCTTGCTTGACTTGCTTGGGTTGAAACATGCTCGACATACGGTTTTGGCGGGGGGGGATATTGTTCCGGGACATGGGTAAAATTCCCGGTAGCGAAGTCATTTTTTCAGTTTGATGTCCAAATCCATGAAGTCAGAGTCTCAGAATTCGGTCTCTCTAGTCTTTTTTATTTTTCCCTTTCTTATTTGCCTTTTTTTCTCGATATCGTAACCAATATGCATGCAGTGCGGCGGCGGAAGTGACGGTGGTGGTGGTGGGAACTTGAATTGGGGGCGTCTCTTCTCCCTCTTCGTGCGTGTTGCGGATTATCCATCCCGATGTCGGTTGAGGGGTGTGTGTGACAGATTTTACTCGCCTTCCCGTAGCGTGGCCGATATCACCCGTATGGAGCAATTCTGTCAGCGGTCGCCGGTGGGCCATCAACAGCATCCCTGTCTGACTGATAATTCTCTCGCCGCAACACACACACACAGACAGACAGAGACGACACACACGCGCAGATTCCAGAGCCAACCAACCAGCCTCTCTCAACTGACCGGGGGCCCGTCACTTTCCTTAATTCCTAAAGAATCCTACTTCTACCCTAGTAACTCCGGTTCTCTCCCGCATACGCGCAAATATGCAGGCCCCTGTCGGGCAGAGCCGCGTGTCTGAGTTGACTGCTGCTGCTGGGTTGCTGCGAGAGTAACCTTGCTTTGTAGCGGGTGTGGTGGGTGGTCATAGTGTATAATGTGCAGCAAGCAGCATAGTGTTTTTTTGAGTGTTTGCAAGGCTGGGCTAGCCATGGATATGGGGCTGCAGCTGCTTAACCTCTCAATCCCTCACTCAACTCTCTCACTCATTCTCTCACTCATTCTCTCACTCATCACAAACTCGTGTCTGCCCCCACCTTTAATCGCCCCTTTTCGTCCGGAGCTCTCTCTCCTTCTCCTTCTCTCTCGTTCTTGCAAGTGTATATAACTGTTTGACGGCCCCCCATCAGTCCGCCGGTCTTGACTTCTCACAACCTTTTCTGCAGCCTGCCCCATCAACACAGCACCCACCACACACAGCATATATATATACTATACGATATCTATTCATCAAGTATAAAGTCGAGCCAGCACCCAGCAGCATCAGTATCCTATCTATTTAGAGTACATTACCAGCATATAGAGACAGAAGATTAGCAACTGCCGCTAATTACACATACCACAAAGAATACAATACAGCCAGCCTAGCTAGCTTTCATCACCATGTCGAACGCCATGAAAAAGCTCAAGCTCCTCCACCACCTCACGGCCGCCTCTGCCAATGCCACAGCCAGCACGAGCAGCATGCCACCACCCCCGGCATCCGCGCAGCAGTTCCCCACTCCCCCCACATCTCCCATACGCCACCACTTCCACCCACAGTCGCAGTCCTACCTCGACGTCTCGAATGCCCTGCGCTCTGCCCGCCATGCATTGAATAGCATTCAGTCCTCAACTGTTGTTCCCCAGCAGCACCAGTACCACACACAGGCAGACCAGATCATGCGAAACTCACACTACGCCGCCATGGTCCAGCAGCCTCCCAGGCCTTCCGGCGCTCCCGCGTGCCTGCTGCCGCAGGCGTTCATGGTCCTCACACCCAATGACCCCCATCCAGCCATCTGCCTACCCGCATCACCTCCGCCAGTGACGTCGCACATGCACAACCACTACCATCACCACTCAACGCTCATCCCCCCCGTCCCAATCAACCCGCCAATCCAGCAGGTGCTCATGTCCGAGCAGGCAGTCCCACGGGGAAACACAACAATCTACTCATCTCGTCCCCCAGCGCCAACATACCAAGGTGCCTCACACTACCAGTACCAGACGACCCGCCGTCCCAGTACACAAAAGCGCCCACGCCTCACCACCGACGCCGTCTCCAAGATCGGCAAGGACTCCCGCCTCGCCCGTTGGGAGCGTGTCGTTGGCTACGTGCGTGAGCAGCGCAAAGCCAACGCCGCTAGCCAGGCTGACAGCACCCCCGCGGACCCAACCCTCTCTGCCATCGAGGCAAAGAAGGCCTTCATCCGCGAGATCGAGCGCAAGAACCGCTTTCTCGACATGATCGACTACGACGAGCAGAAGCAGCGATCACTGTGGAGCGGTGGCAGCGCGGGCACGAACGGCGTTGATGAGTTTGTGTGGAGCGAGGACGAGGATGACGATTCGTTCCGCAAGGTGGTCGAGAACCAGCATGCCCTTGAGGAGCACAAGCGCCGTTTGGACCGCCTGTACCCCGAAGATGTTGTCAAGGAGAAGGTTGCAGTAGCGGAGGAGGGTGTGTTTACGCTGGAGGATGGCGAGGCCACGGTCAAGGATTTTGAGATGGGGAATGGGTTGACAAGGTCGTCGAGGAGTGAGAAGAGGCCCAGGAGCTCACCGGCGGTGGAGTCAAACGCCTATTGGGAGTTGATGAAGAGGACCGAGATTGAGAAGTTGCCCGAGCTGAGGAGGGAGAGCCAGATTGAGGGCGGTTTGGACAGACTTGCGGGGAGGGAGATGAGGAGATTCTCGGTTTACTAATTCCTTTTTTTCTTCTTTTCTTGACGACAAAAGTCTTTTTTTATCATGTTTAATTATCATTATCACTACTAGCTACACCGGACCTGCACTCTGCATTGCTTTTTTATATATATTCTTATGTTTTTCCTTTTATCATTCAGGATGGGGGGCGTCTGGGATTTTTGCTTTTTTATTATCACTATTATATCTTTTATCCTGCAAATATTGCATAGATAGTCTTATATTTAATGCACCCTTTTTGCACTACACACTCACCTCTCTTCTCCTAGTTGGTTTTTTGCCAGTTTTTCTAATCTCCCTTTTTTCTTTCCTTTGCTTTACTTTGCTTTCTGATAAAAAGGTTTGGGGGTTTGGTTTGCGGGTTTTTTTACGAGGACATGCATACTTAGAACCTTATGAATACTTGGCTTGTTATTAGTACTCTACTCTAGAAATAATGGAATAGAAAAAACAATAATCGCTACTCTACCTTGCTTCCCCCTTCTATGTGACGTGACTCGATTCGTACCCAGAATCCAACAAACAGCCAACAACCAACAGAGCTGCCAAGCACGTGATACAACGAGTGATATCCCATGCACCAGCACACCCGGCTATTCAGGGCGAAGGGTTGGGTTGGGCTGAGGGGAGGGAGGGAGGGAATTACAAGTGTCCTCGTCATTTCCACGGTGCCAATGATCGACGGTAGGCAGTGCTGGGTCTGCTATAAATAAAGTAGGCAGAAAAAAAATCTTTGAGAGGGTGGGTGGTGGGTGTAGAGAAGATATCCCTTGGCCCGATCACTAGCCGGGGAATAGATCGATAGCGATCTGCCACTCGGGTTCTACCACTCGAGAAGGGACGCAGCGTGGGGGGGGGGAAGGGTATGGGTGGGAATTCGGGAAACGCACCGTAGGAACCGGAGATGTTGTCTGTGTCTCGTGGCCGGCCGCAAAAGCAATTTTCCGGGCTTCCTGTAGAGTATGTACATGTGATATCCGGCATTCTATCCCCATACAGACCTGTCAAATCCCCAGCCTCGTATCCTCGTATCACAAGCAGTCCCTACTCTACTCTACTCTCAACAGGGGCAAAATAACACACCATCATATCCCCCATCTGGCTAGTAGCTATAGCCCATTCCCGGTTTGGCCGTCCCTTATGTCGGGCCAAGGGAAACAACTCTTCGGCATCAATAAACGGCACTCTTAGGTGCTACAGCCCTACTCTATTTCCGGAGTTTCCCCGTGCATAGGCCGTGTAATCCGACGCTTCCCCCGGCGGCCCCGGATTGTGTGGGGCTCCTAGATACCCGCAGGCAGGGTCGAAAAAGACGTTAGTGCGGGCGGGAGGGACGGACGGGTGCTTGTTTATTCTCCCCGCGGGGTCCTGGCGGCGGTGGAAATGGGTGAAGATGGAGATTTGGGGTATGGGGGGCGCACGTGGAGAGGATTGGGTTGGGTTATTATGGGTTTAATGAAGGGGGTTGCGGTTGCGGTTGCGTTGGGTTGGGTCATGGGCGATCACTCACCCGAGTGTACTGGTTGTTAAAGGCAGGACCGAAGGAAGGAAGGCCACTGTGTCGAACAGGAAAGAACCCCGCTGTCAGGAGGAATGGTATCCTACTCGAGCTGCTATAAGATCATCGCTTGTATTGGTTTTAGACATCGGTGTCAATTAAAACCCCTAAAACTGGTCGGATCCTGCACTCAATAGCTATAGTGGTGGTGCACGTACGGTGGATCATCTACGAACTGCTAGCTATGTTTAATTTGCTTCTAGCTGCTATGATTGAATTGGCCGTTTTGCAATTAACAAGCTTTCATAGCTCTCCCCAGATATCAAATCTAAGAAGAACATTTGATACTCATTTGCTATCCGCGCATTCAAACTACTAGCTAACAAAAAAGAAAAACAGGACCCTGATCACCACTTAACCCACCCAACTAACCCACCATCTCCGGCGCCTTCCACTCATACTCAATCCATTCCGCCGTGCCCCTCGCACACGCCTCCCCGGCCAACACCCTCACCACCTCCAACGCCGCATCAATCCCACTCGACACACCCCCACACGTCACCACATCCACGCCCTTCACCGCCCCCCACACCACCCTCTCCGCCACCACCTCCGCCCTCCCATAAGCCCCCTCGACCGCCTCCGCCAGCAGCGCCCTCGCAGCATGATGCGTCGCCGCCCTCACCCCATCCAGCAGCCCCGCCGCCGCAAGTATCAAGCTCCCCGTGCACACACTCATGAGCATCTTCCTGCGCCCGTCCCCCGTCGCACCTGACGCTGCAAATTCCTGTAGCCACTCTAGGAGCGGGAGGTTCCGCATCTCGGCCCGCGACCCGCTGCCGCCGGGGACGAGCACGACGTCGTAGTGTGAGGGCGCGCCGGCCGGCGAGAAGATGTCTGCGTCGCGGTGCATGGTGGTGCCGCGGCCGTTGGAGGTGGTGAAGGTGGGTGTTTCGCTGAGGAGAGTGATGTCGAAGATGAGGCGGGAGGGGTCCGGGGTGGTGGTGGTGGAGGAGGGTGGGAAGGGGGGGTGGGTGGTGGAGAAGGGGGGGTCGGCGGCGATGGAGAGGATCTCGAGGGGGCCGGCGAAGTCGAGGAGTTCGACGTTGTTGAAGCTGGTGGGGTGGGGTGTTAGATGTATGGATGTAGATAGTGGAGTGGGGGTAGTTACACTATGAGAGCTACTTTGATTTTGCGGTCCGGCATTTTAGGGGATTGTTGTAGCTATAGTACTACTAGTTTAATTGTAGTTTGTGCAAATAATTAATGAATCAATTATTGATTGTGTTTGGTGAAGCGGGGATCGACAAGGGAAGATGGGGAACTCTATGTTTTAAGATGGTGTGCGGTGGGGTCTTAATGTTTATGCTAATAAGTTTTATGCCAGATGGTTATTTATATACATGTAGAGTATAGACAGATATATACCTCGAAGTAGAAGGTCGAAATTGTGAAAAAAGTACCGACTCTGATTATCATATGTCCCAATACCTGCTTCCCGATTACACGAAGAAGATGTTGGGTGAGTCATCTGTTGAACTGATTCTACCAGGTTTCATGAATCCCGAAGTAGGTACTACAATGCACAATAACTATGTGCCTGCGGTAGCTCAAGCAGTGGGAATGCATGTATTCACGTGTGTAAAATGGGTTGTGAAATAACAAATACTGAGGCGGGTAGTACAATACTAGTGGAATCGCCAATGATCGAATTGTTAGGATGTAGTAACATCAATAGCAACAAGTCGATCTCGTTTTATACCCGTCACTAAATGATATAATATAGCTACATAGTTTAGATTTGCTTGCTTCAAGACATTGTTGATAACTTTGTGGTGCGGCCCAGCACTGGATGTAGAGTAAGGTGGGCTTGGTGGCGGTGTGGACCACCCTCTCTAGCTTAACCAGACGTGTCATCTTTCCATGCTTTATAAGTGAACAGGCTCTCCTCTTCTCTTTCGTAACAGAACCATCCATCCATCCTAATACATCCTCTCGAGTCTTCATACACACAAGTATCTACTCTAGAGTAGAAGAACTCTAGCTCTCCCCACCATTATTCCCTCAGCTCCCTGCAGCCGTAGTTCGAAGTTCTGAGACACCCATCGCAGGCACATATGCACATATTTCGCAAGCCTGAGCATGATGAATGCTTACTGCAAGCCCGTAGATCTCCGTCGGCACCAATCGAGCGAGCGAGCAGAGCAGTTCAACTGCAGCTGGTAACCAGCGAGAGTTGTGGTGGCGCCACACCACGCGACAAGCCACACCCGTCGCACCCTGGCTAGCTCCAGACGCGCACCCTTGTGTCCACGCCTTACCTTGCCTGGCCTTCTTTCTCTTTCCTCCAGGCGTCTCAAACAATAACTCCAAACATCTCTCTCTCTCGCGGGCATCATCACCACAATCACCATGTTCCGTCCACTCTCGCTCTGGCAGAACATCCCCTGCCCGGCCCTTGAAGCCCGTGGCAGCTGCACCGTGACCCACTGCCTCTTCTCACACGCCCGCCCACCCGCTCCCCCACCACCGCCGACACCCGCAGCCGCATCACCGACAGCTCCACCACAACCCCCCCACTCTGCAGTCCCAGAATACAATGCCACCAGCACACCTCCACCCCCACCACCAGTGCTCTCTGGCGACCCCCGCCTCCGAAAGATTATCGAATCCAACTCCAACTCCAACTCCAATTCCAGCTCCAGCAGCGCCGACAGCGACGACAGACGCGAATGCAAGCGACGCCGGGCCCTCGACGACACCACCCCACAACCGGGCTCTGACGCTGCCACCGCTGTAGATAGCAGTCAGGCGCCAGCGGTGAAGCGCACAAAGACAAAGGTCGAGGCTGCGGGTTCTGCAGCTGTGGTGGGGGCGCCGAAGTCGATACTCAAGAAGAGCCCGCCAGTTGCGTCGGCGGCGGCGGCGCTGAAGACTACGAACGGGGTGAAGGGCGCGACGGTGTCGTCATCGTCGGTGGGGAAGTCGACGCCGACGCCGATGGCTACGAAGGCAGCAGCGCCGGCAAAGACGGTGGCTCAGGGTCTACCTGCTAAGCACGGGACAGAGGCGGCGGTGGCAGCGAAGCCGTTATCACTGAACCCGCGACTCGTGCCCTCGTCGCCGGCGACGCATGCGGCGCGGTTACATCTTTTGACACTGCTGCATAATGAGTATGTGCGGCTGCATGACGGGAAGGGAGATGCGCAGGCGCTGCTCAAGCTTGCGCTGGACGAGGAGGAGAAAGTTGCGAGGGAGATGCGAAGCATATACCCGCAGGCCATGAAGAAGCGGATAGTGAGGCTCAAGAACAGCTCCGTGGCAGAGTTCACGAAGCAGCAGGAGGAGAAGCAAAAACAGGCTGCACGCGAAGAGGAGGAGAAGAGGAGGGTCAAGACGGTGCAGGGGAAGATTGTGGATAATGGGATGAATAATAATAAGCCGCCATTGGATACGGGCTTGACGCCGGCGGAGGAGCTGGAGGCGTTGGGTGCGCTTTTGCAGGCCCCGTTGAACCTGGCAAAGTACAAATACATCCTTGAGCCCCCGACGGCCGAGGAGGTCGAGGCTGCGGTCAGGGGGACCGAGGCCGCGGGGGGATGGGAGGCCTGTGACCGCTGCAGTAGCAGGTTCCAGGTCTTTGACGGCAGGAGGGAAAGCGATGGGCAATTGGCCTCGGGGGGGAAGTGCACATATCACTGGGGCAGGGCCGCTTGGCCATCACGTATGTTTTTACTTCTTTATATCATTGAAACAGACATCTCAACACCGATCTGACTATCTATAAAAAAAAAACAGGGTCCAGTGGTAATCGCGCGCCCAAAGACAACGAAAAAATCTTCACCTGCTGCCGGCAGCGCGTCGGGCAGTCGGCGGGCTGCACCACCTGCGAGAACCATGTCTACAAGATCAGCGAAGCCAAGCGGCTGGCCTCCCTCTGGCAGTTCATCAAGACCCCCGCCCCACCAGGCTCCCAGAGTCCCCAAAGTTCACCAAAGGGTATATCAAAGAAGCCGATAGAGAAAGCCCTCTGCCTCGACTGCGAGATGTGCTACACCACCCACGGCATGGAACTCGTCCGCCTGACCGCCACCGCCTTCCCCTCGGGACACGTCGTCATTGACGCCCTCGTGCGCCCCACCGGCGGCATCCTCGACCTCAACTCCCGCTACTCTGGCGTCTTCCCGTCGCACCTCATGGCCGCCACGCCGCACACGCGCCTGCCTTACCCGCCTCTACCCGCCTCCCACACCGCCTACATCAACCCCACCGCACCCATCCCCGAGCTCGAGGAGCCACTGCAGATCCTGCCGTCGCCCGAGGCGGCGCGCGAGCTGCTGCTGAGCTACATTGACGCGGACACGCCGCTCATCGGTCACGCGCTCGAGAACGATTTGGGCGTGCTACGGCTGTGCCATGGTGCCATTGTGGATACGGCGGTGCTGTTCCCGCATGCGAGGGGTTTGCCGATGAGGAATAAGTTGAAGTATCTTGTGGAGAAGCATTTGGAGAGGCGGATACAGGTGGAGGAGGAGGAGGCGCGGGGACACGACTCGGCGGTGGATGCGAGGTGCGCGGGTGAGCTGGTGAGGTGGAAGGTTAGGGAGGAGAAGATTCTGGAGAAGGGGAGGATGGGGACAGCGGTGGTGGGGAGGAAGGACGTGAAGATGGAGGTGGAGGGGGGTAGTTAGCTATAGGGTGTTGTACTTGCGCAATTCGGATGTCGATTTCGTGGGATGGGAATTAGGCGTATTTTGGGGGCCTGGAGGGCGTTGTTTTATTGAGGCTTGCGCTATTAGATATTGTTTTTTTCTTTTTCTTTTTCTTTTTCTTGAATTCATTAATAGAATCAATACATTATCAGTGAAGAGTCATATATAAAGAGCATCATTCTGGCACTGGTGGTCTGACTACGTAGAGTATATGGATGGTGGAAGTCGATTAATGGGAGTCTGGCTACGGGTACTTGTGTGAATGTCGAAATTATAGGTGCAAGCCTGGGCGCAATGCCCTACTTGTAATGGGGTGGCCACATCTACCAGAGGCCGGTACATATATACGCCATCTTGAGTCTCCTTGGCGTTAATATTTGTGTATAAAAGAACTATATATGTCCTCTAGATCTGTATTGTAGTCAAGCAAGAAGGTCAGATCTTCCGTATTTCTATTCACAATGAACGGTAGAAGTCAAATGAGTGATAACATGTGACCGACTGCTTGTCGGAATTTGGATCGGATCGGCTTGGGGAGTTTAGCATCTGGAATATGGTATTCAGAGAGTGTAGGCTTGGGATAAGGCCTATTTTAGGGCCGTGGGGTTGTTTATTATGGCTTAATTGTATTTCTAGATATTATTTTCTTTCTGGGAATCCTTGATATAATTAATAGATTATCAAGGAAAAGTTAGAATGACTGTTGGGAATCTAATTACTAGATTCGGACTACTTAGAATGTGTTTAGATGGCGATTTGAATGACAACTTTGCTCTTCAGATTTTAGAGAAATCTGTAATTTGGTTTGAAGGTTTTAAAACTATTATTTTGAGGATAGGCGATGTTCCAGCGTGCATGCGCATATGTCCAGCTTTATTATAGCTTTACGCCCTATACCATAATGATTGCAATCCCCAATTAATAGTTAATTCCCATATCTCTCTCCACTCCATGTTTAGACATGACCTACCTTTAGCATTGGGTATATATGGCCTTCCTGGATCAGGTGAGATTAAACCATCTTTCAGAGTCTGGAACTATCTCCTGACTACATCCAAAACGACTACGAGAAGTCATCCACTGTATGAATGCTGAAAGTCAAATAAAAGTCTGAGTACTTGTATGAATGAATGGTAATAGTCAAAGTGAGTGATAATATGTGACCGGCTGTTTGTCGGAAGAACTGTAGTATTAACAGCCAAGTAGTTAGATTGGACTCGCGCCCCCCCCCCCCCCTTCCTGCCTTACAAAGTCCTAATTAGGCATTCTGATCTCGAGGATCCCCAATTAAATGGTATGTGGAGTAGTAGCGGCTAGGTCAGGTACTGCATGCCAAGAGGGCCAAGCCAGGGCCCAAAAAGCTCCGTTGGTTGGGTAGGACGAGGGTTGATGGTGCCTGCACAATCAGTCGTCACTCTCCCGCTCCCTCCGTATCTCTTTCCCACAAAATTTCCCACATGTTAACAGGATGGGCCATCCAGACCGCTGATCTGCTTCCCACATCGTAGTGGCCTTTTTTTTTTTTTTTTTTTAACCACCTCAGTATTCTCTGCGTGAAGAAACTCTAGTGAAAAACGACAACAAGAGAGAGTCGCTATAATAATCGCAAAAAAGAGAAAAGGAGAGAGAGAAAAAAATCCATGGCAGATGCTCTTTGGAGGTGTGTATAATGAAAATAATTCGTCTCTCTGCTGCACACCACTTTGCGAACCTCTCCCTCTCTATCTCTCTCCATCTACATGCCTCACCCCACACCCGCCTTCGCGTCGAGAAAGAAGAAAAAAAAGTGTGCAGCTAGAAACTTAGTGCTTATAGGGCAGCTCTCCGCTGGGAGAAGGAGCTAGCAGCTATCTTTCAGGACCAGGATGCAGGCCGTAACCTCGAGCATGCAGTATCACAGTACGTTAATTCAGTTCGCCCTTTTTGAAAAAATTAATTATCCTACTGTAGAGAAACTTCGGTCATTGATGTTTTGAGTGTAAAATTCAACCACCAGATTGCGCGAAGCATATGTAAACATTGTCTTTGTCGACCTACGCTTTGCGCTCGAGCAGGATGTCGAGGGCCGCATCTGGAACAAACACCATAAGATCATTGAACGATACAGGAATATCCTAAACCAGGTTAGAAAAGCGCTCATAAACAAAACAGCAGTTGTTTGCTCTCAGAAGTTTTACCCTAAATGTTTTCCTCCTGCAATTATAGTTCCGAGAGGCGAATGGGATGAAGAAGCCCGTAGAGCTGCGCAAGCTGCAGATCGCATACATCAATTTCATCAAGCAGGCCTCCCGCTTCTATCGCGGCTTCATTCAGCGTCTGGTCTCACACTACGGTGTGCTGGAGCTGGACTGGGTGGTCCGGAAGTTCCATCTTTCCAGTACGTTCCATGGGGTTTCCTTGCTCAGGTCCGGACATGTGGCTAACCTTCCTGCTGTCGATATCCCCTCGGACGCACCCACCGGCAGCTGTGATATCGACACAAAGAACAACGTAATCCGTTCGTGCCATCGCACTCTCGTGTTCCTGGGCGACCTGTCGCGGTACAGAGAGGCGCCCTCTACAGGCCCAAAGAACTGGGGCCCGGCAACGGGGTATTATACGCTCGCAAAGAAGCTTGTACCTTCGTCTGGGTCGCCGCACAACCAGCTTGCGGTCATAGCCTTGAATGAGGGGTCGAATCTCTCGGCGACCTATCATCTTTACCGTGCACTCTCTGTTGCGGAGCCGTTTCCCGAGGCGGGCGATAATCTGGGATTGGGGTTCAGGAAGGTTCTTAAAGCTCATAAGGCTGGGAACTTGGGGACCAATCTGGTGAGGAAAGAGGAACAAGCGGTTTGTGAACTAATTGCGCTGTTCGTGAGACTTCATGCGAAATGTTTCATCGGGAAAGAGTAAGATACCCTGCCGGTGGTAGCAAAAAGATCTATATATGCTGAACATTTGTGTTAGGTTCTCGGAATATGAAGCACTAGAAAGCGAGATGCTGACGCAGCTTGCTCTTGACTTGAAAGAACGTACATTGTCGAACGGCATGTTGAGCAAGCTTGTCCTTATTAACATCGCTGCCCAGTTCTATGCAGCAGAGAGATCAAAAGGTGAGATACTCAACCTCCAAGAAACTAGCCTTTCACGCCTAACACATTTTTCAGAACGTGGGTTTGCTCGTGCCCATGCTAGTTTTCTCCGTTTAAATATTACTACATTCACTACTCTCCACCAAGTCTTCCAGCCGGAGCTTGAGCGTGCAGTGGGCGATAAAACAGATAACGATGCCCAAAATGTCTCGGCAGTAGGCAGGCGAATGCTTCCTGGACTGAGGCTATATTCGACCTGGTTACGTGTGTGCCATCAGACTCTCACTGACCAATTGGCGGATACGTCCATGTCTGTTTTGATTAAACAGCTTTGGCAAACATATGCAAACACATTATCCCTTCTTGCGGCAACGTTTCCAGTTGAGCGTTTGCATCATTTGGAATATCTTCTTGAAGAGGATGATGATACTATTGGATTTCTACCCTTTGATGCGATCAATGGGGCCAAGAAATTTAATTGGGAAAATGAATCAACGTCGCAAGCACATGCACATCCTAACGAAGAAATGCTTGCAAGGATATTATTCCTGCTTGAAGACGGGGGTCAGCTATGTAGAGAAGAGGTAAATCTCTCCCGCAATTGGCAAAATACAGTAATCGTTTCACTAATACCTGTTATTCGTTTAGAATGTTCCAATCACCGTAGTTAATGGAACAATAACTTACCAAGAGGACGGTATCCTCACTAGCACTCCATCTATAGGAATGAACTCTCTCTACCGGACCTCGGCGGTCCCACCCACTTATGAAAGGATGGGAACCCCCGATATCTCCAACATCCCACACAAAAACACATTCCAATCCCGTGAGGACGAATACTCAGACGACGAGAATGACGTCCCCCGTGCCGCCGAAAGTGTCCTTGCGCATGGCGGCACAAGCATCATTGAGTCCACAGCAGGCTCTGAAACCATGAGTATCATGAACAGAATGGTCGACTCTCTAGTGGGTCCACGTGAAGACCCGTCATCTGAAGATGACGAAGAAATCCTCTTTTCCGGCAGAAGAAAGAAGAAGGAAGCGCGACGCCGTGCGGCTGCTCGCAGGGATAGCAAAGATCATGAACGCCACGATGGCATTCCAGAAATGCCGAGGATGAAGACCCCCGAGTCAATTCTCAACCCGATAAGAAAATCACCAACAGTGTCGACACCGACAAATCTCTACACTGCAAAAGACCTCGCTGCCATTGTGCAGAACTTTACAGCGACACATCAACCACCTCACTACTCCTCGGCCCATTCACAGGAACTTCCTACCACGCCGACACATTCTCAGAAGCAACCCCAAATCACTACCGCCGGTATGAACTCCCCTAATATCGTTACCGCGGTTTCAGGGTCTCCGGATTGGATGCTTCCCCAAAACAACAAATCTCCTGTGTTGCCTGCCATGCCCGAACAGCCCGGCCTTTTCTTTGATAGTAGTGACAAGATGCAACCCCCGCACCCGAGTTCTTATATATCGTACCAAGGAACTCCTGCGAGTTGGGGTAGTCCTCACCACAATAGTCATGAGTTACCACCGAATAGCCAAGGCACAGTATTTGGAAGCCATGGATCCCCTTCAGTCTTTTCAAGGGTCAGGGACAGGGAATAATCTTTCATTCTTTGGATGGAGGCCCTGAGACTCATAATATTCTTTAGGGAAAAATTGGTTGCGTAAACGGCGTATTGGCTTGGTTCTGTTTTTCTTTCAACCTCTTCTTCCCTTCTTTTTTTTCTCTTTCTCCCTCTCTAGCTACAAACGAATATTAGGAAAGATGGAAGTTTAGTATAGCTACTACAATAATCTTCAATAAAGCAATAGGCAAGGATCTATAAATAGCCAGGGCAACCAGACAAAATATGTACCTACATTGGCCTACCTATGTAGTGACATACATGTGTACCTACATTGTAGAGGCGGGGGTAACCTAAAAAATAACTGGCCTGTGATTTCAGCTAATCGGGTATTCAGGCTAATTTCATCGGGCGAGTGATAATTTATGTTTGTGATACCTTTTAAATTTAGAAGCGGTTGATGAGTTATACTCTCTTTTTTAGGCTTGGGCTCCCTAAAAGGTTTCCCAGTTACGCAAGAAGGGCTTCGTGTGATCCACGGTCCCGCTAGTTCTCTTTCATTTGATATCATGGAAATTATAGGCATCAATAATTTTATTCTTTCAGCCTATGGTTCAACTCCACAAAAATGAAGTAAAAAACTTTTGAACCCGTGTTGAAACAGCCCCAAAACACCATCGCCTAATCATCAAGACCTTTGCATGCGATATATATTCGTGTTGAATGCGTTACAAATGAAAGAGAAACTGTATTTAAGAAGATTGAGAATAAACCTTCTTCTCAGCAGGGTAACTATATTGATCGTGTTAGGTGGTAGCCTGTAATAATCTAATTGAGGTATGTGGGAACTCACGCTGGGCCAGGCTCTCTGATTCCCCAGCTGGCAAGCCAATGTCCCATGTCAACTGCAGTCTTCAACTCATCGCCTTGCACAAGGCCGGCAAGGAAACCACCGGCGAAGGCATCACTATCAACTCATTAACAAAACCATATAAACTGATAAAAGTGAAAAGAATTCATACCCTGCTCCATTGGTGTCGACAATATCGCTAGGGGCAACAGGTCTCACTGGGTAGCTGGTAGGTTCAGCATCACCAATGACAACAACGGTGGGTTCAGTTCCTTGAGTGATGATAACAGTGCGGGGGCGGGAAGTGTTCTTCTTGGGAAGAGCTGCGATGGCCTTGGCGATCGCAGTGATGTCCTTGGTCTGGGTGGGGCTATTAGTAGTGGTGATTATTGGAGGGGCGGGCAAACACACATCCAGGCCGTGGGACTCGGCGTAGGCGATTGCTTCTGATTCGTTACCGATCAAGTAGTCACAGTAAGGGAGAACTGAGTCAAGCTGTTCCTTGAAGAATTGGGGAAGGAAAGGAGCAGATAAGTTCATGCTGAAAACCTATAATATGAGTCGATTAATAGGTTTCTGAGGGAAATGATTTTGAGATACAAACCTTGTTTGTCTCAGCAGCGTGCTCTCCGAGAGCGAGAATTGCTGGAACGCAGACAGTCAAGTGATATCCACCGACATAGAAGATCTTCGCGTTTTCAACGTATGACCAAATTTCGGGGGACTTGAGGTGCTCGAGCTTGTAGTGGTTGGCAGCGGCAAGGTCAGTGACCATAGAGCGGTCAAGGCCAGTGATAATGACACCGCAACGGCCAGTGAGCTGCTCCTCATCAACGCGGTACTTTGTGAGGACACCCTCTTTCACACAGGCATTTGTAAGTTGTTCGCCAAAAGCATCCTTTCCGATGCAGCCCACATACACGACCGATTTAGGTGGAAGAGCGTACTATTATCCGCAAAGTATTAATTGTCTACACACAGACAGGGATTTGAGGGATACAGCATACTTGAGCACCACGAGCAGAGTTCTGTGCAGCTCCTCCAGCAAGGTACTTGGGATGGTACTTGGTGGTAATCTCATCATAGAGGTCGAGATGCTTCTCCTCAGCGAGAATAGCGTCGTTTGACTTAAGCCCATATCTCTCCAAAAGTTCCTTATCACTATGGAAAAAACTGGTCAATTGAACGATCAATCTAAGAGAGGTGTATTCAGATTTCGTACCCATTGACCTGAATGTCTATCAAACAAAAAACAAGCCGCCTTGGCGAACATTCGTTAGATCGACCATAATTCAATACTATCTTAAAGGAAAGTTCTGCGACAAGCCGAGAAGAAACGATGGGATGAAATCAAGTTTTAGAGACGTACCAAGAAGGGGGTTTCCCAAGCAAAGGAGTGGGTATTCGGACATTTTGAGTTTATGGATGAAATCGAAGTGATAATATGTTGATTGAGTGAAGGGCAGATGATGATGGAGCGGAAAACAGACGAGGGGAAGCTTCACTAAAATGGCGGGGCAATAGAGGGGCTTGGTGGGTTATCTACGAGTTGCTAAGGCGACATGCATGGTTGAAAATCTGACCTACGCTTTGTCTCAAAGCTGCAGTCAAATTGTTTATTCTGCCCCTGATCGAGTAAGACTACTGTTAAGTAGTACCAAGAGTTGTGGGCTTTTAAGAAAACAGTTTTTTGAAGAGAATGCGGAGAGACTGTGGTGGCCTCATAAATTACGAGGCGGCATCACTGGTGTTTGAGTAATTCTAGTTAGTAATTTCTGCTATCTGATTAGCTTTTGATTTTATTACTTGAAGTGGGTATATTTATTGCCCAAAACGGCTGTATTTATAGTCATTTCTGTCGCCTCCTCAGGCTATGCATCGCTCAGCATCACTCACACTCCGGCATCAAGCGTTCAGACGACCGCCGTGAAACCCGCCAACGCCGAAAGCCATAGCGACAAACGAGAACAGTGAGCACTCTACCGCCACACCCTGCACCGTCTATCCCCGGGGCCACAACCACAACAACCACAACCCACAACCACACCGCTGCCCGCCCTTCCCCAACCACGCAGCCGAGCAAGGAGTCAGCAGCGGGCAGGAATAATCGACCCACAACAGGCCGAGTTAAGCACCCCTAAAGCAAAGTCAAGGGGACAACGGCAGCATTGAGAAGCAGACACACTCAGTGTCACTCGCTCCCACCCTCCCCATACAGATTGTCCCACACTCATCACTGAAGTCTCCCTCACTCTCTGGTTTCACTACGAGCCATTCAACCCACCCCCCCCCCCCCCCCCCCATAAGAGGAGTCTGGCTTCTACATGACCAAGTAGATTCTCGTGCTTTTCTCCTCTACATAAGGAATATAAAATCTCCATAAGTTGTAATCTCTACGCCGCAACCTACAAGCGATACAGAGTAGGTAGAGCTGTGGCTTGTACGCGCCTTCCCTTACATCTACAACTGGATTTTTCTTTCTTTCTGATTCTCTCTCTTCCCCTTCTTTTTTTTTCTCCCTCTCTTCGCTTCACTCTGCCTTGCCCACCCACCCACCCCCCAAAGCCAAGCAAGCACCACTGCACCGGGGCCCCCATCGAGACACGCAACCACCACCTCCTCCTTCGCGCTCTTGCTCACTCGTCGTTCCCACAACAACAACGTCAACCACCCCCGACACCCAAAAAATTTAAAGGTGGACGCGGAAAAGAGCCGCTTCGCGTCGTCCATCCCAACAACCCCCGTCTGTTGCTCTGGTGCCGCCAACCGCGACTTGCCACCAACCAAATATCACACAGCAACCAGATAAACTCCCCCCCTTCGTTCCTTTGCTCTTTGAACTTGCGAAACTGCCCTAACCCTCCGTGTCAACACGCGGCCATCGCGTTCCTATTACGGCGCTTCTCTATATCATCAATAATCTAAATTGTTCATCCTGCATCCGGCCCATCCTAAGCAAACGGAAAAAATAAAAGTCGTTCGCCATGAATTCCATTGCGAACGGCATTATGCCGATGGCTCCTCAAATGGCACCCGCCCTACCTAATAACCTTAACAAGGAGCAGGCTCAAGCCATGTACCTGGTGCGCCCGTACTCCTTTCTCCAGCCCCTTACCTTTCATCTTTATTTGTCAGGAACGCGCTGACTTGACGATGTGACAACAGAAATGGCAGAACATGAAGGCGCAGGGCGCGACCGATTCAAACCCCGAATTTGCCCATTTATCATCAGTATTGAAAGCGATTCAGCAGCAGCAAGTTTATAAAAACCAGCAGCTGCAAATGCAGATGCAACATCAAATGCAACAGCAGCAGCAACAGAACCAGTATGCACAGCACTCACAGATGCGACAACAAAGGCAAACGGCGCAAAATGGTGTTCCTCAGGTTAATGGTATGATATTCTAGTTCAATAGAGTCGCAGACGTGAACTTATGATGAACATACTAATTCCATTATTAGGCCGAGCACCTGTTCAATCACAACCTGCACAAACACCATCAACTCAGGCTATCAATGGACCCTCTGAATCTCCACAAAACCGCACACCACACTCATCCAATAATATCAATACTAATGGTGCTCCTACGCCAGCCACCTCCGTTGTGTCGAAGTCAAGTACTCTTCCAAGTAATTCTACTTTTACGCAGGATCAACTTGGGATATTGAGGAATCAAATCATGGCATTCAAGATGATTTCTAAGAATCTGGCTGTTCCCCCAAACATTCAAAGTGCCATATTCTCATCGTATCCCCAACGGATCGAGCAGGCAGCTACCGGGATCGCGGCAGTGAGCGCTGTTGTTGATGCCCTTGTCAAAGAAGGAATCGAAAGTGAGAAAGCCGACGGAACGCCAAAAAAGAAGAGGACTGGCTATGAAACATTCACATCTCCTTGGACAAACCTGCAACCTTATATCAGCTATGGTGAGCATGGAGCGCGAGATAAACGATTGATGATTCCAAGCATCATGCCAATGGGAATTGATGTTGCACGGTTGCATGAGGAAAGAGAACTCGTGATCTACAACCGAATTAGCGCTCGAAAGGCTGAACTGGAAAAACTTCCAAGTAATCTTGCCGAGTTCGATTCCAGTAAAGGGGGGGATGGAGTGAGCGAATCTCTTAAACTAAAGGCCTTGATCGAATACAAAGCTCTCTGTCTCCTTCCAAAACAAAGAGCGTTGCGACAGGAAATGGTCAACACCATGGTACATGCAGATAATCTCGCAGTTACTTCGAATCGTGCCATGTTCCGGAGAATGAAGAAACAGTCTCTTAGAGAAGCACGAATTACAGAGAAACTGGAGAAACAACAGAGAGATCAACGAGAGCAAAGAGAAAGACGGAAACATGTTGAGTACATCCAGGGCGTCATTCAACATGGGCAGGAGATCAGGAGTGCTGCCAGAGCACGAGAAGCAAAGGCTCAAAAACTGGGACGCATGATGTTACAGCACCACCAGCACATGGAGAAAGAAGAGCAAAAGAGAATGGAAAGGACTGCAAAGCAACGTCTCCAGGCTCTCAAGGCAAACGACGAGGAGGCTTATCTCAAGTTGCTCGATCAAGCAAAGGATACTCGTATCACCCACTTGCTCAGGCAAACCGACTCTTTCTTGCAATCTCTCGCTGCAAGTGTGCGGCAGCAACAGCGTGACGCCGTTCAGGCGTACGGAATTCCCGAAGGCTATGTAGAGCCGGAAAGCGAAGAGGAGGAGGAAGAAGATTCCGGCAAGGTTGATTACTACGCCGTCGCCCATCGTATTCAAGAAACCGTAGACACCCAACCGGCTATCTTGACTGGTGGCAAATTGAAGGATTATCAGTTGAAGGGTCTTCAATGGATGATTTCGTTATATAATAACAACTTGAACGGTATCTTGGCAGACGAGATGGGTCTCGGTAAAACTATTCAAACAATCTCTCTTATCACTTATCTGATCGAGAGGAAAAATCAGAATGGACCATTTTTGGTTATTGTCCCTCTTAGGTAAGCTATACTTGCATATATGGTGCGCTCTTATTACAAATGTGGATGGTATTGACTTAGTTATTAGTACCCTGACCAATTGGAACTTGGAGTTTGATAAGTGGGCGCCGAGTGTGGGTAAGATCGTCTACAAGGGTCCACCCGCAGTACGAAAAACGCAACAAAATGCTATCAAATATTCCACTTGGCAAGTTCTCTTAACAACATACGAGTATATTATCAAAGATCGCCCATTGCTCTCCAAGATCAAATGGAATTATATGATCATCGATGAAGGGCATCGTATGAAGAACAGTCAGTCGAAGCTTAGCGCAACTTTGACAACTTATTATAACTGCAGATATCGCTTGATCTTGACGGGTACCCCATTACAAAACAATCTTCCTGAGCTATGGTCCCTCCTTAATTTCGTGCTCCCTACGATCTTTAAGTCCGTTAAGAGTTTCGATGAATGGTTCAACACGCCTTTCGCGAATACCGGTAGTCAAGATAAAATGGAGTTGAACGAAGAAGAGGCTTTGTTGGTTATTCGCCGTCTTCATAAAGTTCTTAGACCTTTCTTGTTGCGTCGTTTGAAGAGGGATGTCGAAGCGGAGCTTCCCGAGAAGGTTGAGAGGGTGATCAAGTGCAAGTTCTCTGCGCTACAACAAAAATTATACCAACAGATGATGAATAATGGTATACTTTACGTTAACGATGCAGAGAAGGGCGGGTATGTATCTTTAATTACAGTCGTTTCCTTCGAACTGTTACTAACTTTAGCAAAGGAAAATGGGCGTCAAGGGTCTCAGTAACATGATCATGCAGCTTCGTAAGCTGTGTAATCATCCGTTCGTGTTTGAGGAAGTAGAGAGCGCGGTAAACCCGGCCAAGATCAACAACGATTGTTTATGGCGTACAGCAGGAAAGTTCGAGTTACTCGATCGATTATTGCCCAAATTCTTCGTGACGAAGCACAGAGTCTTGATGTTCTTCCAGATGACTCAGATTATGAATATCATGGAAGATTTCTTGCATCTTCGCGGTTTCCGTTATCTGCGTTTGGACGGTTCAACTAAGGCTGACGATCGTTCTCAGTTATTGAAGGAGTTTAATGCTCCGGACTCCCCATACTTCATCTTTTTACTGTCAACTCGCGCTGGTGGTTTGGGTCTCAATTTGCAGACCGCTGATACTGTCATCATTTACGACTCTGATTGGAATCCGCATCAAGATTTGCAAGCCCAGGATCGTGCGCATCGTATCGGTCAAAAGAACGAAGTTCGTATCCTTCGTCTCATCACTTCCAACTCCGTGGAAGAACGTATTCTCGAACGTGCTCAATACAAACTCGACATCGATGGTAAAGTCATTCAAGCAGGAAAATTCGACAACAAATCTACCAACGAAGAGCGAGACGCGCTTCTTCGTGTCATGTTGGAAGCTGATACCACCGATGCTATTGCAAATGAGGAGTTTGATGATGACGAGCTGAACGAAATCTGTGCAAGAACTGACGATGAGTTGGCTCTATTCAAGAGGATGGACGATGAAAGGAAACGGGACTCACCATATGGTGAAGGTAAACCCCTTGGGCGCTTATATGAGGAAAGTGAATTGCCAGATATTTATCTCCATGATGATGTCCTCCCGATTGAAGAGCCCCAGGGTCCCGTCGGTCGTGGTGCAAGAGAGAGGAAAATCACGAATTACGACGACGGGTTGACGGAGGAGCAGTGGTTGGATGCGATCGATAATGACGACGATACAATCGAGGATGCAGTCAAACGCAAACGGGATAGAATCGAGAGGCGACAGGTCAATAAGGCGAAGAGGGCAGGGGACTATGATGATGCTACACCACCGCCAGATACCCCCCCGCCTGTTGAAGAGACACCTCCAGCCACCGCCCGAAAGGGTAAGCGTGGCAGGAAACCGAATACTGAGAAGCGTCGGGTAGAGGAGGTTGAAGAGCCCAAAGCGCGCAAAAGGCAACGGGTCAGTAAGGGAGGTTATGTGCCAAGTGACGCTATCACACCTGGGAACCGTGCAATGCTACAAAGGGCTTGCGAAGCAATTTTCGATGCAGTACATCATCTGGAGGAACCAGAAACTGAACGGTTACGGTCCGAGCTTTTCGAAAAGCTGCCAAGCAAGAAAATATTCCCAGACTACTACCACATTATCAAGCAGCCCATTTCGTTCAACGAAATCAAGAAAAGGATCCGGAACGGTGATTATTCAGATCTGGATGGATTCAAGGTAGATTTCCAGTTGATGTTTAATAATGCGAGAATCTACAATGAGGAAGGCTCGATTGTTTATGAAGATGCAAACGCTATGGAGGTAAGTTACCCGCTTTTTATTGACCTGATGTACAAAATACTTACATTGCCATAGGCGGAATTCGAGTCTAAATTTACGGAGGAGAAACGGGGTTTCGACGCTATCGGGAATGGATCTTCTGCTGGTGGTACATCCACCGGCCCAGGTACTAGCACCGGAACTCCAGCAGGCAATTCCGGCACACCGCATATTAGATTGAAGGTTAAAGGGCATAATGCTGGGGGAGGCGGTAGAGACGCGAGGTCTCCTGATGAAGATTCGGCAGCAAGCGGAGATGATTCCGAATAGTTAGATTATTTTCAAAGGAATGGGTTGGCTTTGTTTCTTATCATTTTGTCTACTTTTTTCTAACTGTTAACTGCTACTAAAACTACTATTTCTACTACTACTAGAAAGTTCATTGGAGGAATTTGAATTCAGTTTGTTGGGAAGCTGTTGCGAAAATGGTCTGGTAGACTGGATTTGGAATGTTCCTTATTTGTTTTTTCTTTTATCCTCTTCTTTAACATTTGTTACTTTACGATGGCTTTTCTCTTTTCTTTTCTTTCGGAATGGGGAATATTGTGTAAAATAAGGGGGAGGGGTGTAGGGGGTTTTCTTTCTTTGTTTTGAAGACAAAACGTTTGACTGACTGAGTTTTCCTTTTCTTTTCGTCTTTCTCCTATTATGTTTGCAGGCAATGAAGGTGCGGACATGGGCTTGGATGCTGGATGGATCGTCACCTGGGGAATGGGATGCTTACAAGGTGTTATGCATGTAGTTTACGGACGTACCTTAATAGTATCAAAAGCGGCCCCAAGTGGGTTTTCAGGACAGGGCAATCGAATTTTTAGTAGAGTACATGTAGCCTTCAAGTAATTAAGAGATATTATTATGACTTCCATTCATATACTAGGTAGTATACTCTAGAACACGTGCCGTGATAGCAATGTAGGTCTTTGCGCGTCGTTCCGGGTAACCCTGCACGTTCACCGTTTCGCGACTGAGAGCCTCAAAACATTCGCTAGACGAAGAGGTGTGTGTGCGGTTAGCCAGCAACACCACCCACCCACCTTACACGAACGTTAACAATGTTCCATTTCACACCGCTGCTGGGGGCCCAGTCGGACTCCTCGGCTTGTCAGAGTTTGCTAGAACTGGACAATGGAATCAAGATCCTCGTTGATGTGGGTTGGGATGAGACTTTTGACGTGGGAATGCTCACGGAGCTGGAGCGGTGAGCTTCATTGGCCTGGAAGAAGCTTGTGGGAGGACTAGCTAATGTTGATTTGAATTTCGTATTAGGTATACACCGTCCATCGACCTGATCCTACTCACGCATCCGACACTTTCGCACATGGGAGCATATGCCCACGCCTGTAAACACATACCCAACTTTTCCTCGATTCCCGTATACAGTACCTTTCCGGTCTCCAACCTCGGTCGCCTCCTCTTGCAAGACCTATATCTTTCCACTCCAATAGCATCAACTCATCTCCTAGAAACCTCCTCTGCCTCGATTAAAGCCGAAGATTTTAGCGCACCACCCGCAGGTAGTTCCGGCGAACTTCTAGAGGGCGCACTGAAGCTTCCGCCAACCAGCGCTGAGATCGATTCGTACTGCACACGTATAATAACACTAAAATACTCACAACCAACACCACTGCACTCGGCGGCGGCGCGCGTGAGTGGGAAACTGGGGAGTATTACCATAACGGCGTATTCAGCTGGTCATACGTTAGGCGGGACAATATGGAAGATTCAGCAGGCGCAAGAATCGATTGTTTATGCTGTGGACTGGAACCATTCCCGTGAGAACTGTCTTCGCGCCGCGGCGTTCCTATCTGGTGGTGGTGTACCTGTCGAGACTTTGGGGAGGCCTACTGCACTTGTATGTAGCTCTAAGAACTCGGAGGTCACAAACATTGCGGGAGGAAGAAAAAAGAGAGATGAGATGCTTCTTACAGCTATTCGAAAGACAGCCTTAGAGAGAGGAGGAACTGTGCTCATTCCCACGGATTCTGTGGGAAGAGTATTAGAGCTTGTCTATCTACTAGAACACGCGTGGCGGAAAGACCCAGTGCTCTCATCAAGGGCAAAGGGGAAAGGTATAGGTCTTTACCTGGCTGGAAGGCGTGTCAAAAGGTTAGGACAGGTTGTTGGAAGTATGTTGGAGTGGATGGACGAAGGAGTCGTGAGGGAGTTTGAAGCCATTGCCGGTGGGGAGAAGAGAGGCAATCGAGGAGGAAACAACGATGATAAGAACGGCAAGGATGGCAACAAGGCGGGGCCATTTGATTTCACACACCTTAACCTGATCTCAACACAGGGTCACTTGTCGAGAGTTCTCAACGATGGCAGTGAGCGTGGTAGGGTCATCATTGCATCAGATTCGAGTTTAGGGTGGGGCTTCAGTAAAGAAGTCCTTATTAAACTAGCCAGCGACGAAAAGAACCTAGTAGTTTTGACTGAGCGCGCAGACGGTAAAGTTGGCTGGGCCGGTGATCTCTGGGATGAATGGAAAGAAGGTGCCGGGTATGGCGGTGAAGAGAAAAAGCCAGTTGCTGGACAAGAAATTCTCATGAATGGAAAAAAGGCTCATGTTGACGTAAGGCCACCTCTTATTATTGGCATGGGAAACACAGCTAACCCTACAGATCCCCCACCGTGTCGTTCTTGAAGGCGAAGAGCTCGACTCATATACACGGCATATGGCAGCTCAAGCTGCCCTCACCTCCCAACATGCATCTCTCGTCTCTTCTTCTGGGCTGCCAAACGCCGCTGAAGCCGATGATGATGATGCTTCCTCTTCTTCGGACGACGACTCTGACTCTGAGAGGCAAGGAAAGGCTCTCACCACTGCCAATAGCAAGAAGATCTCCGCCGCAACTGTAATGCTCGGCGGTGCGAATCCAGCAGGGTATGCAGGCGGAAAGGTCGAAATTGGAGTCAACATCCTCCTCCGAGGCAACAATGTATATGACTACGACGTCCGCGGTGCAAAGGGCCGTAACCGTATGTTCCCCTTCGTGATGCGGCGAAGAAGGGTCGACGAATACGGTGAGGTTGTACGAGCAGAGGAATACATGCGCGCCGAAGAAAAGGCTGAAGAAGATGCCATCGACGAAGTAGACGCGAAAGAGGAGCGCGTTATGGGAAAGAAAAGAAAATGGGACGAGGAGCAGAAGGCCGGCACAGCCGCAAGGCGTCTATCACGAGGCGCCGCAGATGCTGGAAAGAAAAGAAAAATGGGCAAATTCAAGAAGGGGACTGCAGGCGGTGGCGATGACGACGGCTACGAACCCGACGACGGTGAGCCAGAAGAAGATGAGCCGGAGGAAGATGATGGCGAAGATGAGGAAGCGCTATTGACTATGCCAAGTAAAGTCACATTTTCTACGGTTGAGGTCGAAATGAGAGTCCGCGTCTCATTTATTGACTTCTCCGGCCTCCATGACTCGCGTTCCCTTCGCATGTTGCTACCACTCATTAAACCCCGGAAACTCATACTTATTGGCGGCCGGGAAGTGGAGACCAAATCGCTCGGCAATGACTGTAGACATCTCCTTAGCGGTCGTGGCATCGCAGGCCGCGGGGATAGTACGACTGGGACAGATGTATACATGCCATCCATCGGCATAAAGGTCAATGCTAGTGTAGACACCAACGCCTGGACTGTGAAGCTCTCTGAAAACCTAGTCCGTGGTCTCAAATGGCAGAACGTACGCGGTTTGGGAGTCGTTCATGTTGTTGGGCATCTCATGCGTGCAGAAGATAGCAAAGCCGGCTCCACAGACGCGGAAGAGCGAGGAATGAAGAAATTGAAGACTGAGGCATCCCCTGACGCTGAAGGCGAAAAGAAGGCACAAAACCTGGTGCTTGATGTACTTCCTCCAGTCCTTGCCGCTGCGACAAGAAGCGTTGCGCAGCCTATCCATGTTGGCGATATCCGTCTTGCGGACTTAAGACGAGTGCTGCTGGATGATGGGCTTACAGCGGAGTTCCGGGGAGAGGGAACCTTATTAATTGATGGAGTAGTAGCAGTGAGGAAAGGTGGCGTAGGAAATGTTATCATCGAGGACGGAGGTGGCGGTATGCTAAGGAGAGGAAAGGGCAAGGGCAGCTTTGTAGATGTGAGAAGGCGTGTTTATGACGGACTTGCTGTTGTAGCAGGCGGCTAATATAGGAGTTCAATGTATTTGTAATGTATTTCTATCATAAGTGTTTTAGCAGGATTTATCTAAGGGCCGGTTAGAGGTTAAATAAAGTATGGAATTTTTCTTTCTTTTTTTGATTCTTTCCACAGGCGACGTCCAGCCACCCACAGATCTGAGGAAACCCCCAAACATAAAACATAGCTTCATAAAGAATGTTCTTAAATCCTCATGTATTTGATGACAGCACAAACCCCGAGTTCAGCGCCCCACGCCCAAAACTATAAGATCGGTAAGCCCAGTAGTAATTAGATAAAAACTAACGATCTCGGATGGTACGAAATGCCCTGGATCCTGTCTATTAGTGAGATCGTCCGGCCCGCTGGGAACCACGGATAAACTAGAGTAACCAGAGCAACTGTCCCATGCTGAGTGATACTCCATGATTCAGAACACTGAGTGACCCTCTATGATCGCGTACACATGTATCCTACCCACCACCAAGCTGACTGTTTACAACAATTTATTTTAATGACGTATGCGATCGGTAAAAGCATTATATATATGCACTTTTCCAAAATGTCAAGTGAATTATTCTTTACCCTTCCCCAAATTATTTCATGAGTATGGGCACAAGTTATTTTATCTGTCCGCTAGTAGAGTTATTGACGGGAAAGAAATAACTTTTATAACCAATTCTGATATTGATTTGAATCTATACTCCCCCATGTGACCTCAATCATGCTTATAGACACATGTATTCAAACTTGAACGCGTACCACACCGAGATAAAAATGAAAACTACTATCATTAAGCCTATATATATATCCTTGGGTTTATAATAAACTCGGTCCTTTCTCAGCTGCAGTAAAAACATATCTATCACTGATACAACTTAACTAGGTGCTTCACAGTTGTTCCATCATCTAAAACACCAACTTCTTGTTCCAATGTATATCCTTTCCACCAAGGTAGAAGTTTGATCCATACAAACCAGTACAGGAAGGAAAATGCCAAGCTACAGAGAGTTCTGCGTTAGCAAGCTCTATGCAAGAAAAATGTAGGGAACTCACATTGATGTCCCAACCACAGCATAAGTCCCGTACCTGACAAAATAAAATTGAAATGTTAGAACCACCCCCCCACGCGAGCAGGACTAGAAGTGGGAAGATAATAACTTACCAAAAGCTTGTGTCCCCCTTGCCTTCTTTTGTGTTCATAAACGGCGATAGCAGTAAGGCCAATGAAACTAAGATTTGAACATATACCGCCAGACTCCAAGCCCTGAAAGGTCTTTTAAGATGTGGCTCCCGCTTTCTGAGAAGAAGTAGGCCAACTGCAATTGCAATCGATGTGAACTGTGCAGGATATCCAACAACATCCAAAATAAATGCGTAGATATCCCCTGCCGGAGGAAGTGTTATCATAAGAATTGAAGGGACTAGATGAACTATGAGGCCACCCAAGGGAGAATTAAACGGCCTATTCGAGGCAATGATTGAGGCGTATGGGAAAAACCCCTGGCGGGCTATTTCTATAGAAGTATAGAATGTAAGTAAGAACGACTAGAGAACCAGATTGTGAGTATCTCTGGGATTAGTTCGTGTAATATGTACCTTGGTTAATGCGAGATTCAGAGTAAATAGCCACGAATAAATTCCCTAGGGCACTTATAGCAATCAAGCCCGGAAGCAATACTCTCCCCGCAGTATATCCGAAGACACGAGTGAAAAACAAAGCTGCGACAAGCTGCCCAGATTCCTTAATTTCCTCAATGGGCACCACAGAGAAATATGCCAAATTGATAAGTAGGTATGTCCCTGCCACTATTATCACTGCCACGGGGGCTGCTGACTTCAGAGTTCTAACAGGGTTCCTGACTTCGTTCATCACGTTGTTCACATTTCCATAACCAGAGAATGAATATAGAACTTTAAACAACGCCATCGATAATAAACTTAAGTTTGTTTCGGTACCTTCAAAAATTCGTGATAATTCTAGTTGAGAAGGCCCAGATCGAGTTCTGCCAGTGATGAGTACGGTAAACCCCGTCAGAACCATGAACAGTAGCAGAAACATTTTTATAAATCCTAATGTGTTTTGAATCCATATCCCTAAACAGTTAAGTAAGCGTTCTCTCTAGATGCATGCATTATAGTGGTTACCTGTTTTAAGAGAATACCCATGAATTAAGGTCACCAGAATAATAACACCGACAGCAAGTGATTTCTGATTCCAGGCAGTTCGCTCTATATTCAAGGCATATAGTATGTATTGTGAAAATACTATACAGTTACTCGCAGTAATACCGAGGAGTAATGCTTGAATTGCGAACACTGTACTGGCTAGGAATCTTGGTTTTTGATAAACATACTCGAGATATAGCTAAGAAGGTAATAGGTAAGTCGAACTTTTGACATTGGAGTTAGAGCTAAACCATGTATTCTCTTACCTTAATTCCTCCACTCTTTGGAAGCATCGTGCCGAACTCTAACAGAACAGCCAAACCGCAGAAGCTGATTAGTGATCCGAGCTTTAGGTTTATGAGGTCAGAAATATGAATATATGGCAACCTAGATCCCCCAGATTCTTTGAATAAGGCCACCTACAGTCCATAGCACTAAGCTCATTCCCGGACTACCAGCTGTAACCAATATCGTTCCCGGTGTCGCAAAAACCTAATAATGTTATAACAAGCCATTAAAGGAGCATCAGAATTAAGCCTCTCTATATAAACATACTCCACTTCCAATCATTCGAGAAAATATCATCATAACAGCAGATGTCCAGCCCAAATTTCTACCAACTGCAGCATCTTCTGGCACATCATCTTGGTTGACTAATTTCGTTTCACCGCTGGTCTTGTCTTTTGGGTAAGACCCTATATCCGTAGAACCATATCCGAGAGTTGGTGAATTTGAGAATGAAGATGGCCATAAAGGCGGTCTAGCGCAAAACAGCGATTGTTCTTCCTCTGAAACATGTTGGGATAAAGTCATAGTGATGGGTTGTCTAGAAAACCGTAGCACTTAGTGCGGTTACAGACTCCAGATATACAAGACAATAACTCCGTTATTAGTATTTGTTGAATTGACGTGATCCGCGTCATAGAACACAACATCAAAATGGTATGCAGATAACTATTTACATGCAACGCTGATAACAGGGGTGCTAATGATAATCCTGATATCAATAGGTCTGGTGAGCACGCAATCCTGAATCTGCGCTACGACATGTATATTTCTTGGAATCAACAGCCATATGGTAACCCCGAGAGATTTCCTAAACCCGCTATCTTAGGGAGATGATTTCTAAGCCAAGTTTTATGCAATATATCTAGACATCTATTGCTACATGGAATTAAAGACAACGCTTATTCGTTCTATTGACTGACAGGCACTGATGCCAAGTCTTCACAAAGAATCACTCGTTCTAATGGCTTGATTTTATGGACCTATATAGACCCGACCTTGCTGGATCCAACCGCGTCCGTGTAAATCTTTCGCAGGGCGCATTGTCGCTAGCAAACTCTACCCTTTGGTCGCAATCCTCGAATATTACTCCCCCCCCCTCCCACTTTCCCATGCCTTCAAGTTAGTCATAGCTTCACTGCTAGTGTTTTTGGCAAATTCACAAATTCACTTTTAAAACAACATTCATGGTAATCTCTAATGTTTGTTGTTGTACCGGGTAGGGGCTGTCGGTATCCAAGGTTAGGTAGGACATGTAACGTCGCTTTTAGATTAGTCTCGTACCCAAAACGCCAAAACAGACCTAACCCTGGCTTTTGAAGCAGAACCCTGAGAGCGGAATATAGGTTTAAAGGTTCCGAAACCACGTACTACGAAAATTAGGAATATGATCGTCATATACTGAGATGGCAGACATTGATACATGTAGATAAATGGGCTATCCTGGATCTTTGCTCACTAAGATGCATTAAGTAACTTTTTTTAAGCGAAAACTCCTAGTAATCTGCGCTCATATATATAAATACATGAATAGTAAAGGAATGAAATATACTGTTTAAAATTCGTCATCTGATTCATCATCGTAATCCAACATTTTGGACATATACGGCCCATCCAAAAAGTATCCGAGACCTGCGTAATACTTCCTGACACCCACACCGGAGATTCTGTTTAAACTAGTTGTCAGTACTTGTGTTGATCCCGTATTTCGGTGACAAAATATTTCACTTACACGCTGATCTTCTTGCTCCCGTGCTCTTCTCTTGCAATCCTCTCGGCCTCCTCCATCAACAATGTCCCATATCCCTGATGTTGGTACTTTTTCGGGTTCCTGCTATGTACAGGCACAGCAGAACCGTACACATGTAGTTCTCTTACAAGACTCGTCGGCTGTCCTGTAAGCTCTGGCCTAAAGGTTCTGTCCGAGCATTTTCTCAGCCTGAGAAGCCCGATTAATATATCCTGCTTTGGGTCCTCATAACTGAGAAAGGTTTCCCATCCTCCATTTGCTGTGTAGTCTCTCCTGATAAATTCGACTTGATCAGGTCGAACTTTATTCTTAATTTCCTGTATACCAACTTCTCGGGTTCTCACGTCACGACAGGTAGTGCCGAAGTCTTTCATTCTGCTCAAAGCCAGTTCGCGGAGATTTCCATTCTCGACACCGGATGTAACGAGAGGCATGGGGATATCGCGTTGCACTCGATAGATACGGGTCCATGGCGGTACTAAGGCTAAGATACGAGCTACGAGATCGATAAGAGCGTTGGGTGTGTAATTTTTGTATCGACCTGTTCGCCAGAGTTCATATAGGCCAGTTCCACGGATAACCAGTGTAGGGTAAATCTTCAACCCGTCCGTTCTAAAATCCGGGTTCTCAAAATATTCCTAGATACTCTTAAAACTAATCCGTTGAGTAAGAAGATAAGGGTCAGATGTAAATACCTGGAATTGGTAGAGATCTCTTTCCATGCCAACGTTAGGCAAATCGGGCATCATATGTGAGACAACCTTGTAACCGGCATCTTTGGCCAACCTAAAGGTCTCGCACACGGCCTTCACGGTATGGCCACGATTTGTATCTCGAGCGACATCTTCGTAGAGACTCTGGACACCGATTTCCAGTCTTGTGCAGCCGTATCGGAGCATGGAGCTCAAATGCTGATCCAGACAATAATCCGGCCTAGTCTCGATTGTGATTCCGACACATTTGGTTTGAGACTGCTCTCCTAATCTAAGCTAGTGTATTAGATAAGGAAAACCTAGAACCGAGGGAAATATCCCATACTCACTGCACAGCTTCGTCAACATTCTCTGCCGTATAACCAGACAAGGCATTGTGCAAACTTGCAATAAACCCATCCCGATAGCTTTCGGGAAGTGACATAAATGTTCCCCCCATGATTATATACTCAACCTTATCAACGCTATGTCCTAGTTGCCTCAGTTGGTCAACACGACCCCTAGCCTGCTCAAAAGGGTCGTAACGAGCACGAATGGCTCTCATTGATGTAGGTTCGTAACCAGTATACGATTGGGTACTGTATTCAAAGTCGGAATCCGGTCCCCCAGGGCAGTAAACACAAATATTTCCTGTCTATAAGAACGTAAGAATATAAATGACGATGAACAAAGACCTGCGGGGAGAATCACTAACGTAAGCGATGTGTGGGCACCTGTGTGGTTTGCACATAACTGCAACGACGGCTATTCCGGAGCTTGTACCTGAAACCATAAGTAAATCCTTCAAGTAGGTCTTAGGTAAACATACGAATCGGCTTCGCTATTAACTTTGGAACGATATATTTCTTATAGTGCTCTGGAATAGCTGCAATGATCGCCGTGAGTGGTGGAATCATCTTCAGCTTGTATTTCTTTGAAATTTGGCCTCTCAAGGCGTTTAGATTGACATCTTTCCCTCCATTGTCTTCCTCATGAAGCTGGATGAGATGGTGTGCGACGTCTGCGCACGCTTGCATGTATCGTTCGCGCTCCGGGGCAAGAGAAACACCCTTCTTATTTGGCTTCCCAGGAAGAGTTGAAAGAGTCATGGTCGCAGATGTATCGATATCAGCAGTGTTGCTGTAGGATGCAGGTCGGTTGGTGGGGTGGCGGGGGAAACTTTCTAGATGGACATATCTGCAGCCGCAATCATCTGATAAGATTTAAAGCATTGGATGAGCTAGCCTAATTAGAATAAGTTCGGCAGATCTCTATGTCATAGCACGGGTCGTAGCCAAGACGTAAAAGTTGGTTGGAGGGGCCCAAGGTTAAGAGTCACGGGCTATCAAGCTGGCCAGGCCGTTATTGGGATAATAACTTTTCTAACCGAATCATACTCCATGATTAGCACCAAGCCAGACTCTATGAAGTATCAAGTCAGTACAGTACCAAATTAGAACCTATGAAAACTCTAGGGTTCTTTCACTAGGTTACGCACTGGATAATCTAGGATCCATGCCAATATGAGAGTAGAATTGTCTTCATGTACTTGTACTCGCGCGGCCGAGTTTCGACTTACTCACGTGACGCTATTTAACAGGTTTTTTGCGTTACCCATAGGTCATGTGATTAAGTTGAAACTCGGCCGCGCAAGTAGGTCGTTCACTGTTTAATATATTTATAATGATTAGTCGAAGTACATATAAGACTAGAGCCCGAAACCTCTAAAAGATGGAAAGGAAAGGAAAGGAAAAATGTAAAATAATCATTTCCTTACCGCTTCACCTAGAGTCTGCTGAAGGTATGTACGAACTCTCAGCACGCTCTCTACGGGAAGGGGTAGTTGGGGGATAGCTATAAATGAAGACTACATGTACAGCCGCATTTGAAAAGTATTGGCACCTCCGAGCCAAGCTCACGAGGCAGTTCTTTCTGCTTTTCAACCCTCATATTCGAGACAATTGCCAGAGAGAGCTGCCATGACTCTATTGCGGTCATACCTATCAATAAGTTGAGTATGCGCGAGTGCCATGGATTTTGGTGGGCTACAATTCATGAACGACTCAATATAGTAGGGTGCCAGTACTTTTCGAATGCGGCTGTACATAGTAGAAACGTAAACTATGATCTATAATTCTACAACTACATCGTCTTTTATTCTTACTGGTACATCTAGGCCGCCCACCACCCTTCGCGATAGTAACACCAGCTGGCATGGTACTTGCACTTGCTGGATTTTTTATTGGGTCCGACTTTCGTTTTACTCCTGGTTGGAACTAGTGGGAAATGGCTTTGTAACGAGGTTTTCAGAGGGCTGTTGCTTCGTAAAAGAGTCGGACCCGATATACCGTGCACTAACACGAGCTGCACTGTGCTTCAGTAGCAATACCCGGGGTATTACTCTACATAATGATGCAGCATTGGAAAGAGTGAGGCGAAACGTCTTATGAGCGGCCTACTCTAGCCTTGGGAGGAGCGAAGTGAGGAGTCCCATAAGCAGCCTAGCAATAATGATGACTCAGCGGTTCCTGGAGTTTTAGTCGGCGTCGCTAGTACATAAATGTGCATGTACCTACAGCTAGTATTCTACATATTCTACAGGGGCTCTGTGCTCTCATTGCAACGAAATTCTAGATACTTTGCCGCCAGGCTTCTCGTCTCGCCTCACTTCTTACCCAACCATCGAACCTTACTAGCTCTACCCCAGAAAAAAAATCCCGGATCTCGTTCGAAACGCGAATTTCCTCACAAGATGGGAGACTCCCGCTCTCATTCCCGTCGACGGAGTGGACATGAAGGTAGATCGATGGAGAATGGTCGAGCTCAAGACACTCACGGAAGACCTGGGCTTTACCGCAGAGACTCAAATGTCAGCAATGCAAGCTTTTACAGCGAGGTTGAAATGGCACAAGATGAAGTATTACCCCTGCTTACCTTTCGTGTTACTCAGTCCTAATATATCTAGGTATTTGCTGGTCCTACCTCTGAAAGTCTTGCATCGAGCGTATCCTCCTTCCAGCACCGCCGCCGTTCGAGAGCGGATTCAAATGTCAGCTACTCTTTCTACCAGCCGGAACGCGGTGATGACCAAGAGAGTCTTTGGGAGGACGAAAGAGATGGTAGTGTGTTTCTGAATGACGACGAATACACGTCAGATGTTGACAGAGATATTGAGGAGATTGCACCGCTACGACGAATGTCCTCGTATCGTTCAGTCACAGCTGAAGACCCTTTACTTGAACATAGGGATTCTTCAGCATTCCACCGCGATTCCCTCAGAACAACACAGAAAATCTACATTGTTACAGAAGATCTAACCATTGTAGTTGCTGGATTTACTACAAGTCGATTGGGATATGTGCTATACTTGGTTATATCAACAATCACTCTAGGTATCGGCTGGCTTTTACTACGGTGGATCCCTCGCTGGCGTATACGGCTGGTAGGGAAACCATCGACAATCCGAGAATGTGATTGGGTTGTTGTTGAAAATCAATGGAACGAACTAAGCGTCCAAAATATTCACATACGCCGTTACGGTCAGTCCCTCTCTACGATCTTTGGGGTCCATGAGAAGTCTTCTGCCATACCGTTTAATCCAGATGAGGATGATGATCCAGTGATCAACTCTCTTCGTTGTTTGGATTATCGTTATATCAGGTTTATTTATCACCCATTACAGGACAAATTCATGCTTAATAATAGCTGGAAGGATCCAAACTGGGTCGATGTAAGGGCTGTTCGGTCTGGTATTGATGGTGATGAGAAAGAGCAGCGGAATTTGGTTTTTGGGTCAAATGTTATAGATATAGAAGAAAAAACTGTTATGCAACTTTTGTTGGACGAGGTTCGTCGGCCTTGCTTGAGTTGAGAGGCCTTGTGATTTGAGGGTGTAAAAACTGATGAACAAATCTTCTTCAGGCCTTCCATCCCTTTTACGTTTTTCAAATTGCTAGTTTGGTTCTCTGGTCAATTGATGATTACTACTATTACGCCGCCTGTATATTTCTCATCTCGGCCTTCAGTATCACCAGCACCCTGCTCGAAACAAAATCGGTGAGTTTTTTTCGAGAATGGGTTTTACCCCACGCATTACTTATTTTGCAGACTATGCATAGGTTACGCGAGATATCTCGCTTTGTATGTGATGTTCGTGTGTTGAGAAACGGATTTTGTAAGTCTTGATAGTCCATATTCATCGCCTCTTACTTATTCCTCTAGGGCGCTATGTCTCTTCAGAGGACCTGGTTCCCGGTGATGTTTACGAAATCACCGATCCTTCACTATCTTTATTTCCATGCGACAGTATACTTCTTGCAGGTGATGCCATTGTGAATGAGAGCATGTTGACCGGTGAATCTGTACCCGTCTCCAAGGTTCCCTGTACAAATGAGTCGCTTGGGTTATTAGATCTAGCATCATCCTCAATTCGCCCTGAGGTAGCCCGTCATTTTTTGTTTTGTGGGACAAAGATTGTACGGGCCCGGAGACCCCAGGATGGGGCTGAAGAAGAAGCTGTGGGTCTTGCATTAGTTGTCAGAACGGGATTCAATACGACTAAAGGTGCCCTGGTTCGTTCGATGCTTTTCCCAAAGCCTTCAGGATTCAAGTTTTATCGCGACTCATTCTACTACATTGCGGTGATGGGTTTGATTGCCGCTTGTGGGTTCGTGGTATCTTTTATAAATTTCGTTCATCTCGGCGTAAGTAGAGGCGTAATTTCAGTCTAAGTCACAATATGCTAATAGTAAATAGCTTGCATGGCACTTGGTAGTTGTCAGGGCTTTGGATCTCATCACTATTGTGGTTCCTCCTGCGTTACCAGCTACACTTAGTATCGGGACAAACTTTGCACTTTCACGACTGAGAAAGAAGAAGATTTTTTGCATCAGCCCACAGAGGGTCAACGTTGGCGGAAAATTAGATGTCGTATGTTTCGATAAAACTGGGACCTTAACAGAAGATGGGTTGGACGTACTTGGCGTACGTGTTGTTGACAAACATAATAATACGTACGATCTATCATCCATTACGAGTAATATTAATACTTATAATTTCCAGTTTCTCTGAACTTTTGAAGGATGCGCCGTCTCTTCTTCCTGGGCCATTCGAGCGTGATCCCACGGCGGATCTCAAAACCCATGAAGGAGTTCTTTACACCATGACAACCTGTCATTCGTTAAGGCTTGTGGACGACGAGCTTCTCGGAGATCCTCTTGATTTAAAGATGTTTGAATTCACAGGGTGGTCCTTTCAAGAGGGAGAAGGTAAAAAACGCGGCGCAGATGAGGGTAATGGGCATGATAGCACAGCCTTTGGGATTTCGCCCCCAGTAGTTCGACCACCGCATGGAAGGGAGATAAGTGCTGGTGGCGAATTCCACGACGAATTGACCGGCCAGGTAAACTCGCCGCCAACAACCATAACTTTCTAGGCTAATTTATTGAAGAATTCACCATTGGAGCTAGGAATATTCAAACAATTCGAATTTGTTTCACAGCTGCGTCGTACTAGTGTTGTTGTTAAACAATTCCGGGCTTCCGGTGGTAACGTTTACCTTAAAGGTGCCCCAGAATGCATGAAAGAGATATGTCGCCCCGAGAGCTGTCAGTAATCAAATCCTTTATCTGACATTGTTTTCTGTGTATTAATTGACCTTCTATAGTTCCACCTGATTACGAGGAGCTTTTATCATTCTATACACATCGCGGATACCGTGTTATAGCGTGTGCTACTAAACACATTGAAAATCTTAGCTGGATAAAGGCCCAAAAGATGAAGCGAACAGATGCTGAGAAAGACCTTGATTTTGTTGGGTTCATCATTTTCGAGAATAAGCTAAAGCCTCAGACCACGGGGGTTATCGAAGAGTTGAGAGAGGCAATTATCCGCAAGGTTATGTGCACTGGTGACAATATTTTAACAGCTATTAGCGTTGCGAGGGAGTGCAATCTAGTAGATAAGGAGACACATATATTCGTCCCGCATTTCATCGAGGGAGATGCACGAGATCCGCACGGGAGGTTACGATGGGAGAGCGTCGATAACAGGATCTATACACTTGATGAGCACACACTTATGCCTTCACCTCTATCAACAGACCAAGACGTCTCTGGTCCATACCAGATCAGTAACTTCCGAGGTTATTCGTTAGCGGTCAGCGGCGAGGTCTTCAGATGGGTTATTGACTACGCCCCGCAAGAAGTCCTCCATCGCGTGAGTTTTTGAATTACCATGATTCAGATGAGATTGAAATATTCTAACTTATAAATAGATGCTTGTGCGTGGACAAGTATTTGCACGTATGTCACCAGATGAAAAACACGAACTCGTTGAGAAGCTTCAAAGTATCGACTATTGTGTTGGATTCTGTGGTGATGGAGCAAATGATTGTGGTGCATTAAAGGCTGCAGATGTTGGGATCTCTCTGTCTGAGGCCGAAGCATCTGTTGCAGCTCCTTTTACAAGCAGAGTTTTTGATATCTCCTGCGTTCCTGAGGTCATTAGAGAGGGGAGAGCGGCGTTGGTTACAAGCTTCAGTTGTTTCAAATACATGAGTTTGTATTCTGCTATTCAGTTTACATCCGTCAGTATTCTTTACAAGTCTGCTTCTAATCTTGGCGATTTCCAATTTTTGTTTATTGATCTTTTTTTGATTCTTCCTATCGCTGTCTTTAGTAAGTTGAACCGTCCTTGTATCTTTTTCGTTGCTAACTATTATGAACCACAGTGGGATGGAGCGGACCTTATCCTGTACTTTGTCCTAAAAGACCAACAGCGAGTCTTGTGTCTAGAAAGGTTCTCACACCTCTGCTGGGCCAGATTGCTCTAGCATTCTTACTGCAATTTATTTGCTTTAAGGTTGTTAAGAGGCAAAGTTGGTATATACCTCCGGTAATTGATGATGATAAATCAAACATCATCAACTCGGAGAATACCACTCTTTTCCTAGTATCATGTTATCAGTATATCTTCGCAGGTATCATCCTTAGTGTCGGGCCACCATTCCGTCAACGAATACAAAACAACCGTAAGTTCGATCTCGTCCAAAACATGTTAGCCATCTTCTAATTCTTTACAGTTCCCTTCGTCCTCACCGTAACAATAACAGCTCTATTCGCTACCTACCTTCTTGTAAACCCAGTAGATTGGCTTTCAAGGTTGATGCAGCTCACCGAAACGGCAACGTCGTTCAAGTTCTTCTTAGTCGGCATTGCAGCAGCAGGTTTTGTGGCATCATACTTCTTAGAACATTATGTTCTCCCACAACTTGCTAGGGCCATCGGAAAGGTCAAGTTAACGCTGAGCCCTAAGAGTAAAAAGAGGAAGTTATACAAACTCCTTGAACAGGAAATGCGTATTTGAGGAATATTTTCTGTACTTAAAGAACTTAAGGGGGCAAGTTAGATTGTCTTTTAAATATTTCTCTTCGTTATTGGTATTATATCTGTGCCTGTATTTGTTTGGTACTTTTGACTTGGTTCGGGCTTTGGCAGTATTAGAATTACATAAGTTATGGGCAAGGAAAATTTGTTGTTAGATGATGAAATAAACAAGTACTAGTAGTTAGGTAATAGTCCAGGCGTAGGGTTTAACAGGCATACAATACGTACATGTATATACATGTATCTTTCCTAACTTTAGTCCGAGTTCAAGCCACAGGTCTATGATAGAGCATATACATGTAATTCGCCTTAACTCTTGTGAGTCTTGTGCCAAGACTCAATCATCAGCCCCTTGTAAATCCGGGGTGCCGGAAAGTGATGCAACGTTTGACCTAGCAACGCGGAAAGGCACTCAGAATTTCAATTTTTAACACAACACAATGCTTGAACAAGATAGATATTTTAGTCATATGCACGATACATGAGTCTCTAGAATAGAGTCTGCATTTTTTCAGGTCATTGATTTGGGGTTTTTAGCCTGCAAAAGAACAACTTGTGACAAGAGACAGTAATAAAAGGAGAAGCAATGGCTATTCATATTAACTCTTACTATAACTAGGATCTCTAGCTTCTAAATTACTATATTGGCTCTAGATTCTGTTAGCTAGTTTGGTTGTTGAGGAATATGGACTATTTGATCGTTGCATCACTTTCCGGCACCCCCGGGTACATGTACTGCTGTCAACTAGCTCCGATTCTCGACTTTCCTGGTAAAGATTGTGTGACTCCTGAGACTTCAGATGCAGATACTCAACAACGATGTTAAACTTTACGGTCTGCTCGGAATAGTCTCGCCCCGGGGTGAATCCTCGTACATTATGTACGAGCCTAATTATACCTACATGTATCTAATAAGGCGGATAGGACGGTTTGAGTCGGAAAGATAGGCCTAATGGGAATCATGATCGTTCTGTAAAATTGTTAACGTCATCGGACCCTGGGATCGAAGGTCCATATACCCCCCTGCATGTGAGTGTAACCTTGTGAACATGCTATATGTATACGTAGGACTATATATACTTGTATTTAAATCAAATGTTCCATGTCGTGAAGTGAATAAAAATATTACATCTTTAAAAAAAAAAAAAAAAAAAAAAACCAATTCGTTGTACTCACACAAAGGACCTATACACCAACAACCTTCAATAATGGCTACTGAATGGCTTCTAGATAATGGCTACTTGCCAGAGCTAGTAATCAGGCATGTACAATCTATCAGACACATGTAGCTACTCATTAACTGATTATCTTTTACAGAAAGGGTATCCGCATTGAGCTTAAAGATCGACTCAATAGTATTGCCGGTGGATCCCTTGAGGAAGCTTCTTCTGCAAAGATGGCACTTATCGACTCTCTACGCTCCCGCACAATTGCCGAAAACGTTGAGATTGCAAACAAGGAGCACTACGAAGTAGACACTATGGTCTTTGAACATACCCTTGGAAAACGGATGAAGTACTCCGCGTGTTACTACCCCACCCTTTCAACGACCCTAGATGAAGCCGAGATTTTCATGCTCGAAAAATATGTTGAACGTGCTCAATTGTCGAATGGACAATCAATCCTCGATCTAGGATGTGGGTGGGGGTCATGTTCACTTTACTTCGCAAAAAGATTCCCTGGATCCGAGGTTACTGGGCTTTCAAATAGCCGGACCCAGAAAGAATATATCGACGCCGAAGCGAAGAGGCAAGGAATCATGAATTTGACTATCGTCACAGCAAATGTGGCTACTCATGAATTCGACCCAGCTTCTTTCGACAGAGTAGTCTCCATTGAGATGTTTGAACACATGAAGAACTATGAAAAGCTCATGGGGAAAGTAAATCGATGGCTGAAGTCTCTCGGAAAGCTTTTTGTGCATATATTTGCTCATAGGGAGTTTCCGTATGAGTATGGGAGTGATGGCTGGATGGGAAAGTACTTCTTTAATAATGGAAATATGCCTTCGGCAGACCTACTTCTCTACTTTCAACGGGATTTGAAGATTGAAAATCAGTGGTATGTGAATGGCAACCATTATGCCAGGACCTGCGAAGTATGTCCTCGTCCTTTCATCCAATAACTAGATTAATTTTTGAAACTTACATTGGTTAATTATAGGACTGGTTGAAGAACTTAAACAAAAGCAAGAGCTTGGTGTTGCCATCCTTGGCAAAGACATACGGAGCGGGTGAGGAATATAAATGGTTCTACCGCTGGCAGGTCTTTTACCTGGTAAGTATTAATAGTAGTCTAATATACTTCTAAGCGGTAGAGACAACGTTTACTGACTAATTGCCTCCAGGCATGTGCCGAATTATTCGCATGGCAAGGGGGTGACACATGGGGTGTCTACCATTATTTGTTCATAAAATCGGCTTAATACCTTCATTTTTTTGTTGATACTAACAAGGCGCTACGGTTTATGGTTCTATATGTTGCAGGCCCCGTGATTCACAAGGTTCTTTGTACACTCTTTTTACGAATGTTATGTCACGTTTAGTTGCAATTCTTTGCAATCTATATACATTGTATGTATGATGAGGTTCTAGTACGGTTCCTGTGTCGAGCATGGAATATCAGCATAGGTCGGACTCGAGGGCAATTGTTATAAATATAAATACCTTAATGCTCCACATTGTGTCACATTTAGTGATCCCAAGGGTGCTTGAGTCCTAGAAGAACAGCCTGTAGACGAAGTTAGTACTACACTCAATGTCAAATTTGATATCAAGTGGAATTTACCCCATCTTTCTTTGCACGGTACCTAAAAGACGTTCATTACGTTAGCGCTTCAGGCAACCTTATCCGCAAATACCCCGCCTCGAACCAACCCAGCCGAATCGTGGATTTTTGAGCTCTTACATCAACCAGAACCACATAGAGGCTCCCAGGAGCTTTGCTGAGATCGCATAGAGAGGGCGAACTGGGTGGATATGGATCGGGTGGTGAGCTCCTCCGGGACCGGCCATTTTTGATGTTATATGTCGCTAGCCTTTTTCGAAAAGCTTCATAGTCACTCGGTCAGCCGGTCATCGCATGTGGGATGGGTAAAATATAACTTACCAGGGGTATAAGGACTCGAGTATTATGGAGGTTCACGCTGTAATTCACTAGGTCTGCGGTTGAGGTTGACGCCAAGCACAATCGCGAATTGAAGGTTACCCTGAAGCTACTAGATAGATCTTGCGGGGCCAGCTATCTAGCTAGATCTCTGATTCGGGATCCCTGCACGGTTGATAGCCATATCTAAGGCATAAGGGCCTGGGCGGGAGCTCGAGACCAATGATTTACCAGATCTCCAGATTACTTACCTAGAGTATTTTCATACGAAAACAATCGACGCTCTGACTCAGAAGGTAAGACCATATTGACACGTATGTACCATAGGAACCTCTCTGGCCAGCTTAGATGGTACACGCATAGCCAAGGTGCTTGGAATACAATTTGTATAAGTATCTAATCACCCCCGTTTACGGTTTACGGGATTTTAAGCTTCATTTACGCCCGTGGAGAAGAACACAAGCAATGCCATTACTACAACTTCCTAACGAACTCCTCCTCGTTATCTCCAGGGGCCTTAAGCCTAATAACCTCAATTCATTTCTCCAAACAAACCACCGTCTTGCAAGTCTCCTCACCCCACTTCTTCATAGGATCGCAATCGAGGAAAGAGAACTCTCCTGGGCAGTTCGGGGCGGATATGCGCCGTTAGTTAAGCTATTATTAGAGAACGGGAAAGACACCGAATGCTTCCTTATGGGATCTCTGATTCACTGGGCGGCGCTCTACGGTCATCGAGCGGTAATTGAGCAGCTATTGGATATGGGCTTTGATATCTCTCAAAAAGATCAAAGTGGAGAAAGTGCTCTTTTCTGGGCTGTTAAGTCTGGGCGGGAAGAAACTGTTTCATTCCTCCTGGAGAGAGGGGCAGATATCAATGAAAAAGGCAGATTGGGTTCAAGTTTGCTTCGAGTTGCGACAGATAACGGGTGTAAAGAGTTGGCACGGTTACTGGTTGCTAGGGGTGCGGATACCAAGGATTTGTTCTTGGGACCACGGGAATAATTAGAACTTGTTGACTTAATCTCTAGATTCTATCTAAATATAATTTAAAGAGTCTATTGAATCGACTATCAAGGGAGGTAGTTCAATCCTTGGGCGTGTGTCCTAGGCCACAAATTCGAAAATCCAGCTTACTAGCATAATCTACCATTTAAGATTGCCCAGGAAAGCGAACAAGATGCGCGCACAAGAAAAAGCCGCACGAAGAAGTAAAAGCCGCAATGTCCAGGGGGTGCATCAAAGTCTAGCTTCCCCGTTAACTCCAATGCAAATCCGGTTTGTTCCAGTGATCGCGCCAATCCGTAATACAAATTAATAGCAAGGCATTTTTATCGTTTGATCCAATATTAATCCTGTATGGTTCTCTGTACAGATTAAATGAATTAGTTGCGGCTTCGGGAGGACTTGATGAACGTATGCTGTACTCACAATAAATCCGTCTAACCCCATCTCGAAAAGTTCCACAGCAACACCTTCTCCGCCATGATGTTCAACCGCTGAGAGAATATTAGCAACTTATTGGTAGGGTTGACCTTTGAGGTAACTTACGAGAAAGAGGGTTCTTGACAACTATATATGTTCGCCAACTAATTATCTAATCTGCGCACGCAACAGCACATTCTTGCAGGAGAACGAACCGAATTCAACGTAAAGATTCACGTATATCTGATGCAACACGACCCGAAGGTTGTTCATCTTCACGTCTGTCAGCAATACGAACTTGAGGTTTGTTGGTGTTTCATAGTAATGAAGCTTGTAGGCGCCCGTTCGATATGATATAAAAGAATCCTCACTAGCTACCATCCAAAGTGATCAGTACTGGTTGATGGGAGGGCTCGAGAGAACTTAAATAACTAACGGTCCTGAGAGCTTCCGCACCATATTCCGTAGCGAGAATACGACTCCAAATATCAATTTCGCATCATCCTGGACGCTTAGCCGTCCACCGGGCCGGCTTGGGTTCGTATCGTTGCTGCGCAACAGGGTAGAGCCAGCAGATGAACGCTTGCCATCCCCCGTGAGAGAAGCTGGCGAGTCTGTCCCTGAAGGGCCAGCAGAAGACGTAGGCCGAAACTTATCCTGTTGGTGCCATTGTTTAATGTAGATACACTCGCCTATAACAGAATAGATTTGCGGTCAGTAGCGCTCGAAGCTTGAAAGGATAAAGACAGTTTGAGCAGGTTCTTGTGACTCACAGTGTCGGTCGAATATGTAGAAGGAGTAGATTGTCATAGTAGCCTTAAACTTCTCGTGATGATGTTGAGGGGGGAGGAGCTGTAACTCAAATGCTTGCTTCCCCTAGCCCTAGTCCTGGTCATATGTAGCATAGCCAAGCCTACCATCACCTGATCTTCACGGCGCAAATCATAGAAAATCACTCGCGATACAACAATGCTTAATCACTGGTAACTCACCGCAAGGGACATTTGATATTAATCGGACGAAAGACCAATAGTATCTTAATTTACGAGTACAGGTAATCATGAGAACCAGAGTAGATTATAAAATGTCTAATACACGCTACATCGGTAACTCAAGTACTACCAATGAGTGCCATTACTAGTAAAAACCACTGGAAGGTTGAGTATCCCTTAAGCTGTCGATGCTGACCCCCCTAGAACAAAGGAATTAGATTTGTATGAGGGATCTATTATTTGATAAGAGGGATAACGGCATCTGTTAAACAGCTTAAGGAATAACAACAAGCCTAAATTGTCGTTAACTATAACAAATCTGAACTAACAATTTACTAGAAACCTACAAGAAGGCTTTCGCTGCTGCCTCGGATTTCTTCTCTCTCCCTAAATGTAGGATTGTGGAATAAGAGAATAGCCCCTAGGTCGGATTATGCGGAGATGCTTGCGTTGTTTGATTTTGCAGAGGCAGACAAGCTGTTAGATTGTATATAATTAAGGATATGTTCAAAATATATACAGCCATAGTTCATTGTACGATTAAACTCCTAAATCTCTGTATAGCTGTATTGGCAACACCAAACATTGATTAGAGAAGGCGATGCGGACACCCATTGGGACCAAACCAGATTGGGAGCGGCGGCAGGAGACTCAGGTGATTCCTTATCGGTGCAATTGCAAATGGGTGTGTTTGTGAATTGTTTGATCAGACAAAAAGATTGTTTTAGAACGAGATACAAGACTTTGATCGTATTAGACCTCTACCCATTTTTTATTTATTCACGACCATATCTTTGATCTATCTAAATAGAGTTGACAGCCCTCCTCTCATCTCTAAGTTTGCAAATCTTCTCTAAAGCCTCTTCAACTGGGATGAGTTCTCCCTTGGCTTGGGTCTCCGGGTCGTCTCTGTTTCTGATGTTTACTGTCCTCGTGTCTCTTTCCGTGGCGCCGACAACTATTTTTAATAGATAATTATTAGTCCTTTGAAATCTAATAAAAGGTGATTATTGAAGAGGACATACCGAAGATGAAGTTATACTGCTGAAGTTGTCCAGTTCTAATCTTCTTTGCCATTGTGTTCGGACCAACATCAATATCCACATGCATAAGCTTAGCTCTGAACAATGACTGGAGCTCTACGACGTAATCGTTCGCAGCAGCCATAACAGGGATAATGAGGATTTGCCTTGGGCTCAACCAGAAAGGCCACTTCCCTGCAAAGTGCTCAGTCAAAATAGCAATGAAACGCTCAACACTTCCGAAGATAGCCCTATGGATCATGACGGGCCTCTTGTAGTGCGAAACTTCTTCATTGCCCGCCTCATCTTTAGCTTTGACAACCTCGCCGGTGTTGTACTCAAGCTTGAACCTCTGCGGGAGCTGGAAGTCGAGTTGAATTGTGGCACATTGATGGTCACGGCGAAGAGCATCAGAGATGGTAATGTCAATTTTCGGGCCGTAGAAAGCACCATCACCAGGGTTAAGTTCCCATTGTCCCCCACCAGCAGCAGTGAACTCCTGAAGAGCGGTTTTTAACTGGTTTTCCGCCATATCCCAAGTCGCGATATCACCAACGAACTTCTCTGGACGAGTGGAAAGTTTCAGCTTGAAAGTAAAACCAAGCAGTCCGTAGACATGCTTCAGGAAATCAAAGAGCCCGTGAATCTCCTGCCCAACCTGATCCTCGGTACAGAATATGTGGGTATCATCCTGCTGGAATCTTCTCACCCTGGTCAATCCGGTAAGGGCGCCAGAGAACTCATTACGGTGAATAACTCCAAAATCCGCAACCCGCCATGGGAGTTCACGGTAACTCCTCTCGCGGTGTCCAAACAACAAACAATGCCCGGGACAGTTCATAGGCTTGAGACCAAACTTGTCCTTCTCAACCTCAAATGTGAACATGTTCTCCTGATAGTTCTGCCAATGTCCACTGGTTTCCCAGAGCTTCGAGTTATACATATTTGGGGTAATTACTTCCTCATAGCCGCGCTTCCAGTACTCCGAACGGAGAAATTCGACCAAGGTGTTATAGATTCTTGTACCATGAGGAAGGAAGAAGCATGACCCAGGGGAGAGTTCGTGGAAGAAGAAGAGCTCCTGTTCTTTTCCAATCTTGCGATGGTCGCGCTTGGCCGCCTCCTCTAACATCTTCTTGTGCTCATCCATCTGCTTCTTATCTGGAAAACTGATACCGTAAATACGTTGTAATGAGTCATTCGCAGCATCGCCGAGGAAGTAAGACGATGAATTCTATATAAACTTGTGAGAATGTGGATATAAGCAACCCCCATGTAAGACTTACCTTCATAACCTGAAAGGTCTTTATCCTACCGGTGTGTGGAACATGGGGCCCAACACACAGATCAATCAAAGGTCCACACCTGTAAATAGTGGTACTAGTACCATCCGGAACCTTTGACCCGATCAAGACCTGCTTGTACTTGTTGTGCTTGAACATTTCAAGTAAGTTTTCTTTTGAAACTACCAAACGCTCGAATGGCTGTTTCTCTTTGATAGCCTTCTGCGCAATGGTTTCTAGTGGCTTGTAATCCGCAGCAGTGACAGCCTCGCCTTCGCCGAGTCCCATCTCGTAGAAGAAACCGTCGTCTGTGGGGGGCCAAGACAAAGATGGCATCCAAACCTGCGCTCGGCAGCCTCACCGAGGACATGGGCAGAGGAGTGCCAGAAGACGCGCTTTCCTATTGTAATAAATTAGTTTTTTTATATCATGATATGGCGAGTTACAGGTTAGGGACAAACAAACCTTCTGGGTTTTCAAAGTCAAGCAATTCTAAAGAACATGATTTCTCCAGTGGTCTTTCAATATCCCACAATTGGCCATCAACTCTAGAAATCACAGTCTTCTCGAAAAGGCTCTTGGCTATGTTTCGTGCGATTTCTGCAGGGGTGGTTTCCCATGATTTTCCCACGATGACGGAGCCGTCAGGCAAAGTAACCGTGATCTCCTCACGGGGTTTTGCTATAGAAAAAGCGAGGTCAGAGGACAAATGAAACGTAAACAACATAAGATGTGAACTCATACCAGCAATTTCAGCGTCGTATTCGGCCTTGAGCTTCTCAAAAAGCTGGATTCTATGGGGAATGAATTCCGGCGCAGGTTCGAGCTATAAGAGAGGGGGTAGGTGGTCAGCAATATCTATGAAGTCGAATTTCCAAAAAGTTGGCGTCAAACCTCCAATGGTGTAGCGTCGACAGCACCCTTCGCTGCAGCCTTCTTTGCCTTCTTTTCGCCTTTAGGTTTGACGCTCGTAGGTTTAGCCTCAGGGGCCGCGGCCTCTCCCCCAAGAGTAACATTCTTGATGCCCTCGACGAGCTCAGCTGCTTTATCCATGATGTCTGTTTTGCCTATCAGGAGATGAGTACAAAATTGTGGGAGCGGGGTTGTTTTTGTTATTCAGATGTTTCCTATCCGAAACGCGGGGTGTCTTGGCAACCTTTATCTGAGTCATGGTTCATCACACGGAATTGTTGCACCTTGGAGATCGAATTTAGGCACAACTAGTGGAAAGCCCAATAATCACATCATATCGGGATCCATTGATCTATTAACAATCCGTATACCATCTAACATTACTCCAATTGGGTACTGACTAACTAATTGCGCTCACATTCCAGACCAGATCAGTACAACACCTAGCCCTATCTTAAATTTACAATACGCTATATCTTGAGCTGGCAGGCGCCCTATTCTCGCTATCTACGGCGGCAAGGGTTCCATCTGCAAGCAGCCTCTTAAGTTCTCTCATAGCATTTGTCACCACAAGTTCGGTATCACCTTCCACAAGGATATACAATTTCGGATCTTGACCAGGCTGGGGTGTCTTTCCGGCTGGATAATAAGAACCTTTAGTCGTGATGGATGTTCCAGTTGCTTCCAAAACTTTGGCAATATTGGTCCTATTGGTAACTGCCCATCTTGCTTTTTCTATTTATTCAATTAGCGGATTCCAACGGGCCTGGAAGGATAAAATAATAAGAATTATAAACTTACGGGGAAAGTCATTAATTTCTAAAGTGGCGTGGTATGCTCCGGCATCGGGCCCCTTATTATCGATAGGGACACCAGTACGAAGCTGTCCGGTCTTATTAAGACGAGAATGGATTGCTGATGTAGCCTGTTTAACGCGGTCTAGGGCATCTGTGCCCGAAGCTGGGCTGTGAGTAGCAGTAGATCGTTTAATGACGACGATCTTGGCATCAAGTGGGCCTCCTACTCCAAGCTCCTGCGCCTTCTTTGTAGCCGTGACAGACGTCGCCGCCTTTGAAACAACATCTTCAGGATCAACAGCGGCAGTGTCTTCAACTACTTCGTCACCATCTTCCGCTGCGAATTGCTTCCTTTCTCTTCTTCTAGCCAAGTCGCGTTCCTGGTCGAGGCGCTCCAAGCCTTTCCCTCCAAATCCTGATCCACTAGCTTTTTCTTTTCCAGCTTTGACCTTCTCATTAAACGCTAAAATAAGGTTAGCAATTGTACAAGATAAATATTTGATAGAATAATACCATCAACGAGCTTCTGTACTGGCTCCGGTACTTTCTGCCCGCTTTGTTTCAGTGCCTTCGAGATATCTACTGCGTATCTATCCTGGTCTTCAGTAATGAATGTCACGGCAGTCCCTAGCATCCCTGCCCTCCCTGTTCTTCCGACTCTGTGCACATAATCCTCCATGTGATTTGGGCAATCATAGTTTACCACCAACTTCAACTGTTTCACATCAAGACCTCTCGCAGCAACTGAAGTGGCAACAAGAACTGGTACAACACCATTCTTGAAATCAATGATTGTTGAGTCTCTATCGATTTGGTCTTTCCCTCCGTGAATAGACATGCATGGGTATCCACGGCGCATCAGGTCACGAAGCAAAGTGTCAGCTGATTCCTGGCGATCCACAAAAATCAAAGTACGTGCATCGTCATCGGTATCATATAGTTCACCGAGCAACTCAAGTAAACGATGGAATTTTGTATCGTCATTTCGAATCTCGACAATTTGGGTGACCTCAGAGGCAACAGTCGAACGCGCACCAACTGTGATTTCCACGGGGCGTTGTAGGATCTTTCGGGCCAAGGCTTCCATCTGTGCTGTGTTAAAAATATCTGCTTATTTGATTGTAAACCGGGGATGGGGCACTTACCTGGCGGGGGAATGTTGCAGAGAAGAGCACAGTTTGTCTATCGGGACGGATATTACTGATCACCTTCATAACTTGGGGTTCGAAACCCATATCGAACATTCGATCAGCTTCATCGAGGACAATATATGTGACTCGTTTTAGGTTTGTAACACGGCCCGAGTTTGCGGCAAGAAGATCAATCATTCTGCCAGGCGTGCACACAATTATTTCTGCTCCACGTTTAAGGTCGGCAATCTGATCTTTAATAGGTGAACCACCATAGGCACATACAGCCTATTAAAAGTCAGCAATAAACTCAAGATAATGAATGTGTCCTGGTTAGCTTACTCTTAAATTCAAAGCCTTTAAAAACGGCTTGCATTCCTTGAAAATTTGCACAGCTAGCTCTCGCGTTGGTGTCATAATCAGTGAAATCGGTCCTTCCTGAGATTCAATCGGTCTCTGGTCTTTGATATGCCTAAACATGGGCAATAAAAATGCTATGGTCTTCCCTGAGCCAGTCTTTGCGACGCCAATAACATTCCTTCCCGACATGATTGCCGGAATAGCCTGCGCCTGAATACTCGTTGGTTTATCATAGCCAAGTTGCTGAATGACTCCTAGACTTTGACTTGGTAGTCCACACTGACTCCATTTCTGCACTGGTTTTGGACAGTCCTGTCCCCGAATCTTGATCGCATCTAGTTCAAGACGTAGCTCATCGACCTCTTGTTCTGTCAATTCTGCCAAATCGGCTGGCTCGACATAAAAGTTTTTACGGAATGGTTCATAATTGACCTTGGAATGATCAATTGCTGGGAGTTCCTTCTTCTTTTTCATCTTTGCTGCCATCGCCAGAATATCATCTGGGTCTGCCTCCGCCGAAACCAAATCTATAGCATCGTCATCGAACAAAGTTCCATCTTGGCTTGCAGGTGCTTTAGCATCGTTCGTCTTTTTCTCTGCAGTGGCCATTGAGGTACCAATTCCGGCCATGAATGCATCAAGCGGGTCAGCCTCTTCATCCTCTTCGATTGGAGCTTGTTCCGCTATAGCGGCTGCCTTTACTTCCTGGTCCAATTGCATTGCTTCTGCAGATTCCGCTTCGATGCGCTCACTTCGCTGGGCAGCGGCGGCCCTTGCAGCGGCAGCAGCTTCCTCCTCAGTGGTATCCTGCATTTCGGTGTCATTGTCTACATCTTCTGCACCTACACCATCTGTTCCAGCATCAGGAATGGGCGAGGGCAAACGTTCAAGCTTCTTCCTAGAAGACTCCTCATCACCGAAGGCTAGCGCCCGTTTGCCCTTTTGGGGCGCGACTTTCTTAGTAGCTGCGCCAAAGCCAAAGGTGGATACCGGGCGGTTCGTTGGTAGTGCAGAGCCATTTATAGTGCCTATATATACTGTTAACCGTGCCCTACCGCAAAATTCAAGGAATAGAGAGTTGACATACCAATAGACGAGCTGATGGCAACTAGTGAATCTTTGTCAGCTTTTGGACGGGCAGCGGAAGAGGTGGAGGCGGAAGTTGAGGATGTGGGTGTCGCAGCAACCTTAGGAAACGCAGCTATCTTCACAGACGCTGAAGAGGTGACAGTGGCAGGCACAGCAACAGGAACAACCTCAGCAGGCACAGGCTGTCTTTCCAATGAAGACAAGATGGCAGCAGGAGATGCATTTTTTTTCGCCTCTTCCTCCTCGGCCCTTTTGCGCTTCCAAGCTTCAAGACGCTCTTTACGCTGTCGAATCTTCTCTTCGTCGCTCATTACAGCCGGCGGGGGTGTAGGCTGTCCGGAGTCAGTATAATCATTATCATCGCGTAAGAACATTCTCACCTCTTTTGCTCTTGAAGGCCTCCTAGGGTCTTCATCCCGATCTCCCCGTCTCGTATCTCTCTCTCTTTCCCTCCTTAGACGTTCCCTACTGGTATCTCTGCTCCTTGAACGTTTCCTCTCCCTGTCTCTCAACCTTGGGGACCTATCTCTCCTATCCCATTCATCTCTATCTCTCGCACTAACGCCCCTAGCCCTCTCTTCCCTCGCATCGTAATAATCGTCGCCTCTCCTCCGGCGGTCAATACTCCTATCTCTTCTTCTATCGCGGTCCCGTTCTCGGTCCCTGTAATCCCGGTCTCGTCTCTGTGCTCCAGTATCAATCTCACTGCGTCCGCCAACATGCGGTTGCTGGGGGCGTACCTCACGACTGCGACTTCTGACGCGCCCGCCTCGGGGTTCGTAGCGGTCGTCGCCTCGCCTGGTTCGTTTTGAGTCGGGTGAACGTGAACGTGAACCGTAGTGCGTCATATTTGCGGACGGGAAATGTTTGTGGTTGGTGGTTTGCTGGTGAGAAATGTGAAAGTCTCAGGATACCTATGTGTTAGGTTACCTATGGGTGATGTTGAGAATGTTGCCTTTGGAGACCTCTCTTGATTTCTGCCAAGAATGCATGACTCATCTTTATTAGGGTCGGATGCAAGTGATCTTGGCAGGTAGCTACCTGGTCAAGCATTTAGACAATTGAGATTCTATAATTTACACTGTTAGATTCGAGGAGAAATGAGAGTATGATCATACTGTGGACATATACACATTCCTTTTCCCATGCTTGCCTTTTAACCCCATCGAACTCCGTCCAGAGTCAATACATCCTATGAAATAGCAACGAGAATAATTGAAAATGAAACATAAACAATGCCGCAAACGAACGCTGATAGTAAACCCAATGATCCCATATTTATAGATAAGGAAAGAAAGAAAGAACCCCAGGACATTCCTACCAAAATACAGATCCGTTTAAACAAATGAGAAAGAAGAAATATAGACTTTAACAAAGCAACACCGCATCTTCCTCTTCACATTCCTCAGACAGAGATGCCTAAGCAGACCGTTAACAACTAAACCGCAGTATTAAATAAATGAGGAGGAATAAAAACTTACCATATCTGCGGCTAAATCTCTATCCCATACATTACTAGCTCTCCTCGCAGCCTCCTCCTTAGTAGATAATGACTCCCCATTATTTACGTTATTCACAGAACCCTCGTTTTCAACACTTACGCCGGGATTCCCAACCATTGCAACAGGCGAGGGGCTTCTTGACTCTGAGCTCCTATAATCGCCCTTGCTACTGGCCGCTAATGGAACACCTGGTGAGCTCGGCGGCGAAGATAGCAAATTATCCTGGGCGAATATTCTAGTCGTCGAATCATCGCCCGTGAGTAATGATGTCTCTGGTGCTGAATTATATGTATCCACTTCCTGTTTATAGTTCTCTGTTTCGTTTTCGAGCTGAAATGTAGCAGAAGCAACAGAACTAGAAAAAATCTCGACCTTAATATCCTGTATTGGGGGGGTGATTTCCGTGTGTTCAGGCTGCCATGACTGGTTGTAGGGAGACATGTTTGAAACTATGGCCGCTGGTAAAGGCGAGAACCGGTCTAGAGGTGTATTCCGTATGGCATCCGGTAAAGGTGGGTGAGGGGGAGAGGCTGGTAAGGGCCGAGAAGGGGGGGTGACTGGCAAAGCCTGTGGTGGTGGAGATGATTTGAAAGATAGGTCCTGTACAGACTGCGACAAAGACGGAGGAGGAGGAGGGGTCACTGGTAAAGCCTGTATCGGCGGTGAAGAGTAGAAGGGTGTGATAGAACGCTCCACAGATGGTGAAGACAATGGATACTCCATGTTTTCTCCCAACACATCTGTCGACTGTTCTGTTGCATCTAAAGGTTCTCTAACTGCCTGGCTGCCTATGGCAAAGAAATCGCCTACATACTCTTTCAGTCGACCATCCATGTTCATCTGGCCGGGTAGAGGGGGGTCTTCTTCTGTGTCTTCTTCCTCCCCTTGTCCTTCCTGGAAGGCCGCAACCTCGGACTGGTCTTGTATACTCTCTACCTCCTCCATTTCTCCTGTCAATACACGCTCCCAATCGCCCAGTAGCGTCCTGATAAGCCATGGATGTCTTAGCATGGACATTACCGTGCCTCGTCGACTAACCCCTACTTCCATCATTGCCATCAGGAACTTTACCAGCCCAGAATCTTCAGTCTCGGTCTCCAGAAACTGTTTCAACATCCCGGTCTTTTCCTCGGGTCTCCTTTTACGGTTCCCGGGCCCACGCTTCTTCTTGGCAGGAAGTAGCGAAATCTCACTATATATATCCTGCCAGTACATTCCATGCTGGTACTCCCTCACACTTCCGACCAGCTCTACCACTCTCCCCACCATACTCTCCCTCCCTTCTATTACCCCTCTTAAAAGCTCTCCACCCTCTATCCCGTTCCCGACTACAATTCCGTCAAGTAGCATTTCCACTGCAATGACCCCAGCGCTCCATACATCCATAACCCTACTCAATGGCCCGGCACCCAGCAGTATTTCCGGTGCCCGATAGCATGCGCTCTGTACCCCAAAATCATCGAGATATGCCGCTCGATCTTCTAGTCTAATGGTATTACCCAGATCAATGAGCTTTATCCGATTCGATTCTGGCAAGAATAGTATATTCGCAGGTGTCAGATCTGCATGTATTAGGTTGTGTGTATGTAGTGATAGCAGGCCTGATAGCAACTGTAACATTATTTTTGCAAGCACCAAGTGACGCCCCGGACATGCCAGGTGCGGATGCCCGCATCCGCACAGCGGCAACGCTACAGGCCGCCCAGAGTCAAGAGGCTCAATTACTAAGTGGAAATGATGTGATTCGTCAAAAAAGGAAGTAATTGGAGATATCACATGCCGCGGTGATTCTCCATTACTATGCAGGAACTCTAGTAACGAGTATTCGTTCTCGCCTATGGAGCTTAGAGGCTGCTTCATGCGCTTTATGGCGACAAGTGGTCGAGGATTATCCGGTGGTTCGGGCTCAGTCGGAGTGATCTCTGCGAGGTAGGTAGTGCTAAAGTTCCCATGGCCGAGGATGCGGAGGATGCGGTAGTCTGCTATGAGTGTATCGGGGCGGAGATATAGTTCCTCCTGCAGCTCTTCATCAAGCTCCTGCAGCTGTTCCAGTCGGCCATCGTCTTCTTCTGTTCCCTGCTCATCATCGTCTATTTCCTCCTTCAGAGTCTCCTCGACTTCGGGCAATGGCGACGGGAGCCTATACGACGAATTGATAGTTGAGTTCACGGTGGAGGCGCATGGCGAGTTCCCCTCTGCCCCTCTCTCCTGCGACAGGTACTGAATCGAGTCCATTATACCTCTCCTCCGCTTCCCCGTAGGCTCCACGAGCGCTGATTTCCTCTTTTTCCTTGCTTTCCGCTGTGGCGCACAACTGTCTATTGTGTTGAAGGAGCTCATTGTGTCGTTTTCTTTGTCCGATCCCTCTCTGGGCGCAGTCGTCGTACCGGGTATGTTCATGGTGCGTGCCGAGGCGCGGGGGGGGGGTGGTGGTTGGAACCGTCACAAGGTGGTTGTCGTGAGCGCGTTTACTCACTGACAGGCAGACTGGGGAATGAGGCGATGCTCTGAGACAGCAACTATGTGCAACCTAGGGCTAAGTGAACGGAATGCCCATTTTCACAATTCATATCGTTCCAAGCTAAGACAGAGGACATCTAATGAAAGAGACTAGAATACAAAGGGAACTGGCATCTCAGAGTCGCGTAAAGTGCTTGATACGTGTGTGTCACGTGATTGTATTTGATAGACGCAAAAACGAGATGAATTATGATAGACACTATGTATATGTATAATATAGCACTCCCTGCTAGGTTTACTAAAGAGCTTCTTAAAATTACAGTCAGCTCAAATACAGATATCAGGCCCCCCGATATCACGGTATTCGCTCAATCATTACTATCTACCACCTTCCCAATGTCCCTGCCTCTCCCTTCCTCGCACTACTTGCCATCATGGGCGCTCTCGTCGCCTCTCTCCACACTTTGGTGATCCAGCAAGCCGTCAAAAAGTCTCTCCACTCGACCTCTGGCATGCCCGCAGCTCCCGCAGCCTGATCATCGTAGATCTCCACCGCCCTACCATTCTCACCATAGCTGTCCGGGGACACTGCATTCTCCCTAGCCACAATCTTTTCAACTGGCTCCCACATCTTCCAGACACCATCATCTTTGCCGCCTTCATCAACCGACATGCGGATCCGATGCTCCACAAGCTTCCCGGGCGCCTTGGCCATAAAGTTCACTGTCCATGTCCCGCCCGAGAACCATCCCGCCTTGAACTCCATTGTCCCGTACCCATACCCGCCCGAATTCTTCCCGTGGCGGAAGCACGTGAGGTTGTAGTCTGCGCCCACGGGGGTCTTTGTAATCTCATACAATATGTGGTCCTTATCCAGAATGCTGGTCCGAGAGTCGCGGGTGAGCTCCGATGAAGCTTGTCCCTCGGGGGTCTCTTTGACACGTGGTTTCACGAACGCATTGAGGTGAACCTTGAGTCCACCAGAGGAAAGTGACTGTGGGAGCCTGTAAAGAGGATTATCAGGGCCTGTTGCGAGGGGCGGCGCTGGGGCGGGAGTGGGAGTGAGGCCAGTGGGTGATGGGGGGGTAATGTCGATTGTAACAGAGCCGCCGTGGGCGATGGGCTGTGGAAAGATGATTGAAGAGGCAATCTCAAGGGTGAGCGTCATGGTTGATTTGTTGGAAGGTATCTAAGGGTTAACTGCAAAGATGTGTTGTGTTATCCGTGGAAGATTTTAACAGCTGGAGGTCTCGGATTACTGAGATGGGATGGCGTCATCCCTGTCGAATACTATTGAGCCGCAATTCGGGTTAGGGTTCGAAGCTACCCACTGGATAGTGGATACTGATCTTCAAGGCGTTTTTTCTAGATAAAAATCTCCCCTGTGACAGTTATCTAGCTCTGCTTCGCTATTGGAGTTGTGTTGTGGACCACCAAAAAGTGGATGGTGGTGGCGGTAGCCGAGTGAGAGTTAGTGACGCTACGAGGTTGCGACATAATCTGTCACTCATCCCCAAAGCATGTATTGACCTCCGATCATAGATAATATCTCTACGATCCACCTGTAAAAATTATACCAGATCCGATACTCAACAGTATCAAACTTAAGATCGGGCCACGAAGTCCGAAGTCTCTGAGATACAAGATCGTGACACTCAATCAATGGAATATCTATCCGAGTCACCTGTACACATGCAGGGACCAAGACTCGAGCCCCGCAGCTCCTTTATTCTACTCTAGGGTGTCGGAGGAGTACCTTAGAGCGCTTATCCGTTATACTGATACGCAAAAGCTTGGGGTTCATGCACGAGTATGTGTGTCTCACTATACAAAGTCAAAGAGGTCAAATCAATGCATGACTCAAAATCGTTGAGTAGAGTATGTAGATATAATCTCTTCACTGAGATCTGGCGGTCTCATATTACCTACTTCTTGTAATGAGGGGTTTTTATCACTGGTCACCTATTGTCACGAGAGAACAAGCGATAATCCTGTGGCAAAGACATGCATGACGTTTTATAAAGCATAAATCGCTTTGGACAAAATTGATGTCTGGTATCATGGAATAGCTTTACACGCGCAGAGCACCGAAGTTTCAAAACTTTCCGAAGTTACATCAGTAATTTATCTCCACCATAGGATAATATGAATCGCAATTAATGAATTAAACAAAAAAAAAAAAACGATAATATGGATCGCAACCCAATCGCTTCGAGTGATATCTGATGATGGCAACTGGTAGTCCAATAGGATCCCTTTATATAACTCTTGGTGCCAACCCTTTTATTGGATTTAGGAGGTAGGCGAGATTTGAATCACGCCAGCCATACCCTATTTGGAACACTCCCTCTAAACTACGGCTATCACGACTCAATTGGGTACCGCACGCTCCTATGTTCATCCAAGCTGTATGTTTTATATTTGCCAACTGCCGGAGGAAAGAAAACGGCCGAATTTCTCCCCGAATTTTCATTTCTAGCCTTGCCGAGCGCTGCTAGATCTGAAAGGCTCAATCACCGAGAAAGGGATTAAGTTCAGATACGTGGTAAGGTTCCGATGTTGTGCTGTGTTGTATTGCGGCTAGCTGGCTGGGGTTCACTATTAGAGTAAGACCGATCCCATTGAAATGGGGTGGGGGTCCGAAAAACAAAACGCTTGATCGGATTTAACGGAGAGAAGACGAAAAAAATTAAAAAGTAAAAAAAGTTAACGATTGTCCGGCCTGTCACTCGTGTTCCCGGTCAACAGCCCCGATCCTGGTCGTGGCTCCACCATGTCTTAGACAATTCGAAACAAAACTTCGGTCCACTGAAATGTTAACGGAGCGGAAAATGCAACTTTATTTTGATTCGGATCCACGGACGTCAACTGATGACGCCCGCCGCTTCTATCTGATGGGAGGTGTCGGGGTGACGCGGGACAAGAACCGATGCCGCTGTAAAGGGTAATGATCGGTCATACCAGCAAATTTATTGTGTTCCCTTATTTGTACCTAACAAGCCGTATCATAACAGATCTATGAAAAGTAGATTTGTCGTTCTTTCCTCCTGCAGCAGTGGGAAAAGGTGGTCCATACGGACTACGGCGGTCGATATATGTAAGTAGGTAGCCTACCGTGAGTGATAGGGAGTCTAACTGACACCAAATATTGGCCAGTTCTCCGGGCCCGCCTCTGCATATTCCATAGCAGAGAAACAATGCCACGTCCAAGCTCAGTATTCTCAGTACATACCCGTTTTATTTCACTATAATTGTAGGGCTTTATACATATCCGCTCCCCGGGCCACTGGCCCCACAGCTTGAAGCCTGTTTTTCTTTTTTCTTTCTTTTGCGTCCTGTTCGACATTCCGATGAGGTGTTCCAGATCATACACGACGGAGTCAGACCGATTACATCAAAAGTTCGCCTGTGCTCTCTTCCTTGTGGGGTCCGAAATCCGCGATCATGTCCTCATGAGGCGTTAGAATAGGTATGAATTCCGTAATAAATGGATGGCCTTGATCAGAAGACGCATCTTGCACTCCGTACCAGGAAATCCAAGCCTTAAGTATGGTTTATGCGGAATTCGAGGGATGTCAATGATTCGTTAATGCGTGCTAGGGACACCCGTCATAAGACCTTATCTAGCATCACCTTCGCATCAGTCCGCTCGGGAGAGGGCTTGATGCTAATTGATCCAAACCATCAAGCCTCTCTCGCCAGTCCCAGCAGTGACAGCTTGGCTGACAGCAATACACTCGCCCTTAAAGAGATCTCTTGAACCGTGTACGTCTCATGCACTGCAATCATGGGAGAGCCCCGGAAGAATCATGCATATCACGGCATCAATAAAACTTTGGGCTAGGGTATCGATGTTCAACTGGTTAAGATACCCCGAGAGCTCCGAGCTCCGTTATCGGAGCTCAGGGAGAAATTGAAGATCGATCACCGTTGTCCCAACGCAAATTGCGAGATGATCGACAGGACGTTCGGCCCTACGAATATTGCTTGAGTACTCAGAAAGATAGTGAAAAAAGGAAAAAGGAAAATGAAAGAAGGAAAAATGTGACAAGCACAAAAGCGAGAAACACGCCCTATCATAAGGATCTATACGCCCGCAGTCAATTACCCCTCCGGAGCCGCTCCCCACTAGCGGCCAGCGCGGGGAGGGGGGTGGACAGCGGACATGTCCCAATCTCGTAAAATCACCGGAAATGGGTTCACTCCGCAAAAAAAAAAAAAAAAAAAAAAGGACCCGACGGATTGGAATGACCACTCAAGGGAATTAATTGCCATAAGTAACTCCCATTAATAGTCGGTGAAACCCATAACTTACAAGCCGACTGCCTAGAGTAGGTACTCAGTTGACCATGCATCCTCTGCAGCAGGAGGATCTTCATTGCCAGGACGAGAGTAACCTCGTACGGCATGAGGCTCGGGATGCGTCCTTGCGGCTTACTTTAGCGGGCTCGAGCCTCGACTGGCCTGGCTGCAGAGATCTTCTATGGCCAGTTTACGGCTTTCCAGCTTTCTTTCCTTTTGAGCGCTTATGAATTCGTAATTCCTTGCTGCCCCGCTGCTGGCCCCGCCGCACATATTGCTTAATCCGATCTCAGGTGACCATTATTCCTGTCTTGGTTCAACTAAGAGACACAGCGGCCACTCCGAGAATTTCGATATGCCCCAGAGGGGGGCAACCTAGAGCATATACGGAATGAATGGTTGATGGCCGAGATGTAGTGGGTAGCAGTTCATGGAGCAGATGTATGGTTAAGTTAGTCTCAAGCCAGGCCAAGGAAAATAGAGATATTGTGGAGACCGCACTTTTGATATACCAAAGAAAAGCGGGTCTCGAAGCTTTCATGTAGGTACGTACATATTAGAGGATCCGGTATGTACAGCAGCTTAAATGTTAACACTGGAAGTAGAATATGCCAGAAAATTGTTGCTCCGCTACCCCCCTTTAATAATTCTTCTCCCGAAAGAACTCGGGGAGTTTCTCAGGTTGTGGTGCTATCCCCGAACACGAGTATATAACGAATGTCGGTAGATCTTTAATTCCATAGACGCAGCAGCGGCCTAGAGCCACGTTGTTGGTGTATTTCTCCGATAAATGTTTTCTGATGGACAGCACTCTAGAGGGAAGGTGTGAGTACATGTACCTATTCTACGATACGCACATACTCCTCTGTGACATGCATGACCTACATGCCACCGGTCCTCTATCTAAGACTATGGAAGAAATATACCCCATATGAACCAGCTTCAGCATTTGCAGGTCAAGCCGTAGCGGGGAAACAAGATACGGCTAGTCATCCCCGTGCGGTTAGATCCACCTATTCTTGGCAATGGCCCGTGCAGGGGGGGGGGGGGGTAGAGGAGCAAAGCTTCCAATCCCCGCAGGTCTCAAAGGGCTGAGCTCGCCGTTATTAAAAGGCTTGAGGCAGCCACAGGAAAAAAAAGAGCTTTGATGGATGTAAGGGGTGGTTGTGCAAAGCCAACATCGAGTATGATCACTGCGGCGAGTTACCGTTGAAAGTCAGTACTATCCAAACTTAACTGAGGAATATCAAACGAACAAACGAACAAACGACCAGGATCATTGCGGCGAAGACGACTAGCACTAGATATATTCAGCATATTTTTGATTACACACTTTTCACATTACATACATATAGGTAAATACTCCCCCAAGGTTCCCTTTTTATATAAATCTTCTGTGATTTCTCCCGCATCTCAATCAATAACAAGACGCTGATCTTATTATCCCTCTTAGTTTAACTACTCACCACCTACAATATTTCCCACACATAACCTCAAAACAAACCTATCCTCAAGATGATGATCAGCTCAATGCGTCTTGCGAGTCATATTATGACCTCGCGAGTGTTTGAACGCTATTTCATTGAGACAGAGAGCCAGGATACACTGTCTGGTAAGTTCCAATCCGACGCTGTATCTGTTATTACGACAATAGTGCTGACTCTAAACCAAAGCCTTCTGCAAACAATCACATTTTGTCGCGCCCTTCTATATCATCCTCCATCCTTCACCAAGGATGTATACCTGCCTAGTCAGGGTTAACAATCGAGAATACGCCTCTAGTACGGGTGTTAAATTTGAGACTGAGAATGAAGCACGCGAGTGCGCAGCAGGCGTAGCACTGGACCGCTTGATGGGTGATACGATCGGTTATTGCGAGGCAGTATAGAAACCGCCTTACACGCGTGGGGTAGGACAGGAGAGACAGGACAGGAAAGATTGGGATTGGAGTATGGGTTATGCATGTTTGGCGCGTGGCATCTTTGAATTTTTGGGCGAAACTTTTATTGGGCATATTTTTCTTTTGGAGGGGAGCAATTGGCGTTTTTAATTTCCAGCGAGGGTGCATTCTTTTTTATTTTTTTCTTCTACGAAAACCATTCTTTATTTTTAGGGGAACATTTTCATAATTCAGACAAACAAAACCTTGATTTTTGTGATACCTCATCCTACATGCAAATGTTTCGTCAGCGCGTTAGTGACATTAGTGTGATTCCTAAGTTTCGGTGTCTCCGGCATGACCCATGGGTGTCTTTAACGAGGTCTACGCTCGGGCTTTGGTAAACAGATCTCGTGTCGATCCTGTAATCTGGGGTGCCATCTGATCAGCTGAATCACTTGTGTGTACGTCCATGACCACAGTTGTGTTGCACATGCACTAGGTATGGTGTAGAGCTACAATATTAATGTTGCACAATACACAAGCGGATGTGTAAATTAGGCAGTTCTAGAGGCAGGCGTATCGATATCCTTGACGGATATTAGTACCTACAGCTAAAATAACACTGAAGCGGAGATTGATGATTCATCAGTTGCTATGGGTTTTTGTTCTGGAAACATCCGGGTTCCTTGGACCAGTATATGTAGTGTAATAATAGTATCTCAGGGGACAATGCAAGAAAGGTCACATAAGATCTTCAGTATGTAGAGGATGTACGTACAGGAGATACGGCACAGTGAAATTGCTGCGGAGTTAAATCGAGCTAGAACCTGAAGAGAAGGTCCTTAATGCTCCTCCCGCATTTTATGCTATTGTCGCGGTACTAACACAGTATTTGTACATGTACTTATGCACCCCCTTTCCATACTCTACCTACATGCACATATTACAGTGTAACTCTCATTTATTTTAGATATCATATTCTACCAGGCTGGTTGAACTATAATATATAACAAACTCAATCAATTTCTACTAACAACTCCATTGTTATCACTCGGCCCAAACACAAACCCCTTCCAGTTATCGCTGAGCTTTCTAGCACAATCAACAAGCTGCAACTCTCTAACTCCCGCGATCAGCCTTACAGCACCCTCCAATGCCTTATCCATATCCTCGCCTGCTATGTGCAAGTCACTCTCCACCAAGACCCTGTCTTCAGGCGCCCCGCTAATTGTCTCCATGATCTTACCAACATGACCTTTGACAGGTCTGGCATTTATTGTAGTTGAGAACGAGAAGTAGACATGTGAAGGATAACGATGCTTCGCTGACGGCGGGGTAAGATACTGTTGCAGCGTTTGCGGAGGTGCAGAGAATGAGTGAAGGCATACTCTAGGGGGAAACGGCTTTTGACTAGTAGTTCGTGGTGCAGGTTGACTCTTCTTGGGCCGGAGCCAAGAATAGTCCTCATCGCCCTCCCCAGCAAACTCATCATCTTCACCCTCGTTGTTATCACTACTATCCTCTTCATCATCACCAAAATCTGGAAGATATTGATGTCCATCTTGCCCCTTCCTCCTTCGGCGTTTCATCTCTTTGCGACTCTCAACAATAAGCTCATGGCCCTTCCACAGCTCCCTGAAAGTATCAAACAGCGCACCGTGACATTGAACTCCATGCACACTAACAGCTCTCTGCAGCTCTCCAGCCAGCTTAAGTTGTGCTACGAACACTCGCTTTTGATGCTCCATCGAAATTTTATGGGGGCTCAACCTCTTCCCATCCTGCTCTTCATCATCATGATCGACTTGAGCAGGTTCGTGTAACTCATCATTCGGGAATGGTATTCTAAAACCTCTGTCGAGCCCAATTTCTCCCACAAGAGCCACTGGGAATCTCTCTAGATTCCCCCGGAGCTCACTTATAACCTCAGAGAGCTTCCTGGGCTCCGGTAGGCTAGCAATAAGCTCATTGGGTGGATTAGACGTCAGTGCTCTCTGGTAATGCGCAACTTTGCGGTCTTCTACCGAGAGCTTCTGAAGGTCCTCACGGGAGTCATCCCATATCAGATACGAGAACCAAGGATGGTAGCCAAAGCTTGGTATCACTTTACCCCTATTCTCTTCAGGAACTTTGGGGTCGTACACTCCATATTTTGTGGCAAGTTCGGCAACGAGTGGTTGGTCTGATATACGGGTTCCCATGACTATGATCCCAGAGGCTTTCATGGCGGGTATGGTGTGGGTTGAAGCCATTGTGTCTGTGGGGTGGCAATGTGCGTCGTGGACACCAAGGGACCAAACTGAGCTCGGGAGAGGCTCATATTCGGTATGAGGGGGGGAATCGCTTTGTGAAGTGGGACACATCTTGGGGTGAAGCTTTGGGGTAGATAAGTGAAGTTGGTGTTTATCGGGGAATGGTGTAACTAAACGTTCTAAAGAAGCTGGTAATTTCTTGGCACTAAGTCAATGACGATCAGTGATCCTTGCTTTTGTACGACTTGAAATGAGTATCTAAATAACATCATGAGTGTTGTGATGCCTTCAAAGTACAAGTTCAAGTTACACATCAACTGCTTTGCGATTGTACCGAAGAAAGAATAATTACCAGTACCTACGTAGTTAGGAACAAAGCACCTTAGAGTCTTGAGATATGAAGCTAATGTGCTTTCCAATTTCTTTGCGTATGTAGAGTATAGGCTCGATCATTTCCGTCGTCAGCTGTAAGTAATATGGGTAAAGGGTAATGATCGAGCTACGAGCGAGGCATCAATGCGCACCTTAAAGGCACCTTGAAATCTGGATAAACTCAATCTTAGATAGCTACCGAGAAAGCTTAAATAATATGTTCTATGCGCAAAGGATATTTGTATTATAATTAGCTTTGATAAGTAATGGTCGTTTTAGGAGAAGATAAATGTTCAAAATTCTGATAGCCGCCTCAAGATCTGGTGTCTTTGATATCATTCGATTCCTAGATCTGTAGGTACACCATGCCCGTGACCGGGTAACATTAATTTAAGTGTTGATGGAATGAATAGTAAATTAGTAATGCGTGAATTGACTTTAAGCACTGAACCAATCGGTTTAGAGCAAAGGCATATTTAAATCCCCAATATTACTAACCCCCGAGAAAGTATAATACGGACCATCCCCTAGCTTAGATGCAATGATCGTTTTAGGAGAAAACATTTTGATAACCCTTGACCATACATGGATACCCACCTATATACATACAGTATGTAGGTATGAATTTATTTGTTATTAGAGTTTGTTACTAACAAATCTACAATTTGGTAATATATCTGCATTGGTTCCCCAGCATATATCACTGTATGAACCCATTGGCGGTCTAGTCGGAGATATCTCCAGATACGATATTAACTCGGGACTGTTTCTATTCAGACTGTCGATGCATCTACCAAGAGTGCATAATTATAAGCTATCGATAAGAGACCATGTATTTATCTCGTAACACATACACACGCATCATGCCAAATATATAGTAAGGCAAATTGTAAAGCAGCGAAGCGAAACTGACAGGTGCCAAGAGCAATACGAGGCGGTGATTCGCAGCTGCAAGGGCACGATGGGAGGGTAGAGTACAAGGGCACGGGAAGTCGGTTGTACTATACACTGGCATGCACAACAAACACTAAGAGGCGGAGTACACGTAAGGCTATGTGGTCTAGAAGGCGCATATCGCAGGAGATAGAGGAAGGAGAATATGCAATCATGCATCGATTTCTGATGTGACCTTAGTACTTGTAGTTAATATTATCTATTGGGGCCATGGTGCAGGTGTCATTTCCACCTCTGCAGAATCTCCTTCGATATATTCCTCCACAATAACGGGTGCGTACTCCCCAGACTCGTCATCTTCCTCTAAGCCCACCATTTCAAGTTCCACCATTTCTCCTTCTTCGGTTTGGACCATTCCCCTTCTCACTACGTCTTTGACATTCAATGCCCAGTCAAACTTCTTCATGGCTAGCGACTCAATTTCTTTATACTGCTCGAGGATGTCGCTTTTTCTAACCTTGGCCTTCCCTTTCCCCTGTTCTGCGTCGTCGTCAATAATCTCGGCGAGGCCTTTCCCAAACCCTCGTAAAAGCTTGGCTAACCAACTATCTTCTCCTTCCCCGCCTCCCACAAATTGTGCCAGAAACACCTCATCAACATACTCCATTTGTGTCAGTAGAACTTCCATCAAGTCCCCAAAAAATTCTTTCTGCTCTTCGAAAATTGCAGTTTTACATGTTAGAGTTAACCCTAACAGTCTTCTCCATTGCTCCATGGCCGAGTAGCACCCCAGTGTAACCGCCATCAAGAAGGCCAGCTGTATCTCCCCCAACATCTGTTTCTCCCCGTCTCCACCGCCAATGCCCAGCTTCCCAACAATATCGCCCAATGCCCAAGACCTATCTTTGGCCATGATGGTCCTGTCTCTCCCAATGGCACCTTCAGGCCAAGTGCGTTTCAGGTCTACAGGCGTCCATTCGATCTCTGCAGCCACATCCTCGCCCTTCAATAATTCCATCAACTTCTCCTCCTCCTTATCCCTGTCCATCTTTGAACTTGAAACGCTGCTGCACTTTAACCCCGTCCCTAAACACCGTAGCAACAAAGCTTCGTCTATATGTTCACTCAGTGCTTCCCATTGCTCTGCATCTGGCCGGGTTGACCCCTCTTTCCCATCTTTAGCTGGCTGTCGGTATATTGTCAAGGATTCCCCGTATAATTGTGCTAGGTTTGCCCTAATCCGTAGTACCTCATCGACACCCATATCTGACTCCTCGAGGAGTTTTTCTGAAGCTGCATCATATTTTGTGATGATGACAGAGTGTTGGCCCGCGTCCGCAGCTTTGAACCAGAAGCCGGTTCGTAGTGACATATCACCCTGAGGAGAGAAATAAACAAAATGGAGTCCCGGTGGTATGTATTTTATGCCCTGGAAGCGGTCGGTTGAATTGAATGAGGCTAGATCGATGCCAACAAACGATTTCGGGGGTAGGCCGAGGAGGAGCAGTGTCGTTTGAAGGTGATATTGGTGTTGGTGAGACATTTTTGATCTAAATATCGGAACAGGCCCTATAGAAGGACTTAGGCTTTGGGTTGAGGGACTGTAGCTATGGTAGACACTAGCAAATAGTAAATTATAAACCTTGGCTTATGTATGCTCAAAGCCTGAACTTGTGGTTAGATATAGGGTAGTTACCCTACCGTGTCTGGGGCTTTCCCGTGATGATAATAATTAGGCCCACTGTAGCTAGAGCTTCATGCCGCTGTCACTCGCAGTGCATCAGTGCATGAGACAAGGAAACCATGATATCATAGATGCATATTGCGGCGGGACAAAACAAGTGACCCCAGGCTCAAAGCATGATGTCACTTCTAAAAACAACAATCATGGCATGTCCAGTCATGATCATCGCTAGCTCAGATGCAAGCATTCTCATAAAAGGTCAATGATCATGTATCCATTTTTGAGAAACACTCTCTACAGCGTAGGGCAGGTATTCAGGCAGGAAATAAGAACATTAAGATCTTTAACATTCCTTTTCAACTAATTAAATGATGATGACTCCTACATTAAATATATATGCTATTGATGAGTAGAGCAGTCACTATTTTGTCCGGCCCAAATGAATCCCCTAGCTCCCAACCAATAAGCATTAGAGCAGGTCCCTCAAGAACGAGGTCGACCTAGCCTTCACCACCCGCCCAAAGACCGCTAAATACGATTATATGTCCTTCCAACACATTGGCCTAAAGCCCCGCACCAAATCATGGTAACAATGAAGATACCAAATAACGAACGGAAAAACTGACCAAAAACAACGCCAGTCTATAACAACCCTTCCCCAACCCATGACGAAAACAAAGCCGAATAGCGAGAGTAAGAATAAAAAATACAAATAAGAAGCGAATGAGAAGGTATTAAACACCCATAAATAGCAAAGAAAAGTCAACAAGCAGGGGCAGCAAAGAAAAAAGTTAATCAGCCTCCGCATCATTATGGATTACACCCGTCTTCTTTCAGCTCCATATAAGGGTATATCGCACCGTACGATATATTATGTACGGTGGTTTAGTCATTAGATATTCTCCCCGTCAGAAAGGGTATCAATGAAACAAAAGGCCAGAAGTGAAAAAGAAAAACAAGGGGAAACTTCCCAAACACCAGTCCCATGATCGCCATGAATCGTAAGTTACAAAAGAAAAAAAGGGGTAGAAATAAGTTAAAAAAAACATTACTGCCGAATCCGGTTTCGTAACAATATTGCAATGATTGATTGTGCAATAGGGTATCTCTTTTCACAATTATTACTCCACGTTTCGTACTCGATACAGCGTTGAAAAAACGGCCGCATCCGGTAGCAATAAAGCCAGATATGCGGCAGTGGTCGATTATACATCCATTGTTTCAGTGTCGGATTGTCCAGCCAGTGTCTCACTCCCAGACTCCCATACAGACTGGGTATCTTCAATTGGGCTACGAGAGCCTGAAGAAATGGATGATGAAGATCCCATAGTCCACTCGTCATCCTCGGAATGGTAGTCGCCATCAAAGTCGTTCAAGGCATAAGAGTAGTTATGGGAATAACTGTTTCCAATTTCGAGAAAATCGTAATCCCAGCGGAACTCCTTGTCAGGCTGAAGCCTTGCCAAGAACTTGGTCTTTGCGACATAAAAGGTTGCAGCGGCCACTGTCAAATTGTTAGTCTTACTGGTGGGCGAAGCGGAATGAATAAAGCTTACAGAAACTTCCAGCAATCAAGTCAACGGCATAGTGGTGCTGGAGATAAAGAGTGGCCCACCAGATCCACAAGGTGTAGCCGTAAAAGATCCATTTTCCACGGGGAAAAACGTGGCTCAAAAACAAAGCCTCAATAGTAGCCGATCCAGCGTGCAGGGATGGCATAGCCCCAAAAACCATGGGCGAGGCTGTGAACGTTGACGTGTATAGATCAACGCCGAAAAGGTGATCAATTCTAGCAAGACCGGCTGGAGACCCAGACATGGAGTAATTTGCTGGAGCAAGTCCATAAAGATTCTCGTACCAAGGCGGCGCACATGGAAACAAAATTTGGATCAAGACGCCAATGATGTTCATGTAACCAAAACTACGAGAAAATACCGGCAAAGTTCCTGGGGCTGCAAAGATGAAGAGAACGATGGAGCAAATAAAAGGCGCGGCAAAGTGAATTATCCCATATGGTAGCCAGGCCAATACATCGAGGAAAGCGTTGGTGTTTTTCGACAAGATATTGCTTAAGTTTGCACCGTAGATGATGTTCTCGAGGGCAGGTAAGACACGAACCCAAATGGGTGGACGGTATTCTGCTGGGATAAATCTGCAACAATGATGTGATGTGAGCGGGAAAATCCATGCTTGGTTGGTGAGCACGGGAAAGCCGGGTTCCGTTCACGTGATAATCATTAAAATGGGATGAGGCCGGTTATGACATACCTGCAGGAGTAGAACAAAACCAACCAACTCGCGATGGGTAGAAAGGGCAGAAAGAACTGTCTAGTAACGGGTAAAATTAAGGACAATATTAATAAGGTCGATATTAAGGTTTTGACGAGCGGTCCGGGGTGTTCGATAATAGATAAACAGAATATGCCAAAGATAGCGAGAATGAGATATTGACCGTCCCAAAAGGACCATTTGTGGGCTCTGAGTGAACGGAGGGTATCTGACGGATCCCATGACGTCTGAAGAGTCGCGAGATTGGAACCTGGAGATTGTCCACTCCTCATTCGGGACCCAAACTTCCTTCGCATGCGATTAAAGCCAGGCATCGAGGGCCATCCCATTAGATTTTGCTTGGTGAATGTCGTGGAATGGGTATCAAGCATCGCTGGGAACAGTTTCGATCGTGGAGACTTCATCTTAACAGGACACCGCAAAGGATCTATGGAGCCGAGCAGACGTCGAGTAGTATTGAGGAAAGCACTGGCACTGGGAATAGAATGAGTTGGTGCGAACACTACTTGACGTCAGGAAGGTCCGGCAGGAGATTTAAAGGCGAAGAGAGGTAAGAAGACTGCTAGCGCAAACCCCCTTCGTCTTCTAAGATGTTCACGAGAGGCAGTGCGGTAGACTTGACGGGGGCGAAGAAAGATTGAAAGGTGAAGGAAGGTACAGAGACTAAGTACCTTTCTTCCCTTGTACTGCCTCTGTTGTTTGACTTGCTTACACACCGCAACCGCCTACCGCTTGAAAGTTGCAACACAACAACCCCCGCGAGCCATTAGCTCATTCGCTATCCCTGGCATTTCACAATCTCCCACAACCCCCCCTCTTTCCATGGATAGCAGATAGGTCGAGCCTTCTTATCCCTACAACCCCCTAAGAGCTGTCTTTATTTTCAAATCTAACAGAAACATAGGTCAGCTCTATCGAAGTCGTCTTCATAGACCTAAATCCGTTACCTCTTAAGCACTTTGAAGCAGGACTTGTCACTCAGGAACAGACAGTACACTCCCCTCAGAGCGCCGTTTCCTCTCCAACTCCATCATAGATACCTGCATGCACTGCAGCTCCTCACACATGCTCGCGTGATTTGTGGAACTCCGCATACATACTCGCATCTGGCGCGTCATAACTGACTGTTCGCCAAAAATTGTGGTACAAGAACTCAGGCCCACATCCAGCCTCATTCGTCTTGCCAAGAAGAGCGAATAAGAAAAAATTCCAGAAAGATTTTTACCACTAACAGCGAAGACGGTTAGGCCACGCATTTTTCTGTTGCTGCGAAGCGCGTTGACTGCAGGGATCTATCCCGAAATGACACACCCCGGGTATTCATCACTCCGACTCCGCTCCGATTTCTCATCCGTTTTCTCCGTACCGAGTTTATTAACTCTGGTATTTGTGCTTTTTTTTTTCGTATTTATATAAGCTTATGCTGACAGATATCTGATCTGCATTGTCAACTGTCTCTGCCCCGCACCTCAAATTGCATACCCCACTCACATGCAAATTTTGATCGAGAGTTCTTCAGGTGAGAATGGGTGCACCTATAGAAATTCTTCCAGTCGCGCATGACGCCGTGATAGTATGTACTCAACGCCGGAAGAGGGAAGGTATATGTACATATTCTATAGGAAAATCATGATCACGACCATCTATTACTGCAGTTTTTGTCCTTGTCAGGTAATAGAACCTATGTACTGGTACTTTACACAGCGATTTGACTGTATGCCCTGGAAAACAAGGGTCAGGACATGCAAGTACCTACTGATGATAAATTCGACCAAAGAAGTTACGGATGTACCCCAGTCCGAGTGCAAGAAACAAATAATAACGTCTTTCGCATTTGATATATGTGGATATCAAGCCTTCCCCTCGTTCTCGCTCGTTTGACGTGGTCACCACAGTCAGGCGATCTGTTAAACCATATATGTAGGTAATTATCCGGTACAACACTGCATTCCACCTTGCGTTAAACGACTGGTGTAGGGTTGAGCCCATGATTTCCCTTAGATTATCAGCAAATGTCGATTCTTGATAGGTACTTGAGCAATTGATTATAAAATACTGCGGGTGATATCGTATGATCCACCGTGGGCTAACTATCTACCACTAACCTACATCCGGCAACATTGGATAAGTAGATGATCTCCGCATTCGGGGTTATAATTCTACCCCCAAAGAGACAGGCGATCAATTTTCTGGTACCGAGAAGTTGGATCAATCGAGTACTACCCACTATGCTGATGATGTTGAAGCATCGGGGGTTCTCCGCAATATGCCCTAACCGACCAACAATGGTTTCATCTCATCTTTGTCGTACTGCTGGTACGGTTTTGGAGATTTCCACATAAGACTTTACTAATAGCTAGCACGTGTTATCGGCAGAGGACAATCAAGCATTTTTTGACATGGCCTTGCAGAGTCCTGCATTTATGTTCTGTATGGTGTTGGTAAGTTATTGATTGGTGCTCGGCGTGCGTAACAGTAACAACTGTTAATACGGTACTGTAGATACACCACACTAAAAACGGAGTAGTGCTTGTAATACAGCAGAAGAACTTTTCCTCTTTCGGAGTAAATATTAACACCAAAGTCCTCAAAGCCCATTAATCATACAGACGTCAACAACTGAGCGGGGAATTTGGACATTTCCCCACGGGGTATTACAATCCTTGTGTGCGATCACTTGGTGTTTCACTGCCACATTGAAAAAATGTTATTCTTCACTTCTGCGCTGTATCAGATCAAGCATACATGTAGTTATCGGTAAGTGAATATTAAACACATTCTCATTTGTATATGAGTCCGTGCTGCACTTACACGCGACTAGGGGAGTTAGCTGCTACCATGTCGTGAATTTAAGCTTTATGCACCGATATCGGGAGGCGTCACAAGATGATACGTAGCCGACTGTAGCAAGATATACGTAGATAGCACACCGCTCCTGAACAGATCATCGAGATAGGGCACCACGAAGGTCTCCCGTTTACGAGGAGAAATATTAGATAAATAGATAAAGACTACGATGAATCTTGCTGGGTTAACGGATTTCTATGTCTAACTAGGCAGGAAGATACGCACACCTGCTCGGCGCTGGTATGATATTCGGTCAGCAGTCCGAGGAAGCCCTGCAAGTGATAAAAAATTTCTTCTTTGGAGACATTTTTACGTAGTCCTTTTACTGTTACAGCTGAGAAATTATAACCGAATTACCGAAGCTTAAAGTATGCTATTTAAATCGAACTTTCTGGCCTTTCCCCATAATCTCATTCACGACTCCATTTTCAACCACCATCACAATCTCACGATGTCTTCAAATAACAAGAACGAAGAGGCCGCAAGAGATGAAGCAGTCAGTTATGTCATTGATCCAGTTAGAGCCCAGGAAAAGGCAGCAGATGATGGCGACGCCGCGGCACCACAGTTACAACGAGCGCTGGATGCTCGTCATTTACAAATGTTGGCAATCGCTTCCAGTATTGGTACAGGATTGTTTATTGGATCTGGACAAGCCTTGAGAACTGGTGGGCCTTTGGCTCTGGTCGTTTCATTCACATGGCTCGGTGCAGTGTTGACAACTATGATGCGTATGTCACCTTGGAATACCTCGAGCTTGGTAGCTCTTCAAGAAGCTAATAGATACAGAATGTCTCTGCGAGATGGCAACATTGTATCCCACGTCTGGAAGTTTTGTTACATATGCTTCCAGATATATTGATCCTGCCTGGGGATTCACGATAGGAATAATGTAAGTAACTTCAGCTTTGTCTCGAATTTCCCCTCAGCTTGCTGCACTCTTTCTCCAAGAGTTGTCTCAAAATCAGCTCTACAACGAACATGGAAGAAGCTCCGTCTCTTCAGGCTTGGAACGCGCCAATCATGTGGACTCCTCGGCGTTGAGTATCCAACGCTAACAGTCGATGTAGGTATTGGGCATGCTGGATCGGCGCTTTCGGTACAGAAGCAACCGCGGCTAGAATCCTCGTTGGTTACTGGCTCCCGCCAGATTGGAGTTCTAGCCCCGGAAATGCAGCCATTTTGATTACTGTATTCAACGTTATTATGGTGTGCATTCACATATGCCCTGTGAGGGTATTTGGTGAGATAGAGGTATGAATGGGGCATTAACTGATTGAGGTTACGCAATAATAACTTATGACCTTTAATAGTTTTGGGTATCTTCTTTGAAGGTTATTTCTATCGTGATGTTCCTGATCGTCATTTGGGTTATCATGGGAGGCGGAGGCCCAGAAGGGCAGAGACATGACGGAGAATACTGGGTAGATCCCGGTGCTCTTCTCAATGGCTTCAAAGGTATGTGCTCATTCCGTCGAAATAATAATACTTCTTCCTTCTGACACTTTGTAGGTTTATCGAGTGTTTTTGTCACAGCAGCATTCTCATGTGGCGGTACTGAAGTCGCTGGTATTGCTGGGGGCGAGACACGGCAGCCTCGTATCGCGATGCCTCGGGCTGTTCGCACTTTGATGTTTCGTATCGTCTTTTTTTACGTGGTAACTATCTTATTTCTCACCTTTGTGGTGTCCGCAAGTGATCCAAGACTCTTGGGTGGAAGTGGAGGAGGTTCAGTGGACTCTTCGCCATTTGTGATTGCCATTAGCAATGCAGGTATTAAGGTCCTGCCTGATATTCTCAACGTAATCGTCCTTTTGTGTGTCTGTAGCGTTGGGAGCGTCAGTATTTATACTGCCTCTCGTGTATTGTGTAACATGTCACAAATCGGACTATTGGGTAAATATTGGGGGTTCGAAAAGGTTGATAGACATGGAAGACCGTAAGTAATCCTCCTGAAAGCGGGAACCGATATATACTGATCTTTCTTCAAAAAGTATGCGGGCTATCTTGATGACAGCGGTCATCGCTGTAGGACTCTCGTATTTGAACTGCACATCTTCTGCTGCAAACGCTTTTGAATGGTATGCCAGCATCTTCTTGATAAGAATCTTTAACTAACTAGATAGGTTCACCTCACTGTCTGGTATTGCTTTCCTCACCTGTTGGCCAACCATAATTTTCGCAAACTGGCGCTGGCGTGCGGGTATCAAGGCACAGAACATCAACATCTTTGGGCAAAAATATGTTTATGAAGCTTTGTGGCGCCCAGTATATCCACTTTTTGGATTCGTAAGTGTTTTTGCCTCGTTCAAGTGATTACTCCGGAGTATCTTTGACTTAACGAGTCATTTCCAGATTTCCTTGATTTTCATGCTGGGTTGCCATATTTATGTTTCTGCCTCACCAATCACGGCCACGCCATCTGCCGAGAATTTCTTTAGGAGTTGCATCGGTATTCCATTGATCCTTGTTTTGTACTTTGGCTACAAAGCTACCTATGGTACACGTATCGTGCGATCTGTGAGTATATTCACTTTTGGTTTATATAGTTATTTCTCCTTTACTAATGAGCAAATGATAGCATGTGATGAATCTGTGGGAAGACAAGATTTCGGAAGATGACTTTATAGATCAGGAGCATAGGTTAGATGAGTATTATAGACAGACTAGATGGAAGCGCTTCCTCTCGTATGTACGCTTATAGCGATGTCGAGTATGGGCTGCGTGTACTTTAAGTGTGTATGCACACATATCTGTCCTGGAGACAATGATAATGATACTGTACGTCTTGAATGCTTGCTATAAAATAAAGAATACGAGCATTAAAAATACCGAACCTTCTGGTTCAAGTTTAGTTACACCTTTGTCCCATTCCCCGAAATACCATCCTAGCTTCCAAAATAATCCTCCTGCATCTTTGGTGTTCTCAGCAAAGTCCCATAATCCACCCTCATCGTCCCCACCGACGCCCTTGCCCGTCTCCGCCGTCCCACATCGCGACTCATAACCTTCGCCTTCAACGAGGCCACCGCCGCCGTCAGCTCCTTCTCGGTGGCCGTGCTGCAGTTGATGAAGCTTGGATTCCGTAGATCGAGGCCCGTCGACTCCTCAGACACCAAGTAGGTAGAGCGCGGGTGCAAGAGCGCCTTGACACCCCGCCGCGCCATCACCACCACCAGGCCCCAATACCCAACGGCCAGGCGAACGCCGAGGATTGCGGAGGAGACAAGGGTTGTGAGGAGGGAGGCGAGCATCATGGGTAGCAGGAAGAAGAAGGAGAAGATTGTTACTAGTATCATGATTTTGCAAGGGGGGAGGGGTGTTTTTCCGGAGAGCTTGGTTCTTGTTACTCACAATCGCGGTGGGGGTTATGTTATGGGCGCCGAAGGGGAGGAGGGGTAGGTATTTATCTATCAGTTACTGGGAACGTCGGGAGGCCTAGGGGGGAGGGAGGGAGGAACCAGGCTGTATATATTTTATTTATTGATGACGAAACCTGGAATTCCTGGGATTGTGGGATTTTTTCTGGATTTTTTCTGGATTTTTCCTGGGATCCGGGTTACGTCGAGAGTGATCATGAACGCAGGGTGGTGAGTGAGCCAGGGTGCCGGAGATTTTATATTTTAGGGAAACAATCCCTCCCTCCCCCACCCCTGGTTAGAGTAGGTAGAGTAGAAGGAACGATCCTGGTTTGTTGGCGCCGCCCGAAGTGAGACATTTTTTACCCCGGTCCTGCGGTTGGGGTTGGGTTGGGTTGGGCTGGGGAGTGCAGGTCAGTAGGGTAGGGTGCTTGTACTCTATGTGGCAGGGCAGGGCAGGAGAGGGCAGGGCTACTATTTGAGTGGGCTAGGGCTTTTGCATCGGGTGTCACTCGGGTGGGGGTGCGTGGGGGGGAGGGCAGGGGTCGAGGGACTGCTATCAGGTACCGTACGATAGATGGACTGTAGCCCTGTATTGGTGTCGGGTAGACATCACGATGGCGTGCGGTGTTGGATGCGGTGTTTATACCGCGGCGCCCCCCCCTCTCATGAGCCTGCTGTCAATCCATTGATGGATTCTCTGTCCTCAATTCCCTGAGGCCTGTGTAGGTACGGGCGCCTTTTCCATGCTCCCAGGTACATAACGCTCCCTCCGCATAGGTGGTATGCCGGTGGGTATTCACGCCTCGCACCCTGAGTGCGGTAGATTCTCATGAAACGGCTTGAGCATCACGATAGGTGTACTAAGGCGGGCCGGGGGCGGTGGTGCACGTGAGTGAAAGACCCGGCGCAACTTATGCCCCCAGGCCCGGCCCGGCCCGGCCCGTGTGTACCTCCTCTCCACCTCCGTGCCGGATCATGTGGCTACTCTACCTACGGACGGCGTACCGTACTTACCAGCCACTTTTAGGAAAGATCAAAGACCAGGAACGCCCGGTCTGTGGTGTACAAGAGGGGCGGGAGGGAAAGACATTCTAAACTTTGATCCACGTCCCCTATTATGTAGTCTCACGTGGTGCCCCAATTCTGGGGTTTGAGGGTCTGGGGGTTAATTGAGGTCTGAGGGTCTGGGGGTCTTGGAAAGCCTGGCGTGGCCGTATCCCTTCGTCTGGCCGGACCCGGGCTCGGGCCGATATTAGTAGCTACATGTATTGTGGCTATGGGTTTTATCCGCCGCCGTGCATAACTATAACACCCGGGGAGGGTGACATGTGATCGCCGAGCTATATAGAAAGTGGGGTAGAGTGATATTGTGTGATGCATAATATATAGGAGGAGGGGAATTCAACGAAAGGTAGGTCTACACGCAGTGTTGATGAAGAGCTTCGTTCTCTGACCCCCTCATGTAAACACTATGAACAATCGACACCAATCTACTACATGTACTCCTACACTACACTCCATATCTCCTCACGACAACCTCCGTCTAATGCTCAGCTCACTACATGTGCCTAGCACAGCACACACTCTGCTAAAGGTATAAAACACTTATAATTACGTCATGAACTATCACTCGCTTCCTCTCCTCTCCCCACGATCATCCAAGTCCATTCGATCATCCCATCAGTGATAGTTGATATCACGGCCCAAGCCCCCCGTCCACAATATCGCTTTCTACAAAAAAAACGTCAACTGCGTCTAGATATATTCACCCTTCTCCCCCCCCTCCCCCCTCTTTCCCGGCTAGCCCGTCCGCATCCCAAGGCACATCTTTAAAAGAGTAGAAAAAAATAGTAGGAAAAGAAGACAATAATAAAAAGAAACCATGGGAAAAAGAAACGAAAAAAATAAGAATGTAAAAAACAGGCGCCTACTAAACTAAAATTTTCCCCACACACAGCTCCCCATCTTCGCTGTCCAACCAGTGTGAATTCTCAAAAGAAAAAATATAAAAATGATTAAAAAAGAAGAAAAAAACGAAGAAAAGACGCGGGGGCGGGGGGGCGGGGGGAGTGAAAAGAGAGCTCTTCTCATCCATCAGCGCTCCTCCCAGCAACTGCCGTCTTCCGCCCCCGTCCTTTCCCCTTACTGCCAGTCTTCCGCTTCCCCGTCCCAGCGCTGGACGAGCTCCTATCTACAACCGTCGAGCTATCGCTCCGCCCCTCCGTCCCCACCGTCGTCGTCGATCCCGAATCCGACACATCCCCGCTCTTCCCCCCGGGCACCAACCCCGGCGCCATATTCGGCCTCCTCTTCGCCACAAAGCTGCCCCCCCGCCGCTTCGTCGGCGTCCCCTCCGGCTCCGGAGTCCCGGCGCGCGAAGACACACTCGGGGACCTCCTCTCCGAGGCCACCGACGCGCGCCGCACCCGCCCAGCCGGGGAGCCTGTAGCAGTAGCAGTAGCAGTAGTAGTAGTAGCCGGTACATCCTCCTTTTTGCCTGCTGCTGCTGCTGCTGCTGCTACTCCTCGGCGCAGGCCCGGCGGGCGCCAGTGCCACCACCGCTTGACGGCCTTGCGCCGCTTGTAGCGCGCCTTGTTCTCTTTGTCCCAGTACTCGGTGCGGTAGTTCTCCCACTCCTCGCGGAACGTCGCGCTGAAGCGCTTTGGCAGGATGACGAGCTTTAGGTGCAGTCCGCCCGTGAGGTACTCCTCAATCTCGTCGGCGGGGTCGTCCTCCATTGCCTCCTCGGGGTGCGGGGCGAGCTGTGACGACGTGCGGCTCATCGCGCTGGATGCAATGGACGGTGCGTGGCGGTGTTCGGCGGCCTGCATGGCGGCGGCGGCCTTTCGCGGGGTGTTTGAGCTTAGCCGGCGGGGCTTTGCCGTGTTTGCAGAGAGGCGGCGGGAGGCGGTGGAGGAGGGGGGGCGTCGCGGGGGGGGCGGCGTCGGGAAGGTGTACCAATTCCACCACCAGACGATCCATTGGGTCGTGGAGAAGGGCACCTTGACGAGCTTGACGTTGAAGCCACGGAGGCCGCGGTTGGCGGTGGAGACGAAGCGGCGCGGCTCAACAATCGTCTTTTCGTAGAGGCCTGTAGCATAGTAGAGGGCGGCGGTGACGCAGCCGCCGAGAAGACCGAGCCATTCGAGGTGGTAGATGTAGTAGTAGGGCGAACCGCCGAGGTCGAAGATGCGGTGGAGAAAGTACGCGTTCCAGGCGAGGAGGAGGACGACGAAGAAGGTGAACTTGCGGCGACGAGCGAGGTGGTGGAGGTATTGGCTGCGCAGGGAGGCCTCGAGGATGAGGAGGTTGAGGTAGACCTGGTTTGGTGAGTTGGGGGCGTAGTCGAGGGGGTTCCCGGGAGGTGCTGGGGGAGGTTTAGGAACCACGGATGGGGGCGAGAGAGAGGAGCGTGTTGGGAGAGAACCTTTGACGGCGAGATCAATGCTTTCCGAGGTCGCAGAGCCGGGAGATGATAACGTCATGATGTGGGGGAGAAGAGAAAGGAGAGAAAGGGAGGGGGGTGGCAGAGACACAGGCAGACACACACCAAGAGCGAGAGATCAAGATAGAGATAGAGATTTAGAGAGAGAGGCTCTGCACACACTCTCACTCACTCACACACTCACACGCTCTCACTCACTCACACACAGTCTCACTCACTCGCTCTCACACTCGCTCACTCGGGGGAGAGGAGGAGGAGGAGGGGGTGTGTGTGGGGTTATTGTCGAATGTAACGCTGCGTGGGTGACACCACAAGGGCCCGGAACCGGAAGTTGTGTTTGGGGGATCAGACAGGCAGAGGAAGCAGTGCCTTGAGATGATAGTGGTGATGACGATGATGATGATGATGATGCTAGCAGTGCTGCACTTGCTTAGAAGATGGAATGTCTCGATGGCCACGATGGGCCATGCAAAGACAGCAGCAGCAGCAGCACGGGAGTAGGATGAACCGGTGTCACTCAACGGTGCAGCAGCAGCAGCAGCAGCACAACACTAGAAGGGTGAGCGGGTGAGTGAGTGGTTCGTGCACAGGCAAACGGGTGTTTATGACAGCCAGCAGTACTAGACGTAGTAGATATTGTAGACGTATGTGATAACGTGTGGATTATGAAGTTATGGAGACAAGTAAGTAAGTACAGTAGGTACATGTGGAAAGTAGACAAAGATACATGTGAAAAGCCCCAAACTACGGGCCGAACATGATCGGGATCCGTGATATATGCATGTGGATTACTGGTGCTTGCTTGCTTGCTTGTGCTTGTGCTGGTGCTGCTGCTGCTGGTTGTGGTCGAATGAACGCATAAAGAGTGGTCGTCGCCCTCGCTCACTCTCTCTTCCT